CAAGAACTCCCAAGAACAAACAACCTCCTGTCTTGCGGCTCAAGAACACGCCAAGACCTCGCACAAACCACCAAGAACACAAACAAGAACGCACAAGATCTTCAAAAAAAACTTCAAGAACACGCCACTGATTTGAACCTTAGCTCTGATACCACTTGATATAATCAAAGTTGCGCAGGGTCAAGCTTCTCAAACCAAACAGAACCGGATAGGATTGAAATCGATCGGACAGTACTCACCTGTGAATAAGGGCAATCGATATATGAATCGATCAGACAGATTCAACTCGGAATAAAGGGAAATCGATATGGGTAGCTCGCCACAACCAGGGTGAATACCTATCTGATAAGAGTCGCTCTAGCACTCTGGAAATTCTCAACAGAGTAATTAGGGCAAATTCCGTGTAGGGAACTCGGCAATAGCCTCTGAAATTCAATAATAATCATCTAAAAACAAAACCAACGTGTTCAGCCCTTTAAATAGGCAAAGTACAACCCAAATCCGACTCCAACATGGAAAAACAATCATAAACCGACTTTAAAACAAGGAAACCCGAAAATAGCCCAGCAAACCCGTTAAGCCCAAACTGTTAAGCCTGAACCCGTTAAGCAAACCCGTTAAGGCTGGACCCGTTAAGCAAACCCGTTAAGGCTTCTTGCAATCTGCCTTTTCTCCTGCACTTCCTCCTTCTTCCTCCACTCGAATCATCATATATGGCTTTCCTCGAAACAACTCCACGTCCATGGTCCCAAAGTAGCTCTCCAAATACGTTGCAAGCTTCTCCTTCAACGTTCTTGCCTTTGCACGTGTGACTGGCCCATTGATGTCCTCATCAACTGCAGGTCTTGGATACTAGATGGGTGAAAAAAGGCGGGCTCCTGATGGAGGAGAGCTTGGTTCTGTGGCGGCATATGGAGAGGGAGGATGCCACTTGGGAGGAGATGGTCACGCTCCGGCAGCGATTTCCGACATTTGACCTTGAGGGCAATGTCATTTCTGATGGGAAAGGGGATGATAGAGACCTGCTCGGCGGGTAGGGCGGGTTGGGTTCGGCCATGTGGGCCGGGTTGAGTGGCAGTTTTGTTATTTCTTGTTAGTTTTCTGAAACTCATAAAAGAGGAGTCAGTACATTCATTTGAAATTAAGCAATAAGAATATCAAAATCGCTAAATCCCTCTTCTCTCTGTTCTTCCCAAATTCTTCCTCAAATCCCTAATTCTTCTTCTCAATTCCCAACCCTATTCTCCTCTACCAGCATTGCCGTCCCTAGTCTCTACAAGCTACAGTCAACTTGTGCCCACTCACTACTTATGTAGTTATGGTGAACACAAATCCATGTATATTGAGAGGAAAGAAAAAGGGTTTCCACTAAATGTTCCTAAACAGCTGGATTCCCATTGAAATTTTGGTCAAAAGAGAGGCAACTTTTTGTTATGCTGCATGGACTGATGATCAAAGTTTGGACCTTGGAGCAAGTTTATGGCAGAGATATCGTGGACATTCCCAAGTGCTCAATCACATGAATGAACAGATTTTGGTAGGCCTACCACCACTTTAAGTCCACCAAACCATGATTTCAGAATTTTGGGTTCATCCAATCCAATGTTTCTCGGTCACAAAAACCCTAGCTAGGTGTAGTCCATTTCATGAAATTCCTTTAGTTGTCTAGTTGACATGCTTTTGTCACCACATTGGATGTTCCTTTCATCAAGCTTTCCAGCTCTATCCAATCCCAAAAGAGAGAATTATATATATATAATCTCCAAAATGGATAAGAAGTTGTTGAAGCTGTTACAAGCTTAGGAAGTGGGTCTATGGTTCATGAAGAATTGATAGGTTGAATGGCAACACATCAACCTAATCATACACAAGTGGGCTTTGGTTTTATATGCATAGTTCTAACTTCTGAGCATGCACCAGTAGTTTGATATGCTTTTAAGCACAGCTTACTTTTCCTAGACATTAGAACATGCTGCATCACTAACAACATGCCTCCAAAACTAAACCATATGATGGAGATTCTCTTAAGCCCACTTCAAAGCATGCGTGATGGTTTAAACAATAAGAAGCCTCTTTTAGCGACTTATGGCTCTATCTGCTCATACAATGAACCTCAAGCAAGCAGAGACCATGTACGGATATCAGATTGGGGAAACCATTGTTCAAGTATACATATGGCACTTGGTCTTTTTTTTTTTTTGGTGATGCTGTTTTTGACCCACCAGACAAAAGAAAGTGTGTGGATTTGGTGCATAGTTTAGAGTGGGGTTTGAACAAAAGAAGGATTAATTGGGAACATCAAAATTGAACCAACCCAAATGCCATTTCATGATGATATAATGCAGTACCAAACCCTAGTTGGAATGGATAAGCTGTGGTAGTCTGCAGAACCTTTCCCTATCTGGGCTCTGCCCCTGAATTCAGGCTTAAAATGTAGAGCAAGCATATCATGTGGAAGCTTCAAAACTTACCAGCCCATTTGGGAAAATGACTTGCAATTCCGTGAACTTAGTCAGCGGCGGATCCAGAACACAGAAGTGCACTGGGCCGTATTTTATTAGAAAATTAGAATAATAAAAAAATATAATAATTATAATTTTTTTACAATGTAAAATTGTACACGACGGTATTTTAATTTAGCGAATGCATTAATAATGGAGTCCACATCCATACCAATAGTACACTGTTTCAAATAAAATACTTGAGCAATCGACTAGAAATCCATAGCTCATTTTGTTGCGCAAATCAATTTTCACATGTTTCATTGTTGAAAAGGTTCTATTCGTATTAGCTGTTGAAACGAGCAGCATCAACACTAGACAAATCAATCTACTAATCTATTTGAATTGTGTTTCCATCCCTATATCCACCAGCTGCTCTAGTAAATTTTCCAAGGTAACAAAACCTCATATATGTTTTAGTCTTTTACGTTTTAAACTTTTTGAATTTTTAGGTTTCATTGTTTTTTAGACGAATAACCTTTGGGGTTAGAATTTATAAGCTAAATTTAGAGTAGTGATTCTGAATATGTTCATCTGAATTATTTTTCTAATTATACCCAATCTTATTTTAAAATAACAACGACCCGAATATCTAAAATCGAAAAATTCATAAAGCCTATACTAACGATGAATCCAGAGGAGGGCTGGGCCGGGGCCCGTGGTGGCCACCCCCTGGATCCGCCACTGAACTTAGTCCTTTGTAGCCAAGAAAATGACCTGCAATTCCATGGACTTAATCCTTTGTAGCCAAGAAAATGACCTCCATGGACTTAGTCCATTGTAGCAAATTTGTCTTTCCATGTTAATAACTTGGCTGTGTTTCTTTGAATTATGGACAAGGAATTCCACCTTGTCCCCTGGCTTTAGGTTTCAGAAGAATTGAATCTGCTCCCATTTTCTCAGGTTATTTTCACTCAAAAACTCAGTGTATTGCAGATAGAAAACACTAGTTCTTAGCTTCTTCTCCTTCTGATACAATGATGATGAGCCAATTGTTAAACCTTCAAAAACTAATAATTAGTGAAAGCTTGGAAGAGGTCAAGAGGGTACGTAGAATAGGAAAGTCAACTGTATATGGGGACCTGAACATGATCTATCCTATACGCTATACGTGCATTCAACACATGAAACTGATAAGGATCAAAACACACACGCATATAGGACCATGTTTTCTTAATAAATCCTTAGGTTTTGGTCAGAAGACAGCAATTAATAAAGTGGTCGAGCACCTTCCATGCACAAAGTCAGCACCTTCAACTTAATTAATTAATTTCATAATCACCAACTTAATTTAAAACCTTCTTGAGAAATCATTATCTCCTTTCTTACATTTCCGAAGCATTCATTTTCTGGCACAAGAGTAACTGGTCTGAGATACAAGTGGTTCAGGTTTTTTCAGCCGTTTTTAACAGCTTCTGGACAAAGAAATGGTGGGGACTTGTTCACTTAGAAGCAGTACTTCAAAGCAGCCCACAAAAGGATAGTTTGCTCCAGTTGGCTCGAGAAGGGAAGAATCCTTTTGCTTCCCCAATAATACCAAGTCTCTGTTCAATGATTCAGTCAATAAGGCAAGCAAACGAAATACCTTATGGTGTGTGCCCAAGCAAATTGTCGAAAAACAACAGGCAACCACAAACAAACCGTTTGATTTCTAATGCATAATTGTTCATATTCTTCCTTCCTCTTTTGATATAACAGGCAAAAAAAGGCCACCATGGTCTACACCCAATAGTTTATCCAAACATTTGGATAATCGATAATATAGATATCGCATTGTATGATAATGGTGTGTCAAATGGTCTAACAGAAACTTGTTCTCTCAATAGGGGTAAGTTTGGTTTTCCAATCAAAATCTAACATCTAGCGAATCGTTGTAATAGAAGTGGGCCGAATGTGTCTGTGATCAGCCTATTGGATTAACTGAAAAGTAACAATAAAGTCTGTCCAAAAAACTACCCTCTTGAAAACGTAACAATATTGTCATCATATTGTCATGAGCTCGACTCGACTCGACTCTTTGTCAGGATTCCACACCACCAAGATTGATCTCGAAGACCTTAATACATTAGCCATCATGTCCTCTAATAATACTCGCCTACAGAGATCGAATTTGGAAAGTAGTAGATTGAACCATTGACACTAACCCTGGCTCATCCTCCAGATGTAGCCTCTCTTCCTCTCCCTGTTCATGTTTTCTGCTTTCATGTGTGTTTCCTGTTCATGTTTTCTGCTTTCATGTGTGTAGTAAACAACATTTAAACTCCCTTCATTTAGTATTCGGCTTCTTACGAAATAAAAAGCAGAGTAGGCCATAGCATGTAGCTAGACACAACAACAAACCCATGTGAATCTTCACCAAGCCCTTCACCTGGTATGTCTCTTGTTATTCCTCTCCTAGCTTCCACAATTAGCTCTTGTCACCCATTGATTTCTTCAAAACACCCACTAGATCAGCTTCAAATCCTTCCTATATATATTCATGGCTACCTGCACAACTTATAAGTCCACTCCACAAATTTTCCTTAACCAAAAACCACAAGAACCAAAACCTGCCCTACTACCCAATACTCTGTTTTTTTTTCCAAACATGGGGATTCAACTACAAGGAATCGCTCACCACGCCAGGCAAAAGCTGCAACGAACGTTATCGGCCCGGCTAGCGAGTGTCGTAGCGACGTGCAACAATGTGCCGAAAGGGCACGTTGCGGTTTACGTTGGAGAAGAAGGGTACAGGAAGAGGTTCATCATCCCTGTGACGTATCTGAACCATCCTCTGTTCCAAATCTTGCTGAATCGAGCCGAGGAAGAGTTCGGGTTCGACCACCCAATGGGTGGTCTGACCATTCCTTGCAGTGAAGAGTACTTCATTAGTCTAACTTCAGCGCTGAACTGCTGAGTTGATTCATTGCCTTTGGGGCAATTCGTTTCCTGGGAAGAAAAGAATGATCAGGAAAGTAGTGTATTTTTCGTTTTTTAAGTGTTTGATGAGCTTCTAAGAGGTGAACATTCTTCAAGCAGGCTTGCTGTTTCTACAGTTTTTGTGGGCACAAATTGAAGTGCTCAATGTAATGTGTGTAAATTAATGAATACACATTTTCAATCTTGTAATCACAAAAGATTAGAATAAGGACCAGCTTGTTTGCCGGTAATACGAGGATCATAGTATTCGTCAATATTGAAGTTTATGTTTTAGAACCAGTAATCATCTTATAAATAAATGAGGAGTATCATTGGTTGCCTTCGGAAAGAAGAAAAAAAATTGGAAAAAAGAAAGACAAAATACTTCTATGTGGCTCAAGGTTTGATAGTTTCGACGAAAATGAGTCCTACTTGTTTTAAAACTACTATTATGATCCAATAATTGGACCATGGAGATAGAAACTATTTGCATTTCGTTTTTTATCTGAAACTTAATTCAAACTGATTTGGTCATTCAAGTTACATTTCTTTTTCAAAGTGGTCTATTTATGATTGAATTCTCATTGTGGTTATCGCTACGTCATCTGTTTCTACTTTCTAACATATACAATTGAGTTGGATTAAAATCGCACGGAACTGAAAGCCCGATCGTTTTTTCCTCCATGTCGCGTATCATATTCGCCATTTCAAACATATTACATTAGTTTTATTTATTTATCAAATGGTCACTAATTGCAATCCGATAACGATGCTCACAACCCATTCGGGAGAACATGCTCACATGCGCCAAAGGTCGTCTGATCGAGCGCAATGCAGTGGCATTTTTGTAATAAAATGTCATCTAGCCCATCCAGCAGCCGCGATACAACCGCACGGGATCCAATGGCCCTTGACACCTGGGAGCATGTTCTTATAGTTGGGTTGTGAGGATTTTAGCAAAATTGCACAAATTGGCCAATTGGGTACATTATTTGGGGTAAAATATGAAAGATGTGAAGATATGAGGGCAACATGTACTTTGTCCTGACACCAAATGATAAATTTGGGTGTTATCTTGAGGAGAACTATGCCCTTGTGCACACACAACAAAAAGCAGCTACTAGCTGGTACTAAAAATAGTAAAACAGAGCACATGTTCACCACATGAAAAGAGATCTTGAGAAGGCCTTCCAACTTCAAGTGGAGCAATTTGTTTGGCCATTAAAACTATGCTCTCTCTCAAATGATTGATTCACTGATTGGGAAGTTGGGAACCCTAAAATATCCTTTTCCTTTGTGAGGAGGATATCCAATCCCCAAACACAACAACAATCTATCAATTCATTTATAACAGAGGATAGATAAAAGAAAGAATAGCCTTCTGTTCTGACACAAAACCAAACCGTTTCTCTTGATTTCCCCCATCTGATGTTCTGACACCACCCAACCCTCTTCCTTCAAGTAGTTTGTTTGTTTAACCTTGACGTAAGAAAGTCCAAGTTTCACAACTTGAACGCCACTTCGACTCCTGCAGTGGTATGCATCAGCATTCACGAGTTGGAACAGGGTTATTGTGTTGTTAGCAACCCGGTATATGAGAATGTGCTCACAACGTGCTTATACTACGCATTTATTAGGAATGGGCAGGGATTTCTATTTACAGTAGAAATGGTAATTATTATTGTGATTAATAGTTAGCGATGATAAAATATAACATACAAGAAATCACTTATGTGTGGATTGGGAAAATTGGTTTTCATGATATTCGAACAATTATATCTCGAGCCTTTTGATACGATAATTATTATTGTGATTAATAGTTAGCGATGATAAAATATAACATACAAGAAATCACTCATGTGTGGATTGGGAAAATTGGTTTTCATGATATTCGAACAATTATATCTCGAGCCTTTTGATACGATATAAAGATATGGATGACCGAAACCAAATCACACCAAACCTATTACCCTTCTTTTCCAATTCAGGTAAAACCCGCTCAAATGTTATATGTCGGTCGAATATCCCCTAATATAATCAATTCGAGATTGGTAGGATATTCGAGATGATGGGTTATTTGTTATCCTTCGCATCAATGCATCATGATTAATGACATTGATAAGTGAAAAAGCATTTGCATGATGTTAAGTCATTGGATGCACGTTATGGTATAATTTACATCACCTAATCATGCTTCTGATGATCGGAGCGCTTGATTTAATGGCAAATGATAGCGGGATTGCTCTATCAGATATTATCTCGTCACATATCCTCATATAATTTTATGCTGTTAGATGGAAACATTTATGTTATTTACAAAAATATCTTTGATTCTAACTATCTAAATTATACCAACAAACCATCCTACAATATCAGTCCTACACACACCCACTTCAGCATTCTATCCGAATTTATGGAACCCCGCGCAATTTGTGGGAAGAAATTGACAGGCTGCAGTTACTATTCTCGAAGAAGAGCTTGCAAGATAGAGAGAGCGCAAGTGAGCAACATGTTAGCCTCTCATAACTTCCTGATTCCTGTGAGGAATATTATCAAACAAGTGGTATGCATTGCAATACCAATGTACGGCCGCCTGTTTTTTTCACAGAAATAGGGAAGCAAAACTAATGACCATCTTTTTCCACCAATGAGCAGAGCCATGTGAACCCCCAATTGATGGTTATGGACACTCATAGGGCCCCTAACAGAACCCTCATTTGCTGACCTTGCAGCTCCACTTGCCTTCCATCTTTCTAACTGGCAAAGCATGGCACTCCACTCCCACACTTCACTTCACTCTCCCCTGCCTCACAACCACCATTATAAATAGCCATCAAGCACCTCCTCATCAGAATATTCAGCAGCAGATTCAAACACCACCCAGTTACCAAAACAGAACAAACTTCAATCTAAACCCACAAAGTTACCAACTTTAGCCAAAAATCAGTCATGGGTATTGGTCGATTCGCGTCAACGGTGCTCAATGTGAAGCATAAGATCAAGGGGAAGTCTCTGATCCACCATCACCACTGCAGTGACCATCATCAACAGAGTCAGAATCAAAGTCTCAGTGTGCCAAAGGGGCATGTTGCAGTTTATGTTGGGGAGGTGGAGATGATGATGAAGAGATTCGTGGTGCCGATTTCGTACTTGAGCCATCCTACATTCCAAGCCTTGCTTAGAAAAGCTGAGGAAGAGTTTGGATTTGATCCTCCCATGGGTGGCCTCACCATCCCTTGTAGAGAGGATGCCTTCATTGATCTCATGGCTTCTCATTTACATTGACTAGTTTAGTTCCCACTTGTGAATGATGATGATGATGGAAACCCACCACATTTTTTCATGTGTGGCTTAGCTAGGAGTTGTAATTAGCAAGTTTTGTAGTAATGAAATATCCATCCTCTTTTTGTATAAAAGTTTCAAGCTTCTCCATGTTGTTTCCTTCTTGAGCTCATGACTTCGCCTAATCCTGACATTCGAATGCTAATTACATATAACTCATTTAGGTTCTCACACATATTGATAGAGTTTGTTAAAGTTTAACTTAAACAAGCACATAGTTAAGTGATTGGTTTATAATTAGGAATGGTAATGGGCATATGAGTCAATGATGATCTATTTTTAGATGTGATGAGAAGAAAACATGTGAAACATATTTATCTTTATATAAAAAAATAACATTTTACTAAATACGAAGGAAGATCATTAAATGACTGGTGAATCGGAATTAGATGAAAGTTCATGCTATATTGTAGCTATGTAGTTATATAGCTCATAAAAGAGTCAAAATAGTATTCATATAAGCAAATATTAGCAAGAAATAAATTATAACGAATGAGACAAAATTAGGCAGATAAAAATAAGAATTACTCCTCATTTCACTCTATTAGGGATTGGAATATTTTGAATTATGCCAATGGGTTTAAGTTGTCGTCCCTAATACCAATATGAGCACTATATTAAGTGATTGCTTATAGGATTGTATAAAAAACAATATAATTAAAATTTTAACTTAAACTAGGTATTTTATTATTTTGTCTAAAAAAAATGCAGTCAAAATCGTGATTTAAAAGGTTAAACTTTTACTTTTTTAGATCACCAAAACGCTTCTACGTCAAATCTTGATTTTCTCTTACAAATGTAGTCAAAATCTACTCTTTACAGCGTAAAAGCTTACGGTTTTACGCTTCTAGATCACCCAACCGTTTCTACATAAAATCGCGCTTTTAACTGCATTGCTAAAAAGTCAGTTTTTTTGGGCGGAGCAAAATGGCATTATTGATTCCCCAATTCTTAAAAACAGTTTGTAGTTTTCCAACTCATCATGTGATTCACAATTGACTGGGAATAAGTAATTAGTTCATTCAGATTTCAGTTTGATTAGATCATTATTTATAAGGGGAATAAAATGTGATTATTGATCAAATAAGTTTGATGATTAAAAAAGTTACGATTTTTTCCAATAGAATGTACACATAGTAGCAATAATGAATCTATTAAGCAAATTTAAGTTAGCTAGTTTTTTGTGCTACAATTGCACTAAATCTTCCATGCTACAACCCTGTGCATACAACACATCACAACATTTGAAAATATGATATACGTACACCTGTGAACCCTATATGAAAAGTCTGTAACATTTCACAAGGCTTTTATCCTGTACAATGATAAACAGGGAATAATAAGGCGAGTGTGAATTAAATAACTTTGTTTGGATCTTTATTTAACGGTTAAAAAGATGAGTATTTAGGATGAAAAATAATATAAGTTTTGTGTTTGGACAAGCATAGAGGTTGGCGGATGTGGGTGCAATCTAGAAGAGGATATGAAGTCTTCGATGTAATTATGCACGAAAAAAACTCAAATCATCAAGACAATCAATCGAAACTTCTATAACATTTAAAGTTATTTACCCATGCACGGAGTCGACGAATCGCACTCTCTCTATAGCCGGCCAAACGTGCAGGCATGCAGAGTAGTACCTTAGCCTACCACCCTCTCACACTTATGAAACCTCATGCCAGCTTTATACGAAAGACTCACAGGTGGGTCCTTGAAAACGTACGGCTTTTGACCGTCTTTCTTCACAGATTGTCAGATATCGGGTGGAGATGACCAAATTCCAAACCTCCAATCGAGAATCTCACCGACTATCTTGAGTTTCCAAATGCGAAATCTGTTTTTTCTGACCACAATCTTATTACCACCAGTGTGTTTATCATTCCTAAATGGAAAAATATTCTGTGACAATGGCTAGCCATGAACTCAATTTGATCGGTACAACAATCACCTAATAAATATGGCAAGCCATTGAAGCCAATCGTTATACAGCTATTGGAGTGGAATTATAAATTATTGACGTCTTCATCAGCAATTAATAAACGCTGAGGAAACAACAATTGGGTTCAGAAATTATGGAGAAGATAGCAAGTGAAAGTGGATGCATGGCTTGCTTTTGCTTACATCATTTGAGAGAATACCATTACCACCACCAGGCTGCTGCATGCGCCCTCTGTTTTGCAGATTTATTAAACTGATCCAAAAGGTTCTTCCTTGGATGATGTCAAATTTCCCATTCCTGCGTTTATTTTATAAATATTTGATTTCCAAGATAGCTGGCGCAGAATCAAATACAATACAATTCAATTCCCAGGCGGAGAAAGTGCTGAAAATCACATGCAACCATGATCGGTACTCGGTTTTGCTGAGCTAGTCAATCAATCATATACTCCCATGTGACAAAGCGAAAAGCACAGAGCTTCATCAATTATCCTTGCTTAATTAATTGGTTCACATTACTGCAAATGATTAATTAACTAACTAAAAGTTGTGCTAACATTTAAAATGAAATCATTTTGTATGTAATAGGGTCTCATCTTAATAGATTTCTCATAGGAATCTCACCACGTACTTCCAAGAAAGATGGATGCCAAATATTGCAAAAGTCGCGGTGATCACACTCCATAATCATTCGATCAAGAAGTAAACACACAAGGATACCTAGAAAGGTGGGGGGGAAAAGACATAATTCGAGCATCTTCATGGGAAATTTCTTTCATCTTTAAAGCCTCTTCTTATGTATTAGAAGTGTATCATGCCAACGATTTTGTAATCAATACGCACACGGCACATCAAAGTCTCTTCTTATGTTAGCACATCATCTAAAATAAAGCATTTACGTTATATGCCCGATGATTAATACCCAATAGTGGTGGTTCCTGGAAAAAAAAAAGTAATTCATCACAAACGTATCATAAAATATGAAATATGTGGACACTGAAAAATAAACAAAACAGTCTGACTCAACCACCGGTTCTCTAACAAACCTTTCGGGTTTCACATGATCTACATTATCCTCGGCTTAATATCTTCATAAACTAAAAAACATAATAAAAGAAAATTTGATATTCAAGCGTGTTTTAACTTATATTGCTTCCATTTCAGCATTGACACCTTCTCACGATAGTTTATCTACAACAAAATAACATCAAACTGATCATATATAGTAGATAAGATAGCTAAACTGCAAAAGCTAAAATGAGCAAGTGATAGGTTAACATCAAGCTAAAAGTACATGAAAAGTGAAAACAACTCAGAAGGGTCTGAATACGAAATTAGTACAGAAAAGAAGTACCCCAAGAGTAATTAACCAATCCCACCACACCCCACCCACTTGCCACTTGCACTTGCTCTTCCCCATGACCATGAGCTCCTTCTCCTCCATAGCTATTTATAGATCCCAATCCACAATTACACCACACCAATCTCAAAAACCTCCATCCCACCACACTCCTCTGTTCTCAGAAGAAAAAACAGAGTACCAAAGAAGTTTGTAATTAACAATAATGGGGATCCGAAGCTTGCTGTCTTCATCCGTGATGGTTGGAGCCAAGAAGATCGTGAAGGGGAAACGCCGCAACCAGCAACAGAAGCACCATTGCCAACACACCTTTCCATCGGCCGCCGCAGCAGAGGATCGTCATCATCGTGCCGCTGTGCCGAAAGGGCACATTGCAGTTTACTTGATGGGCGATGATCAAAGAAAGGAGGAGACTCCGATGAAGAGGTTCGTGCTGCCGATTTCGTATGTGAACCATCCGATGTTCGGGGAGTTGCTGGATATGGCGGAAGCAGAGTTTGGGTTCCATCACTCCATGGGAGCTCTCACTCTGCCTTGTGATGAGGACTCTTTCCTCCATCTCATCTCTTCCCCTGTATTTTGATCCGTTCCCTCCAGCTTTAATTCTTGAGTTATTAGATTAGTCTTGTGATGTAATTAGCAGAAGAAGTGAGCACATCTATGTGTATGTAGACCAAATTTTGATTGGTTCCACACATATAATACAAAGATAGAATTGTATAAATTTCATATACAATGTAGTGAGTAGAGATACCAATATGTGTTTTTTTGTGAATATGGTTGCAGAATTTGTTTATTGTTGTGAGAATTTGAATGTATCTAGATTCATAAACGTTGGGTAGGCAATAAAGAGTTAATCGATTCTTTAAAATGAATTGATAAGTGATGTCAACATCAATCAACACAAATAAATAAATAAATATATATATATATATATATATATACATACAGGAGTGTATATGAGCAATTTGCCACATCAGCTGCCGAGAAGCAGCCCCTAATTTACGGAGGGATATTTTTGACAACAGACACTTTTACTATGGTGAAATTAATCAGTTGTAACCGAGCCTCACTCTGCCAACTTTGGGCCCGTTAGTTAGGTCTGCTAAAGGATAAAGGAGAAGCCAAGATTAAATGCTACTTGCCCGTAGCAGCCCGATTTGATTCTAAAAGAGGGGTGCAAATCCAATGGTCGGAGCTCAGTCCTCTCATTTGGGTCATCATCATCGGACAACACCCTTCGGGGCGGAGGGAGAGGGTTAAATTAGGTTTAAATAAGAATAGTTCACCTTTCAAATATTTTGTGCATATGATTCACCCAAAATTAAAGATGTATTTATTCAACATTTACAATAAATTTTCACCAAATCATATCTAATTGTTAAAAATAATTTTATTTCAATCAGGGGTAGGGAGAGTGTAACGGGTGGTTCTTTAAGACGAAAATGAGTAAATTAGTATAATAGTTTTTTACAGTGTGTATAATAGTTAATTGAGAATGAAATTTTGAGCACCTCTAATTGATAATGATTTACTGAGAGATTGAAAATTTTTTAAGCAAATATAATTTGGTTTTGGTTCGCGGGGAAGTGTTAGTAAATACTAAATTGTATTGGATTCATTATTAAATATTTCTCAACAACTCGACTTATCGATACTAAACGGTCTTGACAAAGAACATCATTCAAAAGTAAATGTCTAACTAAATCATGAATAATTGTTTGATACACATGGATCGATATTTTTGATAGTTTTGATATATATTTCAATTCCCAATTTTTGTAAATACAAAATTATATCATGAATGATTTAAAAAGTTAACAAAACTATTTATTGTATGTATATTTTTTAAAAATTGACTCACCCACAATAAAATACTGACTACACCCTTGTTGTTCGTGACACCAATAGCTTCATACTGCGATCAAAATTACAACTCCCCCATCGAGCAAAGCGATTCATGGATTGTGTCAAGCTATGACACAGGGGAGGTTTTCTTTAAAAGGATTGCTACTTTCTTCAAAATTAGGCACCAAACAACTGAGGGTAGGGGTGTTCAGATGGTTACCATGGTTATTACCAAATCAAATAAGGCTAAATTTCATTAACCATGGAATACAATATCATAACCAAATCGTCCAAACTAATACAACAACCAAATTAACCGAACTAAAGTTTAATAGGTTTGGTTAGTTGGTTAACCAGATTAACCAATATAAAATCACATTATCATTAAGTGAGAAAAATTTCAGTTAATTTATCAATTCACAATTTATATAATGAATAAAACATAACAATCAATATATAGTTATAGATTTATAGTTGACCCTTAACATAAATACATGCAACTAAGACAATTATCTTACGGTTAGTATAGAAGTATTCACCTAACACAAATTTATCACAATGGTATGGGTTAATGAATTATTGTGTTTGTTTGAATTGACTTAGTCTTTTAGCAATTTTCATAGGCTAAAAAGGACCTTGCTTTCAAGTTTTCATCCAACATAATGTATGAGATTTATCTAAATTATGCGTTCATATGTTGTGGTCTACACTCTACATATACAAATATACATTATAGGAACAATATCAAGCTTTATATTTTATGAGTCTAAAAGGGATGAACGTTTAACTCTTGAGTGGTTATTCAAAGTATTAAGTATGTATATGTATTAGATATATGGCTAATTATTTATCTGGTTAATTTGGTTTGGCTGGTTGAAAGTGACTGAAACCAAACCAAACCACCTAAACCAAACAAGCTAAGAACTTCAACCAAACCAAACCAATTATCCAAATTAACCAAACCAAATTATCCAAATAGTACTGGTTAAAACGGTTACCATGATAATCACACCGTTTGAACACCTCTAAGTGAGGGAACATTGTCATAGTCACTTTGTGTGTGAGAACAATAGTACAATTTAATGAAATAGCGCTACAGCTGGAATGCACCTGTCATCTTGATAATTACAATCATTTATGTTGGGAAAGATAGAGCGTGCAATGGTATGAAGGAGTTCAGACTCCCATTCTCATCGGGCCCCAAACTATATGCAAACATGGACATCCCACAAGTACATTGTAGGGAACACTAAGAAATAAAAAATCCTAACAACCAAGTATTGATTTGTAATAGACCGAGTTTGCCCGCTCTCCTCCCGCCTGACATTGTGGATTGAGATTGAAAAGAGAGGAGCAACCCGCTATACCTATATAGAAGAATCGTTGTTCTTTTACTTTCAAAAATCTAAACTTTCGATGCCCAACTGAAACGGAGCAAAGCCGCTTCGCATTGCTGATAGATTACTTAAAATTAAATGCAAACGGACTAAGAAAGGCATCTTAATATTTTTATGGGTAAGTATGAAAGAGCTTGCTACTTCGTTCCTTCGTCTCCATTACCTTAGGCTCATTCTAACCTTGGTAACATTTGGAGTGGGAATAGAAGGCGGCAGTCGTAGAGAAGAGTGAAGAGGAATAGGTAAGATGTGTGTGATATGTTATTAGGGATTATAATGGGGAAAAAATTGTACTTTTATTTTTTAAATTATCGTGATTGTAGTAAAATCAAGACAATGATGTGTAGTATGAATGATGAAATACTCACATCCGGCCAACTGGCCGGGCAAAACACTAGTAATTAATATACATTTTAGACTTTCACACTTTAGCTTGTTGTTTGAAAATGTAAAATATATATGAATGATTTAATCAAGTTACAATCATTGTTATAGATGTAAATTTTCTTCGTTGCTTGTCTGTGCATTGCTTCCATTTTTCTTCCATTGCAAATTAGCATATCTTAACAGATCAAGAAAAACACCTATATCTTTTTGTAGATTATTTCAAAGAGAGATATACTGGGTTTTGCTTATGTAAAGTTTGTAAACCAACAGAAATCAGTGATAAAACCATGTGAGATGTGACAAAGAACAAGTGCTTCATGGAAACATTTCCTTGCAAAATATTAATTGATACAATAGTACATGTTAGCTTTACCAACATTTTTAATTGGACATTTTCAGTAGAGCATTCATTGATACCAAATCCGAGAATGATAAGGAAAAATGCCAATTACACACGAACTCATGGTGGAGGATTTGGAATCTATTAGGAGGCTCAGTAATACAATTTTTTTTTAATGCGTGATTGGGTCGTTGTTTACATCTATTCCTATACCAGTCCAGAACAAATCCATCTGCATCTGTCTTTTCTCATATCTTGCAAACGCGGTCGTTTTTGTCCGAATCAGTGTCGGATTCGAAGATCGATTATAAGAGGGGAAATTTGTGTTCGTTTTTGGGTTCTAAGAATCAAATAGGACGAGGTTCATTTTTGGATTATCGAGTGCACTGTTTTTATTTGTAAATAATAGATGCTAGAGAATTATTTGTTTTTTATTAACAATTTGAATTTTGTATTATTTCTCAAGTTGACATGTTGTTGATTGTTAGTCAATGATATTGACAGTCCAACTTAATGGTCAATCCCTAATTCCGCGAAATTAGCTTTTGTGGATGTTTTTTTTAATGGAAACCTGTATTCGATTCAGAAAATCACCCTCTGTTACATGGGCCGCGGCCCAGATCATCTTCCAAAAGAGCTAGCAAAGAGAGGGGTGGATTGTCAGTCCACACCACTTGACGGTCCCAAACCGATCCCGAATGGGCCAACCAATGGGTAACCCTGTTCTTCTTTCTACCGGCAAACGACCAAACCACCGGGGAACCAGACAGATCTTCGTTTACCTTCGCCAGCCTCAGAATTTTGTCACACCAGTTTCCCAGCTCAGTGAAATCCGCTTCCTTCTTCTTCAGCTTCTTGATGAGCACTTGGCAGTCTGACTCTATAATTAGGGGGCTCAAATTCTTCCGATTTGCTTCCACCAATCCCATCACCAACGCCCTAGCCTCCGCCTCGATCGGTCTACAAAAACCCTTCTCCTTCTTCAAAGTAGCCCCAACAAAAGCACCCCTCCAATCTCTGAACACACAACCGAAACCCAATCCCCCACTTTGGAACACACCTGCATCAGAGTTAAGCTTGACAACACCCACTGGGGTAGGGCTCCATTGATGGTTCTAGGGATCACTTTGCATCGCACCAGGGGCTGAAGATCTGGGCAAAAGGTCTTGGGCCTCGAGATAGGAGCCGATCCAGGACAGCGCTCGGGGGATGATATCGCATTCCTCGAGCTTGAGGTTGTTGTACTTTTGGTTACACCTCTCTTTCCATAGGAACCAAAGGATCGAGGTAAATTTCTGATTTTTTCAATACAGCATACCTTCCAAACCTCTTTCATCCATTCAAAAGCAATTCGATTTTCCCCAAGCTCATAAACGTTCTCCACTTCGCAGCCCTGCCATTGACATCTGATCCAAGCACAATCCCGAAGCGCATGCATCTGAGTCTCTCTAAGATTGCAAAGGGCAATCATCACCAGCAGTATCAATCCATTCATTCACGTTGCCCCAACTGGTAAGATGTTCTTGCATAACTTCCAGAGAAAAATTTTCACTTTAGGTTGCGTCGGTAGGTTCCATAGATTTTGCCAGAACTCAGAATTATCCTCCCCAGAACTGTGAGAACGCTCAATCTTGCTCTGCTGCTTATTATGAATCCAGAAATAGGCAGACCTTACAGTATAGGAACCCAAAATAGAGTCTTTCCAAATCCGAGAATCTTCTTTAGGGGGGGGAGCTAAGTGGAATCTTAGAAATCAAAGCATGATCCTGAACTGAGAATAATCGCCCAACTTTCTGAGAGTCCCAAATCCCCTGTTGATGATCAATAATCGAGCTAACCAAATCGTTCGGAGTCTCATTTGCTGGAACAGGATCTGGATAGAAAAAAGATTTCCCCTGGATCCATTCATCTTCCCATATCCTTATCGAATTCCCATCTCCCACCTTCCATCTAAACCCATCAATGATTGTCTCCTTTGCTGTCCAGATGCTCTTCCATATATAGCTAGGGCAGTGACCCAGTTTTGCTCCAAAAATATCATTCCTTGGAAAATACCGAGCTTTTAGCACTTTAGCCAGATTGAAGGCCTTCATATCACGAAAACCCATACCTCCCTCCTCCTTACTATCACAGAGTTCATCCCAAGAGATCCATTTGATTTTCGTTTCTTTTCCCTTTTGACCCCACCAAAAGTTTGCAATCAAGCCTTGAAGTTCCTGGATAATCCCATCAGGAAGAAGGACAACTGACATAGGATATAAAAATTGTGCCTGCGCTACAGCTTTAATCAGTATCTCTTTTCCAGCCTGGGACATGATTCGATTTTTCCAATCTTTAAGCTTCTTCCTCACTCTTTCCTTAATGTCAGCAAAGATAGCCTTTTTTGATCTACTAACCACCGTAGGGAGTCCCAAATACTTTGGAAACTTATCAACTTCTTTAATGCCAAGAGTCCCTCTAATCTCCAGTCTCCTGCTGCATCTGACATTATTACTAAAAAAGACCTCCGATTTATCAAAGTTTATCAATTGACCAGATTCCTCAGAATAAGCTTTCAATAGACCTTTCAACTGATCACGGTCTTTTAGGGTAGCCTTCCCAAAGATAATACTATCGTCCGCAAACAAAAGATGGGAAATCGAAGGAGCCTTCTTGCGGATTTGAATCCCATGAATCATCCCCTCTAATTCTGCCTTTTTTATAATGGCTGAAAGACCTTCAGCACAAATCAGAAACAAGTAAGGGGATAAAGGGTCCCCTTGCATAAGCCTCCTCGAAGGTATGAAAAATTCAGATTTGTGACCATTCACCAAAACAGAATATGAAACCGTTGACACACATTTCATGATAAGATCAATCCATCTCTGCTCAAATCCCAACTTTCTCATAGCATTCTCAAGGAAAGACCACTCAACTCGGTCATAGGCCTTGGCCATGTCGAGCTTTGCTGCAAAAAATCCATCCTTACCCCTGCCCCTTTTCTTCATAAACTGGAAGCATTCAAAAGCCACAATCACATTATCAGTTATACTCCTTCCAGGAACAAATGCACTTTGCTCTTCCGAAATAATATCATCCAAAATCTCTTTAAGTCTGTTAGCCAACACTTTGGAGATAATCTTATAAATCACACAGCAGAGGCTAATAGGCCGAAAATCTTTAGCAGTAGAGGGAGCTTTCACCTTGGGAATGAGAGCAATGAGAGTCTGGTTTGATTCCGGGGGGAGATCACCATTATTGAAAAAATCTTGAGCAGCCTTAATCACCTTAGCACCCACCTGCCCCCAATTTTTCTGGAAGAAACCTGCAGCAAAACCATCCGGACCTGGGGCTTTATTAGGCCCCATTTGGTCCAGAGCCTCCTTAACTTCTTCGTCTTTTAAGGGTTTAAGAAGAGAATCATTCATCGCAGGGGTCACTTTTTTTTTTCATGGCCTCAATGACAAAGTCACAGTTTGGGGGATTACCTTTAGTGAACAAATGTTTGTAGCAATCAAGGAGACACCGAGAGACCTCCTGTTTCCCTTTAAATAATCTGCCTCTTTCACCTCTTAGCATTTTGATGGTGTTCCGTTTCCTTCTGGTCATCGCTTTAGAGTGGAAAAATTTTGTGTTCTTGTCCCCACCCTTCAACCAGTCGATTCTCGAGCGTTGTTTCCATAGAAGTTCCTCTTGATAGATCAGCTCAGTTCTTTCCTCTTCCAGTTTCCTCCTCTGTTCCAGAATTGCCTCCATTTTTGGTTTGTATTTAAAACTCTTCAAGACACTGTCAATCTTCTTCCGGAGATCACCGAATTTCCTCTTACTCCACGCCAACAGATCTGATATGCATTTCCTCAGAATAGAGATGAGCTCTTCATTATGATTTTCTTCACATGCTTTCCTAACTATCTCTGCACATTCAGGATCTTCTAGCCAAAAAGATTCTGTTCGGAAATACTAGCCCCATTTGATGTCTTCCTCCTCCCTTCCAGCCGTGTAAAGAAGATTGGGCAGTGGTCCGATCCACACCGATCAAGGTGCAACACTTGATGCTTAGGATAACAAGTTATCTAGGCCATTATGGATATTTTTGAAAATATTGGTCAAATTACTCATTTAGGATAAAGTTCAGCCCATTTTCAAGCATTAAATCTTGATAAAAACATTAAGAAGAAATATTTCATAAATCAACGACTTGATTACTCAATGTTTGGCTATAATTTTCTTCTCAACACTAATTGACCACTTCAGCTGTTCAGCACAGTCAAACAATTGACTTTTTATTTCCACCTCAACATGACTTGACCATGATGTTTGAACGAATTGAAATCAACGATTTAGCTATTATATTGGGATTTTTCCAGAAATAGCACATTTAAAAAAAATTACAAAAATAGCACACATTTCATAGAAATTACAAAAATAACACCCTTTTTTTAAAACCGCACCCCTGGTGCGTTTTGCATGTAAACCGCACCCCCCGGGTGCGTTATGTCTTTAAACCGCACCTTGGGGGTGCGTTTTATCTTTCTAGGCCAAAACTGCATCTTGGCCATGCGGTTTACGGTCTGACCTAACCAAACCGCATGGCCTAGATGCGGTCCTGACCTAGCAAAACCGCACTTTGGGGATGCGGTTTTGCTTCTCCAAAACAAACCGCACCCTCAACGTGCGGTTTTGGAAACACAAACCGCACCCCCCCCAATGCAGTTGTGTGTCAATTATTTTCCGACACCAGACATGCAGATTGACAGATGTGGGGCTGCATGGCAGATGAAAACCGCACCTGTAAGGTGCGGTTTTCATTGATGATTTTGCCTATAAAAGGCAGCCCGGGAAATCTTCTTCTCTTCACACCTCTCCTTCTCCCTTTTCAATTTTCTATTGTATCTCTCTATTTCTCTAGTGTTTTTGCGGTTAAATTTAACTCGGAAGTTTATTTTGTATTACTTTTTATTGTGAATTGTGAATTGTGATTTTTATGATATTAGTTGAACTACTATTTTTTTGCATATGGCATTCCAAAAGTTCACGCTTGGGTTACGGTGGAATGGTTACACGGAAGAGAGCGGAAAGGGGGTCACCTACGTCGGTGGCAATTTTCAAAAAATAAAGGTCGCTACCAGACCGATGCTTGAAGACCTTTATCAAATGTGTAATGATGTTACTTGCATGGATGGCACGAGAAGAGTTGATCGTATGGTGTACCGATATCCAAACAGAGAAGGCGGGTCGTTGTGGTACGAGGAATATCTCATAACCACTCAGGATGAGGTAGATGCCATGCTCGAATTCTTGAGGTCCAACAATCTTTCCAAAGCCGAGATGTTCGTTTACACCGAGCCGGTCGTAGGCATTGGAGGTCATTCAGGAAACGGTCAAAATCTAGTATCCATGGTGGAGGTGAATTATATGGAGATCATCCCTACCAAAGTTATCATGATCCTCATTCCTATTTTCAGTACCAAGAGCAAGGTGAAGGTCATCATCAATCTTACCCGTCATATGAAGAAGAAGTTCAACCAAACCATGCCAACCAACCCCAGTACAACTTCCAATCAGGTAGTGGTAGTTTTCACAACTACCATTATGGAGCTTATGAAGGTGCCTTTAATGAGCTGGATCAGATGGAAGATGGCCTGCCAGCACCAGTCATTGACCCCTCCGATGAAGAATGAGAGAACAACGTCAATGCAGACAGCTCCGACCCTCTTGAAGGTGCTGATGATTCAGGACCAGATCAGACTCGGATAATGATGATGAGGTGGCTCATGACCGTGTACCAGTCCCCTACTACAATCACATCCTAGACAACAATTGGATGGTCGACAGTGATATGGAACCTCTGGAGGTTCCAATATGGGGTCCACTCACCGGGTTTATGAAGGGCCAACAATTTGGCTCGAAGAAGGAGGTGCGGCATGCCATTGATACTGAAGCAATGACTCAGGATTTTGAATGGCACACAGCTCATTCTAACACGAAAGGCTCATAGTCAGATGTCGTAATCATAACGAGGGATGCAATGTTAGGATTCGGGCCATCAACAGCAAGAGACACGGCCATTGGGTCATATCCCGTGCGGTGAACACACACACATGTGTGTCATCCATAACATCCCAAGACCATCGACAGTTGAAATCCAGGGTGGTTGCTGCGGCTATCAATCATCTAATTGAGCAAGATCCTGACCTGAAGGTGAAAGTCATAATCGCTGACATTGCAAGTCGTTATGGTTATATGATTAACTATAAGAAGGCGTGGCATGGAAAGCAGAAAGCTCTGGTCGCGGTATATGGTGATTGGGAAGAATCATATGCATTCCTTCCCGGGTTGATTTTGGCACTGGAGGCGTCTAACCCTGGCACTGTTTTCTCCCCTCGATACCAAGATGAAGAGGTACAATCCCCAAAGCCAGGTAACAAATGCCATTTCAGACGACTTTTTTGGGCATTCAAGCCATCTATTGATGGTTTTGGCTTCTGTATCCATGTGATCCAAGTGGATGCTACATTCCTTACCGGCAAGTACAAGGGCACTCTACGGATTGCCAGTGGGGCGGATGCAAACAAACAAGTCTTTCCGTTAGCCTTCACCATTGTTGAGGGAGAGAATACTGATAGCTATGGATGGTTTTTCCAGCAAATTCAGCTCCACGTCACTAGGAGTCGAACCTGACAATAATCTCTGATCGCCACGCCGGGATTAGAGTTGCCATCTTAGGTTTGGATTCAGTCTGGAAGTGGTCCCAAAGGTGGTGCATACGACACTTCAAGAGCAACTAGAACCATCATTTCAAGCGGAAGAAGCTTGCTGATAATTTGTGGTGGATTGGTAAGCTCTCTATTGGTTGTTTAATTTTGGATAAGAATAATATCTTATATCAAGTAAATGGTACACTTGTTAGACTCTTCCTAAAGAGATGCATGCATAAGGAAATGGGGTTTTAAGCGATTATCATGGTCCTCCCATTTCCTGGGAAAATCGGGTTTTAAGCGATCCTCTGATCCCCCCTTGGAGGTGCGGTTTGATAAAAATGGTGCTACTTTGTAAATGTTGTGGGCTGGATGCTATTTTTGTATTTTTTTAATAGATGCTATTATTGGAAAATCCCTATTATATTGTATTTTGAAAGTTTTTTTTTGAAATATTTTACTATTATTTTGTTAAAAATCAAAATTTTACTCAGAAAATGATTTTCCTAGCCAGACAAATATGACTATAGCCGCCACCACAAAGTTTCATCATTAAGTAACTTTTGTGAGTAAAATTTATCATGTAGCGACCGACCGTTTTATTGGTAAGAAAAACCCATTTTGCCGTAGCATGAATTATTTATTACCTTATCCTCTGGAACTAAATGTACTACAACTTTTTATTAAAAAAAATGTACTACAACTATTCCCCCAATGAATACTACAACTTATTTCCAAAAATGTAAGATAAAAACAAAACAATGTGGTCTCCTTTTTTATCTATTTTCTTCTCCTTCTCCTTCTCCTTCTTTCCCTTCACGTGAACTGTTTGATTAGAAACACAACACACTCTACTTCTGCCAATAATCACATATGTCATAAAGTGAAGTATATTTATCCCACATGCATGGTCCAAAGGCTTTAATGAGCCATTTTTCAGTCGAAGGGTCGTTATAATTAATCGTGTCATCGTATATATCATACCAATGGAGTCCGTTGCTTCCTGGCCATTCAAAGGAACAATAGAATAGGGTTCTGAAAAACAATGTCGTCCTAAATGTAAAATGGAAGCTCTCATCATGTCCCAACATCCTAACTCCAAGATCGTCGTCTTTGGACTTACAATGTACCTTCAATTGCACCTTGAGTGTGTTGGTTATTACCACCGTCCTCTTGACAAACACCGGAAAGATCCTGTCGACTTTGTGGTTGGCTTCAGCAATGCCATCCATGGTTCCAATAGTCAGCATGAATATGACATTAAATATCAATATTGTACTCCTTATCCTCATGCTCGAATTCAACATATGTTGTATATGGTGTAATGCCAATGTATGTGTAGTAGGCACATTTAGGTGAAGTCAATTAGCATATGTAGTTGTGTATACGCGCATTAATTTCGGCCTTTTAGTTTTATTAGTTAGAATGGATAGCTCAACTCTATATTCTTTTTCTATTTTCATCTCGAAGTTGTTTTTGTTTTCCGAAGTTAAAGATTATTCCAATTGTAGGTTTTGTCCTAAAGACGCGGTTGAATAACTCCTTAATTGTTCTAAATTAAGAGAGTGTTTTTACCTTGTAAAGAGCCAATAACAACTAACTATTTATTAAATGAGTTAATACCATAGTTATGCATGAATTTATATAATGGACCTCTTTGGTATGAAACTTTAAACATTCATATCATATCCAAAATTTCAAAATAACTTAACCAATTTGACTCATCTCATGAGTGGAAGTCCTTTTTTGTCTTAGATATCCCATGGGGAAACAATTAGATACAAATCGAAAGCCTTTTCAAACAACCGTTACAAGGCATATAATAAAAGAGGGCGACAACAACCATAGGTCGAGCCATTGATAAAAGGGTCTTTTTTGTCACAAATGGGAAGGCCTTTAACGGTCAAAATTCTTTTTTGTCTTGGATATTATTTTAAGAGACTTTACTCATTTTAGAAATTGTAGTTATTATAATATTAAAATAGCTTTTTTATAATTTTGATTAGTTTTCATAGCTTTTGGTGGTAACAGAGTAAAAAACTTTGACCTCCTGAACACCAAATCATTTAAATTAGGTTGCTTTTTTATCCATGTATAATTTATTTATCATAGAATAAACAAATACTAAACTGTTGGGTTATTTTAATAGTGTGAGGTTATAAGGGTATTGGGCTTATTTTTATAGGGGTGAGTTTATAGTTTGGGTGGTTTGGATGGTTGAGTTAAGTGAGTTATTTAACAATATTTTTGATGACGTGAAGTGCTGTTTGGATCAAATTAATAACATTTTGAATGAAGAAGGACAACAAATTTATTTTTGTTATTTGCGGCACTATCTTAATTATTCGATGACCATGAGAGACATTTAAAACAGGCGCAGTATTTATAGGTAGGAGATTATGCATGTGAGTGAAGTTGTTGTGGTGTGTGACATATTTCTACATAGATAGAATTTGCTCCATAGATGTATGAACAATCGGAATTTATTGATTAGGATAAGGCAACTCATGGATAATAGAAGTTCATGTTCAGTCATGATCATTCCAATCCCAAAAACTATTTTTCGTTTCATTTTTTACTTTGAATTTTTTTATGATTCGTAAATTTGACCATTCCAATCCCAAAGTTGTTTTCCGTTACATTTTTTACTTCTAATTTTTTGGCAATTGACGTGTCATTTACTTATTCCAATCTTCATGAACCAGTATCTTTGCTATCAATTGATAGAGCCTTGTTTCAAAAGGCATATGGGCAAATGTTTGCATTTGCCAATTAAAACAATTAGAGCGGCGTTTAACATTGTAGAGAGGGGAAAAAAAATTCACAATTTAAAAAGTGCAATAAGATGTGTCATAAAAAAAACCCAAATTATGAGATTGTTAAGTGAAAAGTATTCAACCATCCATAAACACTCCCCAACTCAAAGAAAATTGTTATCCCTAATATTTGAGGAATTGCTCAAAGCAATTATTGGTGAAACTAACACTGTTATCTATTTTGGTAGCGGCTAATGATTCCACTGATAACAAAAATCATACTTATGAGCGCCTGCATCGTAAAAACATGGACCACTCTTCTTGATAATCCATTGACAATTGGTGCAACGTCTGTAATCCCTATCAAATATGTAAATGTCAAACCAATGGATTTGTCCTTCTCCCCAGTCCATCGAGCAGTAGAACAAAGTGGTTCCCCAAATGTTTGGACGAAACTTAAAAATGAAATCATCAAGTGTCTTCAGTGTATATACACCAAGGTCGTCGTCTTTTGATTTGCAATGAATTATCAATTCTTTACCTCCTTCCACCCTGTTCTCCATCCGTACTATCGTCGGGCGACGAAACCAATTAATAGGATCCCATTTTGCCTCAACAAGACAAGTAGTTAGTGTTGACAATAAGATGAGGACAACTAAAATGACATGATTTTGCGGCATTATCGTTGGTTTCTATGTTTCTTTGATGATCATGAGAGGCATTTAAGGTAGAAGTAGTATTTATAGGTAGTTAAATTAAGTATGGGAGTGAGGTTGTTGTGGTGTGTGTGACATATTCCTACGTAGATAGAATCTGCTCCACAAATCTATCAACAAGCTGAAGTTGTTGATTAGGATAAGACAAGTAATGGGTAACAACGGTTGGTGATTTTTCGAAAAGAATGTTGGGGAATTTGACCATTTCAATCCCGAAGATCTTTTATATTTTTTAACTTATTTTGCTTCTAAATGAGATGTCAATAATCCTTAATTAATGTCAACCATATATGTCGATTGGCGATTCAATCAGTACCCCATTGATAGGGGTGAAAGTTTGACCCGGAAGACCCACCGATCCGTCCAGACCCGTTCCGTCCCTAAGAGTCAAATCGAAAAGATACATTTATGTATGCGTTGTTGGTTGCGTTGAGCGCGAGACTGTATACCTGTCTTTAGACAACTTAACCACAAAAATCTCAATTCTATTGTTTTACCCAATTAAACTTAAATGACTAACTAAAATTAATTTAACTTAATGTGACAGCTAGCTAATTCCTAGGACGAAGCTTTAATCACTAGTCAATCACCTTAGAGTAATCCAACGTTTAATGACTACACTTAAACTTAATACAGGAACAAAACCCACTCACTTAAGCCTAGCAAAGTAATCGGATCAGGTTTCTAAACCCACTCACTTAAACTTCCCTATATATGCTAAACCTCTTTACTCTCGGTTGGGCTTCAAAGCCCAGTAGCTTTCGGTTAGGATAATGAGATAAATAAACCAGAAAGCAAATTTCAGCCCAAGCAGCTCAGACGAGTGAAACGACCGAGTTTCAATTCACACCCAGACTTGTTTCCCACTAGGATCCTCGATCCAAACTTAGTCCTGCATCAGTTAGTGTGAAGAACAAAACATGAACATGAAACTCACAGCAGCTTTAACCCAGAAAATTAAATCAAACCCAGGAAATATAAACGGATGAAATAACTCTTCGGTCAGGGCCTCCTTTCCACTCAGTTCTGATCAAGATCCCTTTAACCACAGCCTGCACAGAAGCACTAACAGAGCATTCACAGAACACAAACAGAGAAACAGAATAAAAAACACACCAGGCGATTTTTACGTGGTTTCCAGTATTGGGAGAATGAGGATCCCAATACTGACTACTCCACGGTCAGAGAATCACGATCGAGTGATCTCTGACGATTCACTATGATATGACGTTGAAGTTCTTCGTTACAAGCAATCTACCAAGAGCCCTTTGATCAATCTCTACCCGATTGATCTAACTCTCTTTTCTCAAACCCGAATTGCTTCCCCAGCAACTCGAAACCAGTGTTTCCCCAACACTAACCCTCAAAGCGATTCTCCCCGAACCCTTTGAGAACCCCTTTCCTATCACTCTAGCTATACTCACAAAATCCCCTTTTGACTTAGCTAGTTTTTGATCTCTTGAAAGGTTGGTTTTGCTCTTCCTTCTAATCGCCTTTTATAGGCAACAATGTAGCTGTTGAGAATTTGAATTCCCTTGAAATCTTCAACTATGGCAAGTTCTTATTCTTTCTTCTTTTGACCCGAAAACTTGCCTCAACTGTTTTTTGGGCAGCCACCTTAATTCCAGCTGTGATTTGATTCTTTGTCTTGGCCTTCAAGCTGCTCCTGTCAACATGCGTTACTTGTTCGAGGCAGGTATTCTCAACTCTTGTTGACTAAGTGGGAGATTGTTAGAGTTAGTCAATAGAGTTGTAATAAGAAATTGATGGGAGAAGTAAATTATAAAGATGGAGTCTTTTGGCATTAATTAATTTTATATTAATTAATTAATTAACGTTTGAATATTGTGAAAAGAAGTGCTCTTCCAGAAAGGTAACTCCCTCTTTTCTGTGAAAGGATGTGTCCTTCCATAAAGGTAACTGCCTTTTATGTGAAAGGATGTGACTCTTCGGAAGGTAACTTCCAATTTTCACAACTATAAATGGATGACTGCCATAACTCTTTTGATGATGAGAGATACTTCTTCTTCCCGTTTTCCTTCTCAATTTCATAAACACAGAAGTCTGCAAGATTGCTGCTTCCAGACTTAAAATTGAAGGGACTCCTGGGGGTGGTTTGCTCGAGCCTACCAGCAATTTGTAATGGGGGCAAATAACACTCTAAGGAGAGTGATTAATCACGCCTTCAATCAATTCTTTCCTACCAGTTTCCTGACATGACAACTTAGGGATAAGTCACGTTTTGACCCTGTGACCCTTAGCAACAACAAATATTGTAACACCCCGAATTTCGGGTTATAGTTCGACCATAATACGGGACCGGTTGGGTTGTCAGTTGCGTACTAAAAATTGCAATCGCGGTTTAGTAATAATAATAACAATAATTATTATTATTATTACTATTTTATTATTTAAAAAAAAAAAAATTAACCCCAAAACCCGCCAGCTTTCCCCCAGCAACAGTTGAAGACCCGACCCCCTTTTATTTCCCCAAACCCTACCGCCAGCCTAATTCCCAAATTCCCCCGACCCTCTTCATATTCCTTTCCCCAACTTTATTCCCAGAGAGCTTTTAGCCAACTCTCTCGTTTCTCCTTTCCCCAATCAACCGCCGCCCTCTCCAATAATTGCCCGGGGAAAAAGAGAAACCGCCGCAAGTCCCAGCCGCACTAGTTGGAAGGAAGAAGAAGCCGGCAGCCGATCCCGATCCCAATCCTAATCCCATCCCTCTCATGTTTCTAGGTAAGGATCACAAACCCCTTCGCGATTTCTAAACGCGATTTATCGTTAGACTAATTCGAAGCTCGGATTTTTTTTAGCGGTGGCGTTGAAGGTGTGATCAGCGAGGAGATCAACGTTCCGGGTCGTCAAATCTAGGTCTAGGCACGTTCTGGAGGTAAGGGAACTCGATCCATTTGAGTTAGATCGATCGATTTGGTGTTTTTCTTGAGGGTGCAATTTTGTGGTTTTAGCAACAGGCGATCAGGCCTTTAGTGACAGGGTTTGGGTGGTCACTAAAGCTGCTGGGAATTTTCAGAAAATTGGTTTTGGATGGTTTAAATTGTTTCGAGTCCCTACAAGGGTTTGTTCTTGCGTTTAAAAATTTTATAAATTGGTGCAAGGCTAGGAGATGACTGTAAATTAATTTAGGAATTTTTGAAGATGTATTTATAATTTTAGAAATTTTTCAAACATTCGTTTTAATTAAATAAAAATAATTCCAAGGAGTTTATAAGGGTTTGATAATTTTCCAAGGTATAAGGATTTATGATTGTTATATGAAAATTACTATCAGAATTTTTGAGAAGGTTCAAGGTAGGTGGAAAATTCGTCCAACACTAAAATAATTAGGAAAAAGTGGTCGGTTTTGAAGGGATTGGTTTTGGAAAAATTTTAAAGTGGGTTAAGAGACCTTGGGAGCGAGCCTCGAGGGCTGGATGTTGAGGGGAGGATGTCCTAGTGACCCAAAAGGGATTTCTCAATCGAGAAAGGTCGGCTAAGGAGATGACTTTCTTGTTAATAGGTTCACCGAGATAATTCGGCTAGGAGGGATTCTTCGAGTAAATAATCGAGGAGTCAGCTTTTTAAGGTGAGTGTAAAGGGGGTAAATTCTACGCCTTACGTGTTCTTTCAAGAGTTACAAGTTTTGAGTATTTTGCTGAAGTGAATGTCGTTGTTTGATTGTACTTATGATTGATGATATGTGATTTTGGTTGAGCTATGCTTGATGAGAAGGTGCATGAGTTCTTATTTAAATTTAAGCTTAAGTTGATAAGTGATTGCTAAAGTTAATAAAGCAAGTCCTTTTTAAGAAGTAAATCGCCTTCAAGAAGGTGAAGTCGTTTTAAGTGTTTTTAGTCACTAGCGCCAGTCCGTTGCTTTTGAGACAGTTTGAGATAGAGCAGCAGTTATGCTCTTGAGATTTTAAGATGGGCAGCAGTTATGCCCTTGAGAATCGTGGTGAAGAGCCACCACGATAAGTTTAAGATGTTAGGGGGATGAATCGTTACGACTTCCCTAACTAAGTTTAAGTTTAAGGAAAGCCTAGGTGGCTTCTCATACGTATGAGTTGGCAACCGGACTAGCTAGTGAGGGATCCCAGTGTCAGTCAAAAAAATTTAAGTCAAGTTTTGAGCTTTAAGAAGGGAGCTTTAACTCCCGAAGAATTTTTGAGTTATAAGTGTTACGAGTGGAAGTACAAAACAACTCCCACTAGTAGAAGTTAAGTGTTTAGAGAAGAATACTAAAGTACCATAGATTTTATCGTAAGGGCGTAGACTGACCCCAACTCACTCACCAGATCGTAGAGGAGGAAATCCTAACCAGCCATTCCGTGAGCAGCAAGCTAGAGGGACTCAACACCATCGTCGCTGAGAGATGTCGAGCCAGGCGTCAGAGTAAGCATCAGAGAACTTTTTCCGGTTATTAAGTCCTTATGGTTAAGAGTTAAGGATTGGAGATTTGTTTCTTTTGGACATTTGAGTTTTGCCCACGTGTTTAGGGCTTCGATTTGAGATATTGAGATATTTAAGTTTGATATTTTATTTAAACTTGTGTTATTTGAGATTTTTAACTATACCTCGGGGTAGAAATGTCTTTTTTCCAAGTTCAAAGAGGTGGGATGTTTCATTTTGGTATCAGAGCCTGGCGTCCTCTGTTTCTTGGTTCCCAAGAAATATTGGAATGTCGGTCTCAGTTTTTAAAGGTTTTGTTTTAAAGATTTCAAGTCAAGGTTTGGCCAAACCAGTCAGGATTTCTTTTAAGAATTTAGAATCTCCAGTCTACTCTAAACCATATCAAGGAAGAAATAACTGAGATCTAACGAAACCCTGTACGTCTACAGTGCAAGTGTTGGCCCGCAGCTCACACCACCGGTGCCAGTACCAGAGAGGCGTCCGCCAGACTATGTAGGGTTCCGGAAGAGAAAGGTGGAAGATTTTAAGGGGGGACGTTCAACAGACCCCATGGAAGTAGAGCAGTGGCTAGCTAAGGTCACTCGTACACTGGCCGAGATGAGAGCTGATGATGAGGACAGAGTGCTGCTGACAGTGTCCTTGCTGCAGGACGCTGCATACAACTGGTGGACTACCCAGCCAGCTAGTCGAGAGGATCCCCCGGCCATCACTTGGCCAGAGTTCGTGCAGTTGTTCAAAGACCATTTCATTCCGGAGGCTTACCGGATCGGGAAGCAGAGGGAATTTTTGCTGATCAGGCAGAAGTGGGGCAATGAAGGCAGGGAAAGCGTGACTGAGTACACGGCCAGGTTCGACAAGCTACTTACTTATGGAGGGCCTCAATTTCAGGATGTAGCCGCTCAATGCATCCATTACCTGGAGAGCCTGAAGCCTGCTTTTCGCCGCCAGCTGAGTATTCTGAATTGGAACAACAGGGAAGAGATCTATCAGGCGGCTCTTCGATTGGAGAGGGCGGATACAGCTCTGTATGAGGAGGGGATACAACGAGAAGGGAACAAGAGGAAGGCTGTTAGCCTGTCTGAGGGGCCAGGACAGCCGAGTCACCAGAGAAGGAGACCATCCCAGAACTACTATGGAGCCACCCAAAGTCAGGCCGACTCAACCAGATCAGGGCCAACCTACATTCCTCGGGACCCATGCAACCAGTGTGGGAGGATCCACCTGGGAGAGTGTAAGGTGCATCTGGGAGGCATCTGTTATCACTGCAATGAGCCAGGCCACTATGCCAGATATTGCCCTAGGAAGGGAGGAGAGGGGAGAGCCCAGTCCGAGCAATCAGTCCGGGGCGGAGGAGGAAGAACTCAGACCGGGCAGCAGTTTAGTAACCAGCCAAACCGGTCTAATCACCAGCAGGGGGGAAATGCAGGGCGGTTCAACCGCAATGAGCGGGATCGAGGGCAAGGATCTCAAGCATCTGGGCAACCAAGACTGTTTGCCATGAGGAGAGAAGAAGCTGACGCTGCACCTGAGGTGGTGACTGGTATGATCTCGCTTTACCACCAGCCCGCTTTTGTGTTATTTGATTCCGGTTCCACGCACTCTTTCATTTCTACCAAGCTTGCTAGAACCTTAGGTATTCCATTTGTGAGGTTGGGGCAGAATTTAGGGGTCAGGACCCCAGTGGGGGATACCCTTATAGTAGACTCAGTCATTCGGGATTGTGCTATCACTGTGGCGGGACACGAATTCGAGGCGAACCTAATTTTACTACCCTTTGACGAGTTTGATGTCATCTTGGGTATGGATTGGCTGTCAAAGAATAGAGCAAAGGTGGACTGCTACAAGAAGGAGGTTAGCCTGGAGGTGGAAGGAAAGGGCACTGCTTTGTTCAAAGGGACTAAGAAGCTTATCCCTGGGTGCTTAATCTCCGCGGTTAAGGCATTCTCATTAATTCAAGAAGGATGTGAAGCATATTTAGCTCATGTTAAGGAGGTGCAAGAGAAGAAGATAGAAGATGTACTTGTCGTCATGGAATACCCCGAGGTATTTCCCGAAGATCTTCCGGGGCTACCGCCGCAGCGAGAGGTAGAGTTTGATATTGAAGTGATTCCTGGCACGGCACCGATATCTATTCCTCCTTACCGTATGGCACCGGTGGAGTTAAAGGAGTTGAAGGAGCAGTTGCAGGAACTGTTGGAGAAGGGGTTCATACGCCCTAGTGTATCACCATGGGGAGCACCAGTGTTATTCGTGAAGAAGAAGGATGGCAGTATGAGACTGTGCATTGACTATAGGAAGTTGAATAAAGCTACCATCAAGAACCGCTATCCTTTGCCAAGGATAGATGATCTCTTCGACCAACTACAAGGAGCAAGGGTGTTCTCGAAGATCGATCTACGGTCAGGGTATCATCAGTTGAGGGTGGCAGATGGTTCAGTGCCCAAGACAGCTTTCCGCACTAGGTATGGCCACTACGAGTTCTTGGTCATGCCGTTCGGACTGACCAATGCACCAGCAGCTTTTATGGCACTAATGAATCGGGTTCTTCATGAGTATTTGGACAAGTTTGTCATCGTCTTCATAGATGACATACTCATCTACTCGAGAAGTAAGGAGGAGCACGAGGAACACCTTAGAGTGGTTTTGCAGAAATTGAAAGAGGAGAAGCTATACGCCAAGTTCTCAAAGTGTGACTTTTGGTTGGAGGAGGTCTTGTTCTTGGGTCACATGATTTCTGGGCATGGAGTTGAGGTGGATCCCAAGAAGATTGAAGCTGTAACAAACTGGGCTCCACCAAAGAATGTTTCCGAAGTGCGGAGTTTTCTGGGTTTAGCTGGGTATTACCGGAGGTTTGTGGAAGGGTTCTCCAGCATTGCACGACCTATGACACAGCTATTGCAGAAGGGGAAAGCATTTGTTTGGGACGAGAAGTGTCAAACGGCGTTTGAGTCGCTGAAGGAGAAGCTGACCTCTGCACCAGTGCTAGCACTACCGACCAGCGGTGGGGAGTATTCCATCTATAGCGATGCTTCATACCAAGGCTTGGGTTGTGTGCTGATGCAGGATAAGAAGGTGATCGCCTATGCCTCGAGGCAGCTACGGCCCCATGAGGTGAATTACCCCACCCATGACCTGGAGTTGGCAGCAGTGGTCTTTGCCTTGAAGTTATGGAGACACTATCTCTACGGCGAGACGTTCACCATCTTCACGGATCACAAGAGCCTCCAACACCTGACTGATCAGAAGGAGTTGAACATGAGGCAGAGAAGGTGGATGGAGCTGTTGAGCGATTATGACTGTACCATTAGGTACCATCCAGGAAAGGCAAATGTGGTGGCTGACGCCTTGAGCAGGAAGAGGGAGAGCCCTTTACCGGAGTTGGTCTCTTTGAGGGCCATGAACGTGGAATTGGAGCTAGAAGAGGTAACAAAGTTGCTAGCAACTTTGAAAATTCGTCCTATGCTGCAGGAACGAATCAGGGAGAAGCAGAGTGAAGATTTGGAATTTGAGAAGTACAAGAAGCAAGTGTTAGAAGGGAAGGACACAAAATTTGAACTGGTAGATGGGGTACTAATGTATCAAGGAAGGTTGTGTGTCCCGGATGTCGACAAGCTAAGGAAGGATATTCTGGATGAGGCTCACTCTGCGCCCTATGCGATGCACCCTGGGGCTACTAAGATGTATCGTACCCTCAAGGAGCATTTCTGGTGGCCAGGATTGAAGAAAGAGGTAGCTACACATGTCTACCAGTGCTTGGAGTGCCAAATGATCAAGGCTGAACATCAAGCTCCAATCATTGAGCACCTACCATTGGAGATCCCGCAGTGGACTTGGGAGAAGATCACCATGGATTTTGTGTATGGTTTACCGAGGACCCCAAGGGGAAATGATGGAGTATGGGTGATTGTGGACCGCTTCTCGAAGGTGGCTCATTTTATACCCATCAAGTTCAAGCCAGGACTGGAGGAGCTGGCTAGGTTGTATGTGAGGGAGATAGTGAGATTGCATGGAGTTCCACTTAGTATCGTGTCTGATCGCGACCCTAGCTTCACGGCACGATTCTGGGTGAGTCTTCAAAAGGCAATGGGCACTAAAGTTCACTTCTCTACCGCATATCACCCCCAGACAGATGGGCAGTCAGAGAGGACGATTCAGACACTAGAGGACCTGTTGAGGGCGTGTGTCTTGACCATGGAAGGAGCTTGGGATGAGCATTTGCCTTTAATGGAGTTCGCTTACAACAACCAGTATCACAGCTCGATACAAGCAGCTCCATATGAGGTATTGTATGGGAGGAAGTGCCGTACACCATTGTACTGGGATGCAGAGGGCATGCGACAGCTGGAGGGTCCGGAGATGATACAGAAAGCAGTGGAGAAGGTGGAGGTAATTCGCCGGAACTTGAAAACAGCTCAAGACCGGCAGAAGAGTAATGCGGAGAGGCCAGGGAACCCGCGAAGTTATGAAGTGGGTGATATGGTATTCCTAAGGGTGTCTCCTTGGAAGGGAGTGATGAGATTTGGTAAAAAGGGAAAACTTAGTCCGAGGTATATCGGTCCATATGAGGTGTTGGAGCGCATTGGACCTTTAGCCTATCGACTTGCCTTACCTCCCAGCCTATCTAGGATCCACGACGTTTTCCACGTCAGCATGCTAAGGGCGTATCGATCCAACCCGGAGCATGTGATAAGACACGAGGACATCCAGTTGGAGGACGATTTGACCTATGAGGAGGTTCCAATCCAGATTGTGGATAGGCAGGAGAAGGAGTTGAGGAGGAAGAAGATTGCCATGGTAAAGGTGGTATGGAGAAACCAGGGCAGCGAGGCTGCTACTTGGGAGACAGAGAGTAGCATGAGAGAGAAGTACCCAGAGTTGTTTGTTGATGTTTAGATTGGTAGTGGGCGAACTCCTGTGTACTCTCATTTTTTTTTTTTTTTTTTTTTGGTACTCTTTCTAGTTCCCATTTCTCGATTTTTCAATAATAAGACCCGGGGGTTCAAGCCGGACTTACGATTGCTAGCAATCCAGTTCAACCTACAATTTCGAGGTCGAAATTTCTTAAGGGAGAGGGAAATGTTATATCCCAACTAGCATCGTCTCTTCGAAGACAGCGTTAAATTGTTCAAGTGGTTGATCTACCGTTCAAATTTCGGGGACGAAATTTTTATAAGGGTGGAGGAAATGTAACACCCCGAATTTCGGGTTATAGTTCGACCATAATACGGGACCGGTTGGGTTGTCAGTTGCGTACTAAAAATTGCAATCGCGGTTTAGTAATAATAATAACAATAATAATTATTATAATTACTATTTTATTATTTAAAAAAAAAAAATTAACCCCAAAACCCGCCAGCTTTCCCCCAGCAGCAGTTGAAGACCCGACCCCCTTTTATTTCCCCAAACCCTACCGCCAGCCTAATTCCCAAATTCCCCCGACCCTCTTCATATTCCTTTCCCCAACTTTATTCCCAGAGAGCTTTTAGCCAACTCTCTCGTTTCTCCTTTCCCCAATCAACCGCCGCCCTCTCCAATAATTGCCCGGGGAAAAAGAGAAACCGCCGCAAGTCCCAGCCGCACTAGTTGGAAGGAAGAAGAAGCCGGCAGCCGATCCCGATCCCAATCCTAATCCCATCCCTCTCATGTTTCTAGGTAAGGATCACAAACCCCTTCGCGATTTCTAAACGCGATTTATCGTTAGACTAATTCGAAGCTCGGATTTTTTTTAGCGGTGGCGTTGAAGGTGTGATCAGCGAGGAGATCAACGTTCCGGGTCGTCAAATCTAGGTCTAGGCACGTTCTGGAGGTAAGGGAACTCGATCCATTTGAGTTAGATCGATCGATTTGGTGTTTTTCTTGAGGGTGCAATTTTGTGGTTTTAGCAACAGGCGATCAGGCCTTTAGTGACAGGGTTTGGGTGGTCACTAAAGCTGCTGGGAATTTTCAGAAAATTGGTTTTGGATGGTTTAAATTGTTTCGAGTCCCTACAAGGGTTTGTTCTTGCGTTTAAAAATTTTATAAATTGGTGCAAGGCTAGGAGATGACTGTAAATTAATTTAGGAATTTTTGAAGATGTATTTATAATTTTAGAAATTTTTCAAACATTCGTTTTAATTAAATAAAAATAATTCCAAAGAGTTTATAAGGGTTTGATAATTTTCCAAGGTATAAGGATTTATGATTGTTATATGAAAATTACTATCAGAATTTTTGAGAAGGTTCAAGGTAGGTGGAAAATTCGTCCAACACTAAAATAATTAGGAAAAAGTGGTCGGTTTTGAAGGGATTGGTTTTGGAAAAATTTTAAAGTGGGTTAAGAGACCTTGGGAGCGAGCCTCGAGGGCTGGATGTTGAGGGGAGGATGTCCTAGTGACCCAAAAGGGATTTCTCAATCGAGAAAGGTCGGCTAAGGAGATGACTTTCTTGTTAATAGGTTCACCGAGATAATTCGGCTAGGAGGGATTCTTCGAGTAAATAATCGAGGAGTCAGCTTTTTAAGGTGAGTGTAAAGGGGGTAAATTCTACGCCTTACGTGTTCTTTCAAGAGTTACAAGTTTTGAGTATTTTGCTGAAGTGAATGTCGTTGTTTGATTGTACTTATGATTGATGATATGTGATTTTGGTTGAGCTATGCTTGATGAGAAGGTGCATGAGTTCTTATTTAAATTTAAGCTTAAGTTGATAAGTGATTGCTAAAGTTAATAAAGCAAGTCCTTTTTAAGAAGTAAATCGCCTTCAAGAAGGTGAAGTCGTTTTAAGTGTTTTTAGTCACTAGCGCCAGTCCGTTGCTTTTGAGACAGTTTGAGATAGAGCAGCAGTTATGCTCTTGAGATTTTAAGATGGGCAGCAGTTATGCCCTTGAGAATCGTGGTGAAGAGCCACCACGATAAGTTTAAGATGTTAGGGGGATGAATCGTTACGACTTCCCTAACTAAGTTTAAGTTTAAGGAAAGCCTAGGTGGCTTCTCATACGTATGAGTTGGCAACCGGACTAGCTAGTGAGGGATCCCAGTGTCAGTCAAAAAAATTTAAGTCAAGTTTTGAGCTTTAAGAAGGGAGCTTTAACTCCCGAAGAATTTTTGAGTTATAAGTGTTACGAGTGGAAGTACAAAACAACTCCCACTAGTAGAAGTTAAGTGTTTAGAGAAGAATACTAAAGTACCATAGATTTTATCGTAAGGGCGTAGACTGACCCCAACTCACTCACCAGATCGTAGAGGAGGAAATCCTAACCAGCCATTCCGTGAGCAGCAAGCTAGAGGGACTCAACACCATCGTCGCTGAGAGATGTCGAGCCAGGCGTCAGAGTAAGCATCAGAGAACTTTTTCCGGTTATTAAGTCCTTATGGTTAAGAGTTAAGGATTGGAGATTTGTTTCTTTTGGACATTTGAGTTTTGCCCACGTGTTTAGGGCTTCGATTTGAGATATTGAGATATTTAAGTTTGATATTTTATTTAAACTTGTGTTATTTGAGATTTTTAACTATACCTCGGGGTAGAAATGTCTTTTTTCCAAGTTCAAAGAGGTGGGATGTTTCAAATATCTCACACCACATTGGACCTTTTTGTAAATTTTTAAAAGTTTAGGTACTAACTTTTAAAAATAAAAAAAATTGGGTACCAAAATGCAATTTTACCATAAAAATTTATGGACTTATTTGTAAAAAAATACTTTTTAGGTACTAAATTGTAAGAAAAAACAATTTTGGGTACCAAAACGTAATTTATAAAAAAGTAGTGTGTTGATTAGGGTCGACCCACTAACCCGTCCCGTCCCAACCCTTGAGGATCACACAGGGTCAAGAAGGAGACAGTGACAGGACATGTTAGTTATACATCTTGACCCTTCAGGGACGGGTCAGACAGGATCAGGGACGGGACATGCAAATTTCAAGCCCTACCCATTGATAATGTAGATCTACTTTAATGATAATTTAACAAAAAGTTAATGATAAAGACTTGTTTATTTACAATCTACGTTGCGAGGAGGAATAATACGAGATGCATGCTTCATTGGCTCGCGACCATAAATGCTCACCAAACAAGTTAGTCATTGACCAAGTGATGACAAAGTGTTATCAATGGATTTTAATTCTTTAGTTGTTTCTAGAGTTAATATCTTATTTTGGTTTGAACTATACTCGAATTTTTTATTTTGGTCCGTGGTTTTTGAAATTGCTCACTTAACTCGAACTATGCATCATACTTCCTTGCTAGACCTGGCATAGATTTTGACCATCAAATTGAACGGTCAACTCCATTGACTGTTAGTCAAGTACCATGTCACTTGTCACGTCAGTGAACCCAAAATAAAAAGTTTGAAATTTGAATTTCTTTAATTATCTTCAATATCTAAAATTTGAATTATTTTTTATTAGAAAATGAAACGAATTAAATAAATTCAACATCCAAATTTTTTATTTCAGATTCGCTGACGTGGCAAGTGACTTGACTCTTGACTAATGGTTAATGGAGTTGACCGTCCAATTTGACGGTCAAAATCAGCACTGGACCAAACAAGAAAGTATTTTTTGTCAAAAGATATCATGTATTGATCGAAAAAATAGACAGTTACACCCTGGAAACCAGCCAAGCCTGGAAATCAAAGAAGCGACTCATAGTCGGATACAAAGAAAGGGCTTACTAGCTACCAAATGAGCCACCCTATTATTCTCCCGACATACAAAACGCACACTAAAGCCAGGCTGAGTACGAAAATAATGACCAATCTCTTCCAGAACGGCACCCAACCGGCTATCTCTTGTGTTGGCTTGATTAATTTTGTCAATAATCACCTTCGCATCGCCCTCAAACTAGACCTACGACAATCCTTGCTCCACACACCAAATAATAGCTTCCCTGAGCACAAGCAATTCCACCACTACAGGATCATCCATTTGAGAAAACTGAACCCCTCTAGCCAGAAGGAGTGTCCGCGCTGGGTCAAAAAGAACCATCCTACCAGCCGAATGCGACCCACCCTTAGTAGCCCCGTCGCACATGCAAACCAAATGAGAATCACCCACTTGCGTTGTAGGTTGCATCATCGGGATTGTCACCCTATGCGCCTGGTCCGCTGGTAGACCCACTCATTCCTCATACTGTTGGTTAAATTGTCGCATGAGCGTCGGGATCCCAAATTGTTTGCCTTCAAAGACTACCCAATTCCGAGATCGCCAGATCCTCCAAATGATGGCAACAGCCATAACCACTAACGTTGATGAATCAGCGCCAACAGACGTTTGAGAAACAAAGGAAAAGTGTGCCGAGGCAAACCCTCTCCCAAGTATTCCAACCCTGAATAGTCCCAGAGAGCCCGCGCAACCGTACAATAAAGGAACAGGTGTTCCATCGTCTTTGGGCCATCCCAACAAACTGGACACCGAGGTAGCACCTGGACCTTTTTCTCAATAAGCGCCTCCGTAGTCGGAAGAGCCCGATTAAGAATTTGCCAAACAAAAACCTTCAACTTCGGAGGGATCTTTGCCTCCCACACTCTAATCCAACTCGGCTTATCCATCCAGCTAATCGAGGATCGCCACCCACCCCTCCTCCTGTCCAAATCGACAGCCAAATGGTAAGCCGACTTTACCGAGAAAACCCCGTCGGCCGTAAAATGCCAGATAAGCTTATCAGGCACATCCCATCTCGGGAGAGGAATAGCTTTAATAGCCCTACAAGTGGGCGGGTCAAACCATTGACTGAGCTTCACATCAGACCACCTCCCTCCCCCCTCACAAATAACCTCCACCACCAAGGGATCACCCCCCTCAGGCAAGATCCGCGGATTATAGCATGGGGGATCTACTTGGTACCTAGGAATCCAGTTAGAATGAAGGAGGGAGACCGATTGGCCATTACCGACCTGCCATCTTAAACCATCTCCAATAACTGACGCCCATGTAGGATAATATGCCAACCCCAAGAGGGGCGAGACCTAGCAGTCGTGGTTAGGAAAGACCCTTGAGGGAATACTTGCCTTTATAAACCTGGGCAATAAGTGATTGAGGTTCATTGAGAATACGCCAGCCTATCTTAGCCAAAAGAGCTTGGTTGAAATGTTCAAACTAGCGAAATCCCATCCCCCCATCATGCTTACTCATGCACATGTTTCGCCAGGACACCCATCTAATCTTGGGATTACCCTCCTCAGCACCCCCACCAAAAGTGGGCCACATGTCTATCTAAAAAACGACAAAGAGCTAGGGGAAGATGAAACAGGACATAACATGAAGGGGAAGAGCCAATGCTATGGATTTAATCAAAGTTTCCTTTGGAACCCACGACAATGCCCTTTGCTTCCACCCCTGAAGTTGCTCTAGGAGTTTTTCCTCCAAATATCTGAACGTAGCTATTTTGGATCGAGCAACCAGCGTAGGAAGCCCCAGATATTTATCGTGGACCCCCACTGCACCAACCCTTAGGATCGTAGCCAAGAACTCCTGATCTGGCATGGAAATATTCTTGCTAAAGCACACCGCCGATTTCACCAAGTTAACGCGTTGGCCACTCAGTTCCTCATATTCATTCAGCACCTCAACTAAATTCCCGCACTCCTGAAGAGAACCCCGCAAGAATCAGTAAGAATCATCCGCGAAGAACAGGTGCGAGACTCTTGGAGCACGAGGAGCTACTTTCACCCCTCCCCCCCCCCCTAATTTTTTCTCCGTGATCGCCTTTCGCAGGATGGCTGCAAACCCCTCCGTGCAGAGCACAAACAAGAGAGGAGAGAGCGGATCCCCCTGGCGAAGGCCCCTAGAGGCAGTGAAATAACCCGAGGGTGTACCATTCATCATAACCGAGAAAGAGGAGGATTGAAGACATTCATGTATCCATCCTTGCCAGACTGAATTAAAATCCATCTTATCCAAAACTGCAAGAAGGAAGGGCCATTCGACTCTATCATAAGCCTTTTCCATGTCAACCTTCAGAGCCAAAAGAGCAATTTCAAAAACCACAGACCAAAGTAGAAAGTTTGGGTATAGTTCGGGCCAAAATAAGGTATTAACATTTCATTCTATTGTTCATATCTAAATCGTAACTATTTGATCAATGAGCCTTTAATAGACCCAGGATGTGTTTTTGTACTCTTTGATGTCTTCTTGGTATGTTTTGATGGTTTGCAAGGTACAAAGCAACCTAAGAAAACTTGGATCAAGTATTGGACAACTATGAAGGGTCAAAAGAGCTATAAGGAGAAGTAAGTGGAGTTTTCATGATAAAGACAATGTACTATTACGGAGAGGCCTACTTGTAACCACAATGTGAGCCCAACGGAGGAAGACTCAACCCAAGCAGAAGCTGGAACCGATGGCGACTTAGCAATTGGTCCAATCGCTGCCCATGGAGACTTGGTCAAAACACAATCAAATCTTTAGGAGAGATCGTTCGTGGCAAGGAGGCCAACCCAATAAGAAAACCAACGTCGGCCCCAACCTCCAGGGAACCGTCGTTCATGCACTAGCTTATAGAAGCCTTCCTCTGCAAGGTACTTCGTTCGCAGGTTGAAGGAGTCCGAGTCCAAGTCATAAAAGGAAGGATGTGGCCGACTTTAGGAGGAAACCCCACAGTTTATCTCCTCTCTCTTGTTCTATAAATAGGTGTTTAATCTTCAGTTAGAAAATAACTTTTACACTAAAAAATGGATGAAGCTCTGTCGTATTGATGAGAGAATGACTCCATCTTCGATGATTCCTTCTAAATCGCGTAGGGGTGGTAATGGTAAACCGGTATTCGGTATTACCGGATACCGCCGATATCCGCGTATACCGGATACCGACGGTATCGGTATTCGATGGAGTGATTTGGCATAATGGTATACTGGATAATACCCAGTAATATACCGAAGCAATCGAGTATACCGGAATACCAAAATAACATATATGAAATTGTTGATTTTGGAATTTGATGTTGTTTGTTTAATTTGTGGGATGTATAGTTGGATGATAACAAGATGTTCACGCGATGAAGTGGCATCTAAGGTTTCGTCTAGAGCGAGAAATTAATCTAGACTAGAAGAACTGCATCAGAATTTTTAGCGGCTGCTAAGGTTTCGTCCGATAATGGAACTCCCACCAAGTCCAATGCTGATCCACCCATAGGCATCTCTTGGAAGTTAAACTCAATCCCTAGCACATCCAAGCCATCATATGTGTGAAAGTTAGATTCCAATACACGGTAAGTAATCAATCTAACCAAAATGTTTTCTTTCTTTTTATTCTTTCTTATGCATCCACGTCCACGCTTTATATAAGCCTTTAATCAACAAAATATCTAGACCAATTATGCACCGCCCTTGGAAAAAAACGATATATCCGGTATCCGGTATACCAGATAACTTTCGGTATCGGTATCTGGCGGCATAATTTCAATTGTTGGTATTTCGAATACCGAGTAGCCGGTATTCAAAATTATGCCGCCAGATACCGATACCGAAAGTTATCCGGTATACCGGATACCGACCGATTACCACCCCTAAAATCGCGCATGGCCAGTTAAGCCCTTTGTTGTTCGGGATGCTGATTTTATGATGTGTGATGTATTACTTTCTATGAGTTAATGAGAATATGAGATGCCTCAGAGCATTGTTTAGTTCTTTTTATGCTTGTTATATACTTATATTCCTATGATGGTGTTGTACCCCAGGTTTAGTATCATTACATAGTTGATTGTTTCGAATGGTATAGTCACTAAAGATAAAATGTGAAAGTGGAGGAAACCCATTGAAGCGAAGTGTGTCTTATGTAATGGCTTAGAAGAGTCTCGAGAATACTTGTTTATTATTTGTGCTTATGCTCAGGCTTTACTAAGCAAGCTAGGAGTCGCCCAGTGGTTTTGCGGAGGTACTTGGGAGGATTCTCTTGATGATGCAGTTATGATGGCCGAGCAGAATTCAGCTCAAGGGCAGGTTAGTGGAATGCTCTGGTGTATGATCCTGACATTCATCTGGAAAGAGCGGTGTCGATGCACACATGGTGATAACAGAAGAGAGGTGGAGATAGTGGCTGGTGGAATTATAAGGGACCTGCAAGTTATTGCTTTGTCTTGTGAGAAACTTGGCGAAGATCTTACAGTTTTACAGTTGATTTAGTATACTTCACTTGTAGATATACACTGATAGAGTCTTAATTCTCTTCTAGTGGTTCTGTTGGAATTGTAGAGTAGTTCCAACTTCCAAATAGAGGTATGCCTCTATCTTCGTTGCATTGGATTGCCAACTGACATTTTTCGTAATACAAAGGATCCGATTCAAAGGGAGGGAGGGGGGAAATGTTAAGCACCTAGACCACAACACATTGTTTGTAATCCTTTCTTAATCAGCTGCAACTATGATGATTATTAAATTATGGTGCATATCACCAGCTACTAATTATCATTCATCATGTAACTTAACTTGATTAGCCAAAACTGAAAGGACTCTGCCCATCTTATGGATTGAGAGAGACAAATCTAAACAAAAAAGAGACTCATTTCATTTCTTATTAATGTTCTACAAGGGAGGTATAGAAATGGGTCAATGCACAATGGATCAAAAAGGAACTACATAGAAGTAGTACTATGGCGACGACTCTCCTTTTCATAGACCTGGAGTCATCCGTTACTATGGCGGCCGCGCTGCTCGACTGGAATAGAGGATGTTGATGGAAAGAGTTCCGTTTGTTTGCTCAGCTGACACGGTTATGACCTGTTTTTGTGGTCCATTTGTTTGGGCCCATAATAAATGTCTCAGACACTACCACGTCGGCTCTATGTGGCCCAATCATAATTTGTGACACTACCACGTCGGCTCTTTCCAACAATTTCCCCCCTTCGTCTTTTTGTACTGATTTGCCTTCTCCTTCGCGGGTTCTTGGGCATTTTGATTTTTGCTGGGATCTCGAGGCGCATCCCTTTGATGCGGACTCTTTGGAAGGCAAAAGCTTGAGCATAAGCCATCTGTTGGGACTTGAATTAAAAGGGGTTCAGGGTTCGGTGGAATCATTGGTTTTGAATACAGCTCGATCCTTGCACCAGAAGAAGATTAGGAGCGGAAGGTCAAAATTGGAAATGGAATTGCATCGTCTGGGACCGTCTCCATCTCCACCCTCGGTGTCGAGGCGTTCCAAGAGGAGGGGCAGCAGTGAGTGTTCGTCTCTTCCATCATGAGTTCTTCTTTGATTATCTGGAATGTTAGGGGTCTTGGAAATCCTGAGAAGCGGGGCAGAATCAAGCATTTAATCAGGAGGCAGTCTCCCAAGATTGTGGGGCTTATTGAAACTAAATGGGAAGTGTATTCTGATTCTCTGGTTAGCAGCGTTAGCGGTAGAAGAGATTTTGGCTGGATCGCGAAGGATGTGGTTAGAAGCTCGGGTGGCATTGTTGTATCCTGGGACAAGGTGTACTTTAGTCTTTTATCTAGCAGGGAAGGCTCTTCTTATCTTGATTTGTACCTCTGGGATATTTTAAAACGTAAAGCTTGGCATCTGATCGTGGTTTACGATCCTCAAGGCAGGAGTGAGAAGTTGCTTTTCATTAATGAATTGAACGAGCTGTGCAGCCTACTTACCTCTCCTGCTTGCTTTGCGGGGGATTTCAATTTGGTCAGGAGTCACGAGGATTATCAAGGGTCGTGAAGGAGTGCGGAGATCATGGAGGAATTCAACAGTTTCATTGATACCAATGAGCTTCTTGAGCTCCCTCTCGTTGGCAGCAGGTTCACCTGGCATCATGGCCCTAGAAGCAGTTATGTCTCTCGTATTGATCATGTTCTTGTCTCGCCTGAGTTTGACTCAATCTTCCCAGATGATGTTCTGAATGCTCTTGAGCGTGTGGAGTCTGATCACAATCCGCTACTTATTTGTTGGGGTGAGAATAGGAGAACTCGAAGGCCGTGGAAGTTTGAGAACATGTGGATTGAAGATTAAGGGTTCTTCAAGGAGATGGATACTTGATGCCAATGTCCAACTCAAGGTTTCGGTTTCGTGTTCCGTTTGGCTCGCAAATTGCAGTCTCTCAAAGAAAAGATTAAAGTACGGAACAAGGAGGTGTTTGAAAACATCCACCGTAAGGTCGATGATCTCTTGGGGGAAATTAAGGAGCTTGATTTGCTGGAAGAGACTCGTCTTCTCACTGACGATGAGAAAGGCTGTAAGGGCCGTTCACGTTTCCATGCTTGGGAGGGCTCTAAATATGCAAGAAATTTGTTGGTGTCAAAAGTCGAGAGAGCTTTGGTTGAACAAAGGAGATAGCAACTCGGGGTTCTTCCATAAAATGGCCAATTGCAAGAGGAAGTTGCAGTGCATTGATCGCATCAGAATTAATGATGTTACTGTGGAAGGCAAGGAAGCTGTGGCAGAAGGGATAGTTAACTATTATAAAGAGCTTTTCCTGGAGCACACCCCTTTTCGCCCTTTCTTGAGAAGCTATTACTCGATTTCCCTTGAAGACAGTGATCACAAGCTTTTGAGCAACCCTTTCTCTGAAAAGGAAATTTGGGAGGGTCTTTCGGATTGTGATGGGTCTTAAGTGCGGAGTCCGGACGGGTTTCCTTTTGAATTCTATAAGAAATGTTGGGGCTGGTTGCGTGTGGATATCGTTAATGCCTTCAATGAGTTCTTTGCCAGCGGACATCTCCCAGCTTTTACTTCCCACTCTTTCATTTGCCTTGCCCCTAAAAAAGACTCTTTCGAGACAGTTAGGGATCTCAGGCCTATCAGTCTTATGGGAAGCATAAATAAGATTGTCAATAAAGTTTTGTCTAGGCGTTTCAGCTTAGTTCTCCCTAAATTGGTTTCTAAATATCAACACGCGTCCATTAAAGGTAGGCAGATTGCTGAGGTTGGTCTTATTGCTAATGAGCTGGTGGACAGCAGGAGAAGAAGCAAGAAACCAGGGCTCATGTTCAAGCTTGATATCGAGAAGGCGTTCGACAATGTTAACTGGGGTTGTTTGTTTCACATTCTGGATAGTTTGGGTTTCCCTCCGCAAGTCTCAAATTGGGTTCAAGGTACCATGTGTTTGCCTATGCTGTCCATCCTCATCAATGGGGAAGCCCATGGATACTTCCCGGCCTTTAAAGGGCTCCGCCAAGGCGACCCTCTCTCCCCTGGTCTGTTTGTCCTTGTGATGGATGTTCTCTCTTACATGCTTAGCAAAGTCCACGATGATGGGTTGTTTGAAGGTTTCTTCATGGATGAGGATCAGAGGAGGTGGGAAGTTTCTCATCTCCTTTTCGCTGATGACACGCTAATTTTTGTGATGCTAATGCTGACCAAGTGCTAACAATTTTGGCAACCTTAGTGTGTTTCCAGTCTGTCACATGTTTAAGCATTAATCTTGATAAATCTACGATGTATACTGTTGGGGATGTTCCGGAGCCGGAATTCTTCGCCAACATCTTTGGTTTCAAGTGGAGTAAGGAACCGCAAAAATACCTCGGGTTCCCTCTTGGTGCTAGGCCTAATTCTTCGGTCATCTGGGAGCCTATTATTGGGAAATTTTAGAACAAGTTGGATGGGTGGAAAAGTAAGTATTTATCTGCTGGAGGGAGGATTATTCTTAACATATCGGTGCTTTCTAGTCTGGCGGGCTACACTTTTTCTCTGTTCAAAGCCCCGAGGGTTGTTATCACAAGTATGGAAAATATCCAGAGGAGATTCCTCTGGAATGGGGCGAGTGGGGGAAATAAAACACCTTTGGTTGGTTGGAACTTATGTAAAGCCTCAAAAGCCGATGGAGGGTTAGGGGTGGTCGATCTCTCTTCCTTTGACAGTGCTTTGTTGTGTAAGTGGTTATGGAGGTTTGCTGTCGAGAGGAGTAGTTGGTGGCGGTCTCTCATAGATACAAAGTATCCAAACTCTCTATCTCAGTGGCAGACGAAGGAGTGTAGAAGGGGTTTCTCTGGCTCCCCGTGGGCCAACATCTCGAAGGAGTACAACATGTTCTGGAAACATGCCTATATCGATCCGGTAGTGGAGTGGAGGTGTCCTTTTGGCACGATTGCTGGATCCCAGGCCATATCCTCGCGTTTCCTTCCCTCGAGTTGCCGCCGCAGCGCTTAACCCTGGAGCTCAGATAAGTGACTCTATCTCTTTTAATGGTGAGCGTTTTATTTGGGATCTTACTCTTAATGTTTCTTAGCGGGGTGGGGCTGAGAGAGAGAGAGAGAGAACCTTGTGTCGCTGCTGCATTCCTTTGAGTCTCAGCTTGCTCTTAATGGTCTGTGTAGGGTGTCTTGGTCTCTTGAGAGCAGTGCTTCCTTTACCGTTTGCTCTCTGTACAGGAACCTCTCTAAGTTGAAACATCGAGGAGTTCAAAACTTCCCAGTTGCCTCGGTCTGGAGAAAAGTTGTGTCGCTTAAGATCAATTTCTTCATCTGGTGTCTTTTCACACAAAAATTCTCACCATTGACAACCTGAAAAGAAGAGGCCTCGCTCTCGTGAATCGGTGTGAATTATGTCGGGCCGCTGAGGATTCAATTGATCACTTGTTCGTGGATTGCGCCTTCACTCGTGAGGTGTGGAATGATGTAGGCAGCAGGTGCAGATTGATAAATAAGCCTTCAGTCAGTCTGGAAGCCTCTCTTCGCTGCTGGCCTTCATCTGTCCCTGAGGATAATGCGAATTGGGTGATGTACTGTGTGCTCCATGCTGCTTGCTGGATGATCTGGAACGAAAGGAATGGCAGAGTCTTTAAGGATGAGAATCATCGATCTGGTTATGTCTCGCGCAGGATTACTCGTCATATCGCGGAGTGGCTGGTCGCAGCTGGCAAGTGGCAAGTGCGATAGGGCTGACTTTTCTGGTTAGCTGCCATGCTTTTGCTGGGGCTGGTGCAGGGCGCCTCCCCTCCCCCCCCCCCCCCTCGGGCTCTGCTTTATGGCTGCTCGTGTCTTCGTTCTTTCCAGCAGGACCTGCTTTCCCCTGTTCGCCTTTTGTTTGCAGAATGGGTCTGGTCCCATTAGCATCTTCTTTGGCCTCATCCCTAGCCTGTTTTGATTCGTTTTTTTTTATCAAGTCTGTTTGATCCTTCTTCGTTGGTTTTTGTTTCGTTTGTTCTCTTGTGTGTTCTTTCTTATGTTTGTACTCGGCAGCTTTGGTTTTAATCTATTTTCATCATTATAAAAAAAAATTGTTGTTTGGATACTCATTTGTAATTTGTTTGTATTTTGAATTTTATTTTTTTTTTTTAATTTTCAATTTTCTTGTCACTTACTACAAATTTTGGTAAATTACAATTTAGTACCCACATTTATTTTTTCTTACAATTTAGTACCTAAACTTTCAAAATTTTACAAATAGATCCAATCTTTTGTTAGGAGGTATTTCAAATCACTAGTTGTTGAAATGTATTTGAAGTTGACAAAAAATATGCTAGACATGTATTTGGAAATCACCTCATGAATTTGGGATCGGTTAGCGTGCTAACCCCTCTATGGGGTTGGAAAAATGACACCCCCTATTGATTATAGTTAATTATGGTATTAAATTCGTGTTGAATTTAATAATTTTTAGGAATTAAAAACTCATTTTAACTACATTCTTTTTTTTAACTACCATTGCACTGAACTACATTGAACTCATATTAATTACATTTTTTTTTGAACTACCATTGCACTGATACAACTATCATTGCACCTGTACACTGATACCATTGCACTGGTACAACTACCATTGCACTGAAAAAGGAAAGTAATTAATAAAACTTTTAATTCGGACAGATTATTAAACGCAACACAAATCAATTTCCTTAAAAGTAGGGGTGGGACTTCGATTTCGGGTTTTTGGTTTAAACCAAACCCGAACCGACAAGGGGTCATTTATTTTTGGGTTTTCCGGTTCCAACACGAAAGGTGCTGTAACGGTTTCGGTTTCGGTGAACCCGCGAACCTGATAAGGAAACCGCAAAACCGAAATCGAGTAATTGGCTCCCATAGTGACGTTTTGAAACCATATAGTCTTTAATTACTATATTAATCGCGTATGGGAAAAAGGGTAAGCATTTAAATCACATTGCCAATTACTTTTTATTATAAAAAAATATTGCTAATGACCGCTTATAATTGCAACGGGTTGACTGTTATAAATACCTTGTCAGTGATTAGCCGAATCCACTAATTGGGCTCCCATGGTGACGTTTCGAAATCATAGTCTTTAATTAGTAATTACTATATCAATCCCACTTGCTTTATACGTTTTGATTTTATTGCTCCATTTGTTAATCCCATCGATCTCGCCATTAATTGATCATAATTAGATTAAAATTAATCTAATTAATAATTACCTAGATTAATGGATCATAATACTTGCTAATCCCATGCATATAGACGCCGACTAAGGTAACAAGTCATTTGGTCAACTTATGGAGTTTACCACGTCATAAGTGCTTTAGCTTCGGGTTTCGGTTTCAGTCTAACCGAACCGAACCCGGTAAGGAAATCTTCGGGTTTTGGTACCCGAAACCCGAAACTTCCCATATCGGGTTCGGGTTGTAAACATAGCGGGTCTCGTCTTTTCGGGTTTGGTTGATTTCGGTTCGGTTACCCGAACCCGAACCGATCCGGTAGCCCTACTTAAAAGCCTTTAATTAATAGGGGGTGTCATTTTTCCAACCCCTTTAGGGGTAGTCATGCTATCTCACGCCCATGAATTTGACACAAATCCAAATACCAAATGTAATTCATATCCAAACACATAATTTTATATTTGAAAATCCAAATCACAAATCACAAATCCAAATCATTATATCCAAACACATTCTTAGGGTATTTGCATTTCATTCTTCTCCTCCTCGGAACATGGAAGCATGCAAGTTTGTTTCTAAGATGGAGCCATAGTATTGGTAGATACTAGAGTGAGAATGAAGGAATGATATTGATAACAGTGGTCACTGGTCAGTGATGCTCATTCGAAGTATAGTTTTTTAATACGCTAATACCACTAAATATAAGGGACAGGTTACGATGATTACTACAAAGTAGTAATCACTGTGGTTATTAAGGGTAAATTGGGTACGAAAAAATAAATTGTATTAATTAATTTTTTTAATAAATTACATTTTAGGTAGTTACAAGAATCTATTAATTACAATTCTCTCTCTTTCACGAAATCACTACCAATCCATTAGACAACCACTATCATTTTGAAAAATATCAATACCATTGCAGAATTAAATCTATACCATTACACGAAAACTACCAATATAAACAATCTACCATTTCACAAAAAATCAATACCATTGCAGATTTAATCAATACCAGTACATGCAAATTACTACCATTACATGATAATAAATACCAATGCAACAAAAAATAATACCAATGCAACAAAATCAATACCAATGCAACAAAAACAATACCATTGAGGCGAGAGGGTCGGAAATAAAAGGATGAACAGCGCCGTCGATTGTTTTGACGACCTCTGCGGTTCAGGTCGCTTGTCCATCGACTCCTCCCTGCTGCCGAGTAGAGAGAGAGAGAGAAAGAAAGAAGGCATGGACGAAGGGGGGAGGGGTGGGGTGGATAGGGGAGAGGGATGGGTTGGCGGGGGGAGGGGGTGGGGTGGGATGGGGTCGGCGGGGGGAGGGGTGGGGTGGGATGGGGAGGGGATAGGAGGGGGAGGAAGGAGGGAGGGGTAGAGGAGGAAGAGAGGGACGGCGAGATGGCAGGGGGAGGGACGGTGGGGAAGGGGAGAGGCTGCCGGCGAGCGTGGGTTTGGCTGGAAGGAGGAGGGTAGAATTAGGGTTTGTGTATATATAGAATAATTCAGTGTGGTTTATTTTTTGTTTTCAAAATTATCCTTGAGCAATCATAATCGTGAGATTAAAAAAATAGGAAAAAGAAAAGAATGGATGGTGGATATTGATGTAGCCAAGGTGGCTACTAGAAATTTAGTAACCATCCTAACACATTCCCACTAAATATATCAACATTTAACTAGTCTGTCATTTATATTTCAAAACTTCAATAAACATTAATATTCCAAACTATTCGGTGTCTTTGTCATTTATATTCTGCGAATTTCTCTTGACGGCTAGAATTAAGGGTTGATCTAACGATAATCAACCTTTGAATGACTATTGTTTTTTTTTTAGTACATGGAGGCATTACGCCAAAGGAAGGGAAATGGAGGGTTACAGGTGAGGAGAACCGGGAGAGGGGATTATGAGTCTAGCAAAAGTGGCGCCTTCAGCATCATCCTGAAGCAGCTGAAGAAGCTCATGTGGAGGTGTCTCTAATTCATGTGTACCGTAGGGATAGACGAGACTGTGCTTCGAGAGCCAGTCCGCGACTCTATTCCCTTCCCGGTATACATGAACTAGATTCACAATCCAGTCTTGAGCCAACAAACGTCTGATGGCCATTAAGAGCGCTGCATAGGGGTGTAAGGGGTGTGACCTATCTTTCACAAGTTGAATTGCAAGCTGAGAGTCGGTTTCAACGATGAGGGTCCTGCAATCGTGTCTCCATGCCATCTTGAGACCATGAAAAATGGCCCATAATTCGGAACAGATGGCTGAACAAGAGCCCACACCAGCAACAAATCCACTGATCCAGCTTCCGTCGGCGCCTCTCAAAAGTCCACTTGCACCAGCTATTCCTGAATTAGCACTAGCCGCCCCGTCCACATTAAGCTTCGTCCAGCCAACTGAAGGTGGCTTCCATCCGACCTGCACTTCAATGCGATTCCGTGGGGAATTCATTCGCCCCATCAGCGGGCTCGGCGCATTCCAAGCCTTCCACCCCAGCTCGGCCCGAATCTTCACAGCCTGCAAGAGAGAAGGGGCAGACAGGGTCTTGTTCACTCCATGAAAAGCACCATCATTTGGGTTCTTCCACATGCTCCAAAGGGCAATGCTAAAAAACACATTCCAAGGGAGGCCTGAAAGGGAAGGCTCTTCGCAGTTAATATTTGTTTCCACCCAGTTATTCCAGTTGCGGTTGAAGAAACTCAGGAGCTTATCCGGATGAAAGGTACGGCTCCAGACATAGGTTGTTGGGGCAGTCTCTAAAAAGGTGCAGCGACGTCTCCGTAAGAGTGGGCCATCTGAAACAGGAGGAATCGTGTACGAGGTGCCTCCTAGCTCTTTCCTCGTTGGAGCTTATTCTCCCTTGCGCCACCAACCAAATGAAGCATCGCACACGTTCAAGAACAGCAAGGCTCCATATCCTCTTCCAAAGCTAATGGTTATTGTCGTCGATAGTGTCTTGAAGTAGCTGGTAGGCACTCTTGGTAGAGAATCTTTCGTTTGACGTTGGCTGCCACAACAGAGTGTCTTCTTCCATTGAGAGAGGGTCCACCACCCGCGCTGTGATTTGCCTCACAATGTCCAAGGGGAGTATGTGGTCGAATTTCTCCGTCTTCCAGTTCCTGTCCTCGTCCACGAAATCCTCAACCAGGAGCTCTCGCTCCTCCTCCGGTATCTGGCCCGTTGCCAGTTCCTGAAGGGGTACCTGCGTTAACCAGACATCATACCAGAAATTAGTACGATTACCTCTATGAATATTCCAGGCGCAACCCTTTCTAAGCAGATTCCTAGCCTTAGTTAGGCTAGACCAGGTAAAGGAACTTCCCTGAACAGGCCTCAATAGGTTGAGATGAGTTTGCTCTTTCCCATATTTCGATCGAACCAACTGAGTCCAAAGAGTCTCTTTCTCTTTGATTACCCTCCATCGACCCTTAGCCAGCATGGCTAAATTAACCTCTCTTGTCGATCTAATGCCCAGACCTCCATTCTGTTTTGGAGCCAACAATCGTTGCCAGGGAACCAGGTGGAGCTTCTGCTTTTCATCAGTCTCTCCCCAGATGAAGCTCCTATTAATCTGATCTAGAGACCTGCAAACATTCATCGGGAGCATTTCTGTTTGCATAGGGTAAATCGGGATAGAGGCCGAAATAGATTTGACCACAGTGATCAGAGCAGCGAGAGAAAGGTGTTTGGTCTTCCAGGGAGCAAGCTTCCGTTGGATCCGCAACATCAGTTCCTGGTATCTGGATCTAGTGACCCGGCCATGAATCGCCATAACCCCAAGATAGCGCCCGAGGTCCACCGTGAGAGGGATGCCTGCCCGATGCGACAGTCCTCTCGCTTTTCCGCCTATCGATGTTGGCCGAGACAAATATTGCTGACTTCTCATAGTTGACTCTCTGTCCGGAGCTATGGCAAAATTCATCCAAGCATCGCTTGATTATCCGCACCTGATTCCCCTCTGCTTCTGCAAAAAGAACAAGATCATCTGCAAAAAACAGGTGAGAAATCAAAGGTCCCCCCCCCCTAAATAGTCTCAGAGGTTTCCAGAGCTTATCCTGAATAGGTTGATCGATCCTGTGAGAGAGTCTTTCCATGCACAAAACGAAGAGATAGGGAGAAAGAGGGTCTCCCTGGCGGAATCCTCTGGTGGGAGTGATAGGCTCAGAGAGTTCACCGTTCCAAAGCAGCCACATTTTATTAATCTCAACACAGAACATGATGCAATTGATCCACGAACTGGGCAGACCCACTTCCTTCAAGGTATCTCTGAGAAAATCCCATCTCAACCTGTCATAGGCTTTCTCTAGGTCAATCTTGAGCATGATGCCACCTTTCTTGCCTTTCTTCTTTCTAAGAGAGTGAAGGACTTCCTGCAAAACGATAATGTTGTGAGTAGTATGTCTACCAGGAATGAAGCTGCTCTGACTTGGCGAAACGATTTTCCTCATGATCGGCTTCAGGCGATTGGTGATGGCCTTCGTGATTGCTTTCAAGAAGCAGACGTTGTTCAGAGATATCGGCCGGAGCTGGGAGACTCTCTCTGGGTGTTCCACCTTGGGGATAAGCATAACCGTCGACTCTACCACCTTTTCCGGCAGAATTCCTGTGGAAAAAAAGCTGACAGCCATATCAATAAGAGCTTTTCCGATGATTTGCCAGGATTGTTGGTAGAAAACAGCTTGAAAGCCATCCGGTCCCAGCGCTTGGAAGGGCTTCATGTCGTGCACTGCTTTATGGATGTCCTCTCCAGTGAAAGGTCGAAGCAGGAGGATGAGGTCCTCCTGAGCAATCCTAGGAAAGGCTTGCTTAGGCATCTCGTCCGTGTACTCCTGGTTATCCTACAAATACAGAAAAGAGAAGAAGTCAAAAACCAAACTCGCAAGCTCATAAGGGTCAGATATCCACTCTCCATTGTTGTCCTTGAGACTCTCAATCTTGTTCTTCCGTCTGTGAATATTGGCTTGTTGGTGAAAGTAGGTCGTGTTGCGCTCTCCAAATTGGACCCATTTCTCCCTAGAACGTTGAAACCAGAGAATCTCTTCTTGCTCCAGGACTTTATCAAGCTCCTCTTCCAGTTTAGCCTGAAGTTTGAAGAGACTTGGCGAGAAGCTATGAGCCACTTTAGCTTGGATTCCTTGAATACGGCTCATTAATCTTCTCTTCCTACGATAGATATTTCCGAAGGTGGTCTGGTTCCATTGAGTCAGCTTGCTGGCCATATCTTGGAGAGCTTCCTGCAGAGGGACCTGAGAGTCCCAACTATTAGACAGGAAAGAATTATAAGACTCGTGAGTAATCCAAGCACCCTCAAACTTAAAAGGACGAGAAAGAGAAGCGGTGTGAACTCCCTGGTTTCCAAGAGACGTAAGGAGACTCCGATCAATACAACTAGCCTTGTCAGAAGCGGGTGATGGTCAGAGTGGAGCTGGGGGAGGTGGTTGACAGTCGAATCGGGGAAAACAGCATTCCAAGCAGCATTGCAGAGACTCCGATCAATACAACTAGCCTTGTCAGAACTGGGCGTGTCTCCTCTGGTCCACGTAAAACGAGGACCAGAAAAGCCCAAGTCAATGAGCTTGGCTTGGCTAATCCTGTCGCTGAAACGTTTGCAACGTCGATAGATGTCAGGTGTGGCCGGTCCTGCTTGCTCCGACGGATCCTTGATGGTGTTGAAGTCTCCAGTTAGAAGCCAGGGCAGCTCAATTTCTTCGCTGGATCCAAAGATGGAGTTCCAAAGGAACCGCTGCAAATTATGTCTGGGACTCGCATACACAGCCGTCAAAATCCAAGGCTGAGCTGAGGCCGACGAGACTTTAAACGTGAGATGCTGAAAGCACGCCGACAACACTTCCACCCGAAAGGCTTGAGCGTCCCAACAGAGCCAAATTCCCCCTTTCCTTCCGTCGGCTTCAACGCGCAAAACATTTGGGAACCCCATTCTCCCACAAATTCGGTTCGCCACCTCCCCGCTAATCTGTGGCTCCAAAAGGATCAAAAAGTCCGACTTATGGTGGTGGACGATCAATTTCAGGGCGCGGGAGAAAGCAGCATTGCCAGCACCTCCTACATTCCAAGCCAAAATGGAAGCAAACGAATTAGAGTTGGAATTGGAAACCATCGACATAACAGGTAAAAAGAAAAACGAGAATAGAAGGGAGAAAGGAGTCGAAGAAATCTGAAAGTAGGGGCTCCCAGTCAGGTCGAGCCTGCGATCTCCAGCGTTGTGCTCGTTCTCTCACTACACTCCGTTTTCGGGGCTTGGAGAGGGCTTTTCTCTGCTGTGCTTGCCTTCGCCGCTCCCGTCCAAGCCTCTATCTCCTGAAGTGTAAGAGAGGCCAACCGGGCTCTGGTTTTGTTCTTTTTATCCTTCACCGGAGTCCAGACTTGCAGAGCTGTGGCTGTGATCGTCACTGGGTTTTTCCGCGGTGATTTTGATTTCTTCTTCTTGTGAGACTTCTGGTTTTTTGTCCGAAGCACCGACGATGGAGCATCTTCCCTCTGCTCCCCTGTTTGCTGGCTCTCGTAAGTCGGGATGGAGACAATCTGGATCGAGGTATTGTTCGGGCCTTTGACAAGTTGGGTTGGCGGTGGGCCGGAACTAGATGGACCAAGCTCAATCTGTGACCCTGATTTTTTCTTGTTGGGGCTAGGCCTATCCTTCTTGTCCATGCCAGCCGATCTCACTTCCGGTCTCTTTCCTTGATCCAACTCAGGCCTGTTGGGCCCCAAGCTCAAAGCCTTTTGCATAGTAGGAATAGGACCCAGAACACCCTTGCCACCTGTCGACGTCTCCGCGGAGGCCTTTCCCATTCTCTCTTTCCCTTTTTGAAACGATCCTTCTGTGACTTTCCCTTTATCTGGCTTGCCTTGTTTGTGATTCTCTAACCGTTGGCCCTGTGAATCCTTATTCCCCCCTTATTTCCCGACACACTTTCCACATTTTTGGAACTAGACCTTCCTTTCTCGATTTTTCCACCAGCCATGAGATCCCCCTGATTGCCGTCCAAATTTCCTTTCTCTTGGGCCCGAGATCCCCGCTGTGACCGTCGTGTGACCTGCATCCAAGGACCAAAACCAGCCTTGTCCTCCGACGAGTCCTCCGAGCTTTTCTCCGGCGACTTGGCAACGGCTCCGACCACAATCGAAAGAGTAGGCTCGCGGAGGGATGGGCAGGTCGCTGTCATGCGCCCAACTTTTCCACACTCGAAACACACCTTCGGCAGGTTTTCATACTCTATGTACTGCCATTTGCCATCCAGCCGAATGTGAGTTACCGGGGGTTTAGACAGGTCAAGCTCCACGGCCATCCGGGCAAATTTAACCCGTTGTTGATGCTGTGTGTGAAAATCCAGTTTGATTGCTCGCCCTATCATGTTTCCTCATGAGAACAGAATCTCTTGATGGTAGAAATGGATCGGGAAGGCTGGTAGCTGGACCCAGACCACCATCGTCTTCGGCAAGTCATCGGACATGCGAAACGCCGGCGTCCATTGGAAGACTATACAATAGTGATCGAAGATGGTCCAGAGACCCTTCGTTAGCGCTCGAAAATAGTCTGTATCATTGTCGAGCTTCACCAAGAAGCACTCTTGCCCTAGCGCCAGGATGTCAATCGCCCCAGTCGGACGCCACATGGCTTTAATTTTATTGCTGAAGGTAAGAAAGGAGATGTTCAACCTCATGGTACGCACCACCAGGGTACGCTTCCATTGGGTACACAGCTTTTCTCTGAAGGCACTAGAAACTTTCAGCTCCGGCTCTCCGTTGAAGACCCCCGGTATCAAATCATGTTCTCCAACCGGCACCCACGAACTCTTTGTTCGGCTGGCTTCTTGGGTCTGCCCTGTTACGATTTTCGCGTAAGAAACAGGCGGCACAGCAACGGGTGGAGGCTCGGTGACTCCTTTAGATAACGGCGGCGGTGAGGGATCTATCATCATGGACGTCTCGTTCGGTCGAAGGTTTGGAGACGCAGTTTCAGTCCCATCTCCTTCCTCTGGGATGGGTTGAAAATCATCTGGCGGCCTTCCCGACGGGTTGAGGTCGGTTGCCGGCGCATCGCGTTGAGAGAGCATCGTAGCTCAAGTTTTTTAATGACTATAGATTTTTTTTTTTTTTTTTTTTTTTTGACAATTCATCTGTATTCAGAAAATCAAGAATGACTATTGATGAAATAGCGTCTAATCACTAATGCCTATATATCATTGTGACACATTATTGACACATGGAAAAACAATGTTTAAAATTTAAATTTAAATTTAATAGAAAATAAAGTTTGGTTTGCCCCACCCACCCTCGCCGCATGCGACGATTTCCTCCGCCGGGGACAGAGACCGAGATCGGATCTTTGTTCATCACGAATCCTGGTCGAGAAGAGCCACCATGCCCTCGAGGCAACCTTCGCCATTCACTTTTGCTGAATTTGCAAGCTCTGTCGAATCGGGATCAAATCTTCAATTTGCTAACTCCGCCATTAATTTCCAGCTCGAGAATCCCATCGGTTCTCACAAGTCACAATTTTTGAGAGAGTTCCTTTCCTCTTCCACCCAAATCTCAAAAAAGAAAAAAACCCCAAATCTCATCCTGCAGCTGTCCCATGTCAAAATCCCTTTAACATTATGCAGACCTTGATCTTCTCTCTTCCACCTTCATCGCTTCTCCATCTCAATCCCGAGTTCATGGATGGTGGATCCCTCAAGGGGTTTCCACACTGCTCCAACAACCCCAAATCGACAAGTGGGTTTCGATGTGAGGAGGGAGTCGCCGTCTCCCGGATCTCGCCGGCGACAAAGGAAACGACGCACAATCAGAGGCTGAAAGAGGCCGAATCCAGAAGGAAGAAGGTCAGAGAAGAAGATGAATCTGCCTTGTCTATGCTCTCTCCTCCGCTCTATCGCTCTCCTTCTCTGCACGAATCCGACGAAGAAGGAGGAAGGTCGGAGAACTGGATTGATGAAGCCACTCCGAATCCACCAAATCTACAGTCACCCTTGCCGCGGCGTGAGTTCAGTCAACGACCGAGACGCCCGGATTTGTCACTCTCGGGTCGAGCTGCTGCCGCCGCCTCCTCTGTTCTTGCCGATGAACGCAGGGAGGGTAGGGCTGCTTCTCCCGGGTTGCCCAATCTCCAATTGGCTATGCTCGGCCGGCGATTTCGGCGATGAAGGAGCAGTGTCTCGTTGGGACCTGGCGATTTTGGGAGAAGCAGAGAGTTGAAGCTGGGTATTTGGGGAAGAAGTAGAGGGATGAACTGAAATTGGGAATTTTGGGGAGAAGTAGAGAGACGGAATTGGAGATGTTGGCGTAGATGGATTCTTTTTTACGTTGGGAAAATTAGTACCAGAGCACCGGTAACGCGATGTTGAGTCCGCCGGCGGCTAATTTGAACTCCGATCGTTTTACCCTTTTTCTTTATTATTTAGTAAAATATTTCATATCAGCAGTGATGTTATTGTTGAAGGTATTTTATGTTAATCACTACCTACGAAATTTATATATTTGTATTTTAAAGGGTTAATATCTTATTTTGTTCTGAACTATACTCAAACATTTTATTTTGGCACTTGATTTCTGAAATTTCTCACTTAGCCCGAACTATATACCATACTTTCTTGCTTGGCCCGACGTGAGTTTTGACTGTCAAATTGGACGGTCAAATTCATTAACCTTTAGTCAAACGGCAGGTCACTTGCCATGTCAACAACCTTGAAATTTGAGTTTCTGTAATTATTTTTTTCTATCCAAAATTTTTAATTATTTTTTCCGTTAATTATTATTGTTATTATTAAATAAAATGAATTAAATAATTTCAAATTTTATTTGAGGCTTGTTGACATGGCAAGTGACCTGGCGCTTGACTAACGGTCAATGAAGTTGGGGCTAGGATCAGGTGACTAAGGGGGGAGGCCTTAGTCACATGACTAAGTCAATCTCAGCCCTTCCACCTCATTAAAATCCAAGGGCTCCTATTAGTCCAATTTAATGAAGGGTAAATGTAGTCATTCCATATTTATTTTTAACTTTCAATTATTAAATAATTTTTTTCGGCTCTTCTCTCCCTGCGGCCCGTCTCGTTTTTTTTCCCCGCCGGGATCTGCCATCGCCGACCAGGGAATTTCTGTGCGGTCACTTTTTGTTATGGGAATTTATTCCCCAAGTTCCCACGAGAGAGAGAGAGAGAGAGAGAGAGAGAGAGAGAGAGAGAGAGAGAGAGAGAGAGAGAGAGAGAGAGAGAGAGAGAGAGAGAGAGAGAGAGAGAGAGAGAGAGATTTTGTACTGTTAGTATGCTTTGTATTGTTTGTCGGTTTATTTTGTAATGTTTGTACTTTGTACGCTTTGTTATTTTGTAATGTTTGTCGGGTTTTTTTGTAATGTTTGTAAACTTTGTTATTTTTGTGTATCGTGTTTATCATTTTTGTCAACCATGTTTGTAATGTTTTTTATGTCTAAAAAACACACGGGTTGACTTTGGGAAGGAGCCCCTCTATATAGGGATGGAGCCTCCAAAGTCAACCCGGTTGTTTTTTCTTTTTGTATGGTTTGTATTGTTTGTCGGTCTAGTTTGTATTGTTTGTGCAGTTCATACGTTTGTAATGTTTGTATGTTTTGTCGCTTTAGTTTGTACTGTTCGTATGTTTGTATGGTTTGTACTGATTGTAAATCCAGTTTGTATATTTTGTAATTTTCCATAATACCCAAACTACCCCTGTCATTAATTAAATACCCTTCCCACTTTTTAACCATCAGATTGATGTGTCCAGATCTAAGGGCTCCCTTAGTCACTGGATCCGCACTCATGAAGTTGACCGTCCAACCGTCCAATTTGACGGACAAAACTCGCACCGGGTCAAACAAGAAAGTATGGTGCATAGTTTGAGCTAGAGGAGCAATTTCAGAACCACTAACCAAAGTAAAAAGTTTGGATATAATTCGGACCAAAATAAGGTATTAACACTATAAATCATCATATAAAAAGTATCTAATATAAATTACAATGTCGCTTAAAAGTTAGAATTTTTAGTAGTATTGGCCTTTTTTTTAATTTCACTTTGATGACTTTGTTGGTGTTCATTTTATTGTTCTTCAATAGTTGACAGTAAAGGTTTTTTCTTTCTCCTTTGAAATCTCTTGCAAGTGGCAGCCAACACCGCTCTTCTGGATACTAGCTTATAATCCGGCCCGTTGGCCGGAATGTTTATATTTTGATATTTAAAGTTTTTATGTTACGTTTAAGTCTATTAATTTGTTTAAGTTTATTGAAAATTATTCAATCGAGATTCTACACAAAGAATGAATATATAGGTCGAATATTCAGGAAAATACCCTCCTCATTTAAGAATATAAAAATGTATCATTAATCCCATTTTCATAATGATAATTGAGCCCCCATTAAAATGATATTGCTTAATAGATTGTCCAGAAATATATAATATAAAAGCTCATTGTAATTCTCACACGATCCATAGATAGTTTGAAACTGAAATGAAACCTCACAATCCCACATAAATTGTTCAAAGCTCTCCTCTATGAATAACATGCCACTAATAAAAAGGAAATGGATTTATAATAATATAAAAAAAATGAAGAGTTGTTGATTCAAGTAAATCATATGCTAACAACTCAACTAAAAGGAAACCATCAAAACTTGAAAGCAAATGACAAAATTAGAGTTACATCCAATATGCTAATAGACTCGATCAAAGTAATGAGCACAAATTTAGACACTCCTTATCTACAGGTTCCAGTAGTTTGAATAGTGCTCGACCTTAACTTTAGTAAATCAATCAATGATTCCTCGTTTTAACATAAACATAGGTTGTGGTAGTTGCAACAACCATAACACCTAAAGATCCAATAGTTTCTACTCTCCGTTGTACAACCAACTTTTTATCCCCTCCATCTTCAATCTCTCGACTTATATGTTTTAAACCAAAAATCAATTTTTAATCCTCCTTCTACAACTCCATTTATGCTACTTTGATGGACCTTCTCTCCATGAACCTGAATTTCTTTTTCAATTGAGTTTATTGTCAGTTTGATCTCCAACTCCTAATTCCTCTTTCTTGTATTTGGCCAACTCATCTTCCTCGGGCCAGTTTTAATAAGCTCGTAAAACCGACACTCATCTTCAATTCCATCAATATGCTTTTCTCCTCCTTCTATGCCTTCACCTGATCCAGTTCACTTCCATGCCCTTCAATACCCTCTCCATTTTCATCAATATCCTGATCATCTACCACTTCTCTCTCTTCAACTGCTCCGATTTTGCTTCTATGTCTTTCAATACCCTCTTTGGTTCAATCACTACCCTGACCAACTGCCTCTTCACTGCCTTCACTTGTTGCAAACTACTTCCATGACTTTTATACACCTTCCTCAAAATCACAATCAACTAACCAATATCAATCCATGGCCTTGGATCAGTTTTAGACTCTCTATGAACATCTCAATACCACCAAGTCTAAATCTAAATATTCTTTCAGTTAACATGAACTTGAGTTTATCAAAATCTAATCCACTCCTTCTAAGTTGGAATTCCCATCCCCAAGCTCATTTTTGGTTCATTTGATCCCGCATAACCATGATATTATACCTCTAACTAAATAAATCAAAGCATTTTACGAAAAGAAACTGAACCATGAACTTTACCTGCTACCAAATCCAAACACAATTTCTTCCCCTCACCACTTCCCTTAATCCCTTCCCAAACCCAATATCAACTTTTACTCCAAGTACGCACCCCCAACTCCCAGTGTGTTGAGTGAAAGCTTAATTTTAGCAATCATTATGCTTGCAATTAGATTAATGGACACCAGCAAACGCCAAAATTCCACCAGACGATGAGTTGTCTTCACTTTGAGTTTTGTCATAAAATTGTTGGCCCCATATGTTTATCAGTTTGGAGGCCATATGAAGAGCAATACCGAATAAGTTGCAGCGAAGTTACCGGCACAGTAATGACAATGTGAAACATGTGTTAACAAACGCGAATATGGGTTACTTTTATGGATTGACATTAGAATGATGGGATTGGACAATGAGATCGTCCTTAGTTAAGCGACATGTAAATTGGTCATTTGGTATGGAGGACACAAACCGTTAAAATTCTAAATTATTTGGGTAAGTTTGTATTTAGTGTTTTCAAAATCGTGGGATATGAGTTAGGTGATTAAAATATCTAAACCCGAATGAACCAACCCACGGACACCCCTAAGAAGAGTTTCAAAACTTAGTATTTATCCGGACAAAAATGTTTAGAGAACCGGTCTCCTATAGTTTGCATAAAGATATGATTGCTTCACTATAGTTATGGAAATTAATGATAATTTAAGAATTCTATATCGCTTCTACATATTCAATACTATAATTCGATATGAAATAATGGAACCAACAATATTTTGGTTGCAAATTTATGGTTATTGTCTATTTATAATATAGATAAAATTTAAATTAAGTATTAAGCTATAATTAAATAAAAATATCAAAATTTAAGTATCAAACAGTGAAAACACCAAATAAGTACTTACGGAATATTTATTGGGCTAGCTAAATGTTAAAAAGTTTTGTGATTTCATATTTTAGATTCGTATATATTTTTAATTTAAAAAAATACAACAAATCTACATAGTCTGATTGATTTTAAACCTTTACTTTGTTTGAAGTGACCATGGTTCAAATCTCAATATGTCTATCTTTTTCTGTAAATAAATAAAAAAATACAGATAATTGTGAAGACAAAAATGTCCTTCCTAATTTCGTTCTCATTGCAGCAAATTGGAAAAGGGAGATTAAGTTCCAAATAATTAAATCATATACCCTAAACCTATAGAACTTAAACCCTAATATCACATATACTAAGAACATAATCAATGATTCCGATTCGCCAAGATGTATACAACATATCATATGCACTATATTAGGATTTAGAGAATTATGATATAGGGTTTAGTTACGTGATTAATCTATGGTCCAGATAATGTTATTTAACTAAGGAGATGCAATAACCCTCAATCCATCGAGCGTACCATATAATTCCCAATGTATATACACATACCATTGTTTGTTAAATTTAGCCAATGATAATTGGCTCATTTGTCAATGGTATTTAGTCTTTCAATTCTATGCTCATAATTCTCAACCATTAGGGAAATTGTTAGCCAATGATTTTTGGTCATTCACTTGTAGCATTGAAAATGTCTCGTTACAAAATCATAGATCACAAATGTCAAATTTTATGTTTTGAAATAAAATTTTGTATAGCACTTTTGTAAACAATCCTTGTATTCCTACAAACTGCAAAGTCATGTAACCTAATAAATGTAAAAGTTGTAAGACATACATAAACTCAAAATGTACTATTTGATTCTTGGTGAAGAATTGTGTGATTAGAGGAACTCACTTAGTTGATTCATAAAGCTAGGTATATCATGATGATTCACTTTGTAAATAATTATAATTATTAATTAATTCTATGATTGATTGTTGCGGTGGATAGTCCTATGATTTTGAGATATTTCAGTATTTTGTCTCTTTAATTCAAGAAATACATAAACATTGTTGTAGTCCAGTTGGTTAGGGATATTGACTGTCAATTTGAAGGACTCGAGTTCAAGTCTTGGTATTGACATTTTTTTTGAGTAGTTGCTGGGACGTGTGTACTGATTTCCCAAATAATAAAATAAGCCCGAAAGTGGAATAATTTTCTTTCCACAATTGCCCCTAGCGACAATGAAGGAGAGGCCAAGGATTTCAAAATGGAGAAAATTAGCTGGAGAACGGCTATATATTATAGGAGGATAAGTTTAGTTTGGTCCTGCTGTAGCTTTTGGCTGGAGCTTTTAGATAAGTACTTTTAAAAAAAAGCAGTTGAGTGTTTGGCTGTCAAACTATTAGAAGTGCTTTTTAATATAAGAGGTTGTGTAAAATAACTATAAAAAACTTATAATATAAAATATAAATTCTAAACAATAAAAAGTAGTCAAATTGGATCTTGGTAGATTTCTTTTATATTAAATAATATAATTTTATAATTTATTTTATTTTTAAAATGATATGAATGAAGGAAAATTATATTTTCTGAAATAAAATTAAAATATGGTAAGGATAATCTTGTATTTTCAAAACAGCTTTTCGTAGAAGCTCCAAATCGGAGCTTCTACTTTTATGTTATACAAAAGCGCTTTTCGACTTTTCAAAAGCCGAGCTTTTATAGGTGTTTGGCCCTGCTTCAGCTTTTGAACCCGAAAAGCACTTCTAAAAGCCGGGCCAAACATAAGGAATTAAGGGTAGGGATGAAAATTTACCCACCCATGGGCAATTTTGCCCAAACCCAAGTAGACCCATTTATTATGGGTAGGTAGGGTTTGGGTGATGTGTGTATGGGTTTGGGTTTGATATGGATATTATCTAAATGGGTATGGGTTGGATATGGATATCCATTTACTTGAGGGTGTTTTAACTACACAGAGTACACACACAAAAATTGAACCTGTTTGTAAAACTTGAAAAGTTTAGGCACCAAAATGTGAGACCAAAAAATTTTAGGTACTAAAATGTATTTTTTTCATAGATATTTTGAGGACTTATATGAAAAAAAATTAATTTAGGTACTAAATATGCATAACTATTAAGTTTAGGTACCAAACTGTAATTTGCATTTGGGTATGGGTACAACTACTAACACAAATCCAAATTTTAAAAACCCAACCCAACCCAAGTAAATGGGTATGGGTACAAACCCATCAAACTTTACAAATTTAACATCTATTTGAATTCCATACCCAACCCAATTGGGTTGGATAGTAAAATACCTATGGGTAATATTGCAGGGATGACTTGTTTTTTATGGTTGTGTTGTGACTGTTTCATCCCATATCCACCTGTTTTCTCCATTGTATAGTTCTTGTCTGGCCGCATAAGGTTATTTGAAGAGCCGTCTTTGAAGTTGTTGGTTCCTTTCTATTTTTGCTTCATTTCACAGTTGCTTCCTCTCACATTATGGTGTGCTATAAATGCTTGGGATAATGTATAGTTAGCCAGCCGCCATTCAGATGTCTGATCTCCATTACTCAATGGCAATTTGGGAGACAGAACAATAAAAACAGCTTAGCCTTTGCATAATTGGACTCATTTTCTGTCCTCCTGAAATTTGAAAAAGGCCTCAAGGATTAGGACTAACAAATGCTAGATGGTTAGGTGGATTTTTCAAGGTATAAACACAGTTGTTGCCCATATGTGTTGCTTCCTAGTTTACGAAGCAACCTAAACCGCCATCTTTCTTGCTCTAGGCATTTTCTTGTGGATCCATGTCCTAATCTCAATATTAATTATGCCAAAGAGATGGGGTGTTGAGAAATTTTTGCTATTTGAAGTTAGTTGAACTGAAATTACATCAGCCTCCTCTGGGCTCAACAACTTCATCTGATAGGAAAGGGAGAGCCTCTCTTCAAGATAATTAGGACCATCAGGATAAATGTTTTCTTCGACACCGTTAAATGGCAAACTGTCAAGGCTTTGCCTCTCAGTTGTTGAGCCCAGATGGGGCAAGTAAAATCAACTTCAGCTTGTCTTAGAATCACTCCCCGACTGTCTATTGCAACATATCAGAAACATTCATTAACACTAGGTCAAAGCATGTTAACTTATTTTTATTAAAATTTGTATTTTTGTAAATACAAAGTACCATAAATTACTAAAAATAAAAACCTCACACAAAGTAATTGTAATTACAAAGCATTTTTTTGTTTTTGTTTTGTGCTTTGGACCACATGGCAACGGGATAGTCTGGCCCACCTGTGTTGGTTTTAATATATTAGGTAATGACATACGGTGCGTATCGATCGCATTCATCGCCTCGGAATCGTTGAATTGTGTGATTCACTAACGCAAAATGTACGAGAGGACGATCCGATAGGATGACCCTCTCTAAGCAAGTCATTTTGAAGGAGGTAGAGGCCAGGGGACATTGGTTACGAATCTCAATTCTCAACTGGTTTTCAACTTTTCATTAGAGGCTGATGGGAAGGAAAGGATAAAAATCAAAGGTAAAAAAGATAGGGTGCTGGAATTTGGGTGGGTACTGTCGAAGGCCAAACAGGTCGAGACCTGCAAAAAGTAGATGTAAAAGTAAACCACATGGGATTGCTAAATAAGTGTAGTAGAAACAATGCAGAAGGCTACTGTTATTATGATATTATGTTTTGTGTGGCAGAAAACAGGAAGAAAAATAAAAAAAAGACACAGAAACAGAGAAACCAGAAGCTGCACTCAAGTATCTTAACAAACAAACAACCAAAGAACAGTTTTGTATTGTCCGGTGTGATTTAGGCAGCCGTCGTTGTCGCATGTTATAGTATTCCAGCTTCTTGGTCTTTTATTATATAGGCCAGCCAGCTTCTTTGGTTTGAGTGAAGAAACGGTTGTACGTGTGTGCGTACTTCTCTTAATCTTTGCATGATTTGATTTGAGATGTTGGGTTGGACGGGATGTCATACAAAGTCCAATTACAATGCGGTACGCTATCGATGAGACGTTAGAATATATATATATATATATGGAGAATAAGATAATATAATTAGATTTATCTTTATGAAAATCAAGTGTAACAAAGTTGACAATTTCTCTACAAATGCAACACACAAATGAACGTTTTATGATGTCGTTTAGTATGCAATCAAATAACAAGTGCCAAGTGGAGGCATGATATGTTGATGGTACTAATGTAAGTGCATGACAATCATTAGAAGAAATATTACTTGTAACCACAGTAATTTCACCACCATAGAAAATACGGTAGTTAATATAGTATTTAACAAGGATATTGAAATAGTATTGCGGGTTATACCGGAAAAATCAATGGTACGGTATTTTATACTAAAATCATCGTTTACTTGTAGTTCAACCGCTTCTACCTCTAATATTTTCACTTTCAAGATACCAAATCTAAAAATCAAAGCTATGGCTATTGTAGAGAAATACCTCTAGTACTAAGTTTTTATACTATCTACCTCGTATTATTGTACTCGGACATTTCCACTTTCAAGATACCAAATCTATTTTCACCATTATCTAAAAAAAATACCAAATAGAACCAACGTATAGATACCTGAAATAGTTGGGTACAAAATTTCACTTTTCTTTCTCCCTCAATTTTTGGCAAAACGAAAGCTTGCTTTCAAGTTTCCCTTTCTATTTTTTGCCAAATTGGGAAGGTCCATTTTCTATATAAATCGGCCGCCGACATTTTCATAATTCCCTCAAGAAAATTTCGTCAAAAGAAAAAAAAAAGTCAACCTTCAGTAGAAAAAAAAGTCAAAAGTAAAAAATGACGTCGGATGGTACGAGCGGTGGAGCGACTCGACACGACCTCACCATTGTGATCGTGGGGATCGTCATCGGGGCAATTGCCCTGAGCTACGGCGTGTACGCCGCCGTCCAGTGGGTCAGGAAGACCTGCTTCTCGGGAGCCCCACAGCAGGCCCCACTGCCACCACCTCCTCCTCCTCAGGAGCTGGAGATGGGGCCCGTTCCGGCAGTAGACCCTGCGCCGCCTGCCAGGATCGCCTCCTTCCCTGTCCACGTGTACTCCACCGACACTGACGAGCGGATCAGCGAGTGCGGGGTCTGCTTGGAGGACTACGCACAGGGCGACCAGTACTGGGAGCTCCCCACCTGCGGGCACCACTTTCACGTGGCCTGCCTCAGGGTGTGGCTGGAGTCCCACTCCACCTGCCCCTTTTGTCGCCAGACGGTTTGAGTAGCGTAGTTGCACACTATATTTAATAAATGTATTTTATGTTTTTTATTTTAGAATACGAAAAATGTATTGTTATTGGATATATTATGAACCATCGTCATTTTTGGATGAGTTAAGGGTGATTTTGGCCCCCTATATTATCACGTTTTCCCTATTATGGCCCTTAAACTAAATTGCTTTCTAATTAAAACCTTGAACTTTGGGCATTTTTCTATGACAGCCCTTACCGTTAGTAACCCATCAATTTTCCGTTAAGTTGGGCCACCTGTATATGTTGAGTCGGCGACGAGTCACACATAAGATGTTCAGTTACAAAATTGCCCTAAACTATCGCGTTTTCTCTATTTTAGCCCCTGAACTAATTTGTTTTCAAATTAAATCCTTGAACTTTGGGCATTTTTCTAAGACAGTCCTTACTATTGGTAAATGGTAACCCATCAATGTTCCGTTAAGTTGAGACCATACGCTGACTGGACATGCTGAGTAAGCTATGAGTCAGCACCAAGTCACCAGAAGATAGGTTAATTACAAAATTGCCCTCATTACTTTCCTTTTACCTATATCGTTTACTTTTACAATAAAAAAAATATTGTCAGCCCCAATTGGAATCAAATATCGCATTTGGGATTAACCTATCAAAGAGCAAAGAAAAAAAAAGCTTGTGAGAAACCCAGAGCACAGAAGCTCAATGAATTGAATCTATACAGTAATGAAATTATATTACGAGTGATTAATATAAACGATCACAAACATTTGCACTTAGTACAAAATGATCATAAATCTTTCATTTATAACAAGATAGTCAAAAATCTTTTTGTGAATACCAATACAGTCATCTCCATCCCAAAATTTAACATATTGCTGACGTGACTTCCAGCTAAGCATCCCAGTCAGCCAATATTTAATAAAAATATTAATTAATATTATTTTTTAAATTAACACACAATTAATTAAATTATTAAAAACAAATGAAAATAACTTTCACTTTCCTCTCTTCGCCGCTTCCCTGATCTCACCGCCGGCAATCCTTCTCGCTGCTGTCTTTCTTTTTCTTCAGGTTCACAGTCTCGATTCCTCGAATCAATTAGTGGTGGCGATTTTGAACGTTGATTTTGATTTCTCCCTTCCAGTTAGAATCGACCCACGCCAGCAGAGAAACAGATATCAGGAATTCGCCTCCAGAATACTCAACGAAAGCTGGGCTTTTTGAATCCGAACAACCCCTTGGAAATCTTCGAGCGCGCACTCTTCCGAGTGCCGGAGAGGAAGCGATGTCCAGATCGAGTAGTAGCAGACAGCCCGAACCCTCCTGATGAAACGGCGGTAAAGTAACTAATCGGAGCCGGGAAGATTATGCTGGATACAGACCCGTTCGCCGGCGAGAAATTCGACCCGCAGGAATCGCTAGACGACCATCTCGTCGATAGGGAAATGAAGCTGCAGATGATGTCGAAGGAGATCGCGGCGTCGCTCGAGGATTTTTTTTTACGGAATTTTTGGGTTGACTGTTAATACTAACGATTAACTCTTTTACAATTAATGAATCAGCGCAAAAAGCTGATGTGGCCGCCATATCATTAAATATTGATAAAAAAATTCAATTTCAAAATTAGATTTAAAGAAAAGGTAAATGTAAAATAGAATAATCACACAACAGCCGTTGGCCGTGCCAAAAAAATCCCCAGTCACACTCTCCCTCCCTTCTTTGACGCCCTTCCATCGACGTCCGTCCGACTCACCGCAAAGTTCGTCTTCGTCGTCGCCTCGTTCAATCTCGAGCTAACATATTTCTCCGAAAAATCCTCTTCTCCGATGGTCCACCTTCCTTCCACCCGCTTCTGGTTTTCATTTCAGAAATAGATTTTAATGAAGATTGCTGAAGTGGCGCTCCGAACCTAAATCCAAGCTTGATCCTCTCGCGGCAGCTCGCCTCATGAGATTTCAGATGAGGACCCATTCTCGGGGTGTCAACATCCTGTTGCTGAATTCTTGGGAAGAAAGGATTGAGAAGATGAAGCTCGAGAAAGAAGTGAAGAGAAAGGAGAGAAGACGGTGACGTTTCAATAGGAAGGCTTCAGCATTAGATAAAACGCAGTCGTGTGGTTTACTTTTGCTAGCCGTTAATCAACAGTATTTTGGTTTTGTAATTGCCAGTGTTTCTGTGACACGTGGCTAAGTTTGTTTAGAGGCTTTAAACTTGATTAAGCCGTTATATAAAAACAGAGAACAACAACCCTTCTTCCTTAAGGGTCTGCCTTCACAAAACCTACTATCTCTCTACTTTTACAAAGTTCTTATGGTATCAGAGCGGTGACGATCTAGGGCAAGCACAATGTCGACCGGTACACCACCTTACACGCCGCCCCATGGACGAGGAAATGGATCTGGAGGAGGAAATGGGTCCAGTGGATCAACGGCAACCAATTTCCAGTTTGGAAGCCTTGATGCTCAGCAGCTGAACACTGGACAACCAAGATCTGAGGTAATTACCTTTGGGAATCCGTTCTATCTGAATCCAAATGAAGCCCTCAACCAGTCTATTGGGTCGGAAGTGTTTGATGGTACTAATTATACGATGTGGAGTAGATCTGTAGTGATGGGTTTGAAGATGAAACACAAAATGGGTTTCATCGATGGTAGTATACCTATGCCTCCTGTGAATGATGATAAATATCTGTTACGGGATGGTTGTAATACTACTGTTCTATCTTGGATTCTCAACTCTCTGCACAAGGACTTGAGAAGATCTGTTATGAATCATGTGAATGCGAAAGTCTTGTGAGATGAGCTGAAACGCAGGTTTGGCAAGCCAAATGCTGTGAGGATAATCAACTAGAGGATGATATCCAACGTTGCAAGCAGGGTAATAAGTCTATTAATGACTTTTACACAAACATCAAAGGTCTCTGGGAAGAGTATCTGCAGTTCAGCCCAATTGTACCCTGCAATTGTGCACCTGGGAATACAAACCCTTGTGATGATGTCACTGCTTATACAGAAAGGCAGGAAACTGATTACCCAATTCGGTTTCTTAGAGGTCTTAATCCTGACTTTGAAGTTGTATAAACCCAAATCCTGATGCAGAAACCACTACCCAGCGTTTCTGAAGCTGTGGATGACCTGTTGCAGCATGAACAGAAGTTGAAAGGTGAAGGCACTGGCAAGAGATCTCAGACTGTTGCGTTGGCAGTGAACACAGACACACAGTCTACCCGACGTAATCAAGAGAAGCGTTATTGTGTCTATTGTAAGAAGACTAATCACACAGTTGATGAATGTTGGAGGAAGAAAAGGAGAGATAAGGAACAGGCAGGTGGAAACAAGTCAAGTGGTTCACAGAGTAGCACACCTCGGTTTGCAGGTTCAGTGTCTCAAGGAAGTTCTGGAGATTCACACACTGAAGGAAGTGTGAGTGGTGACGCCTCTGGTGGTAGCCCAGTAAGTGTTGCTATTCTGTTGTTGGCTTTACTCCTGAGGAGATGAACAGATTGAGGCAAATGATGCAATCTAGTGCTGGCACAACATCCTCACCACCACTTTCCCCTTCCATTACCCATAATGCCTATTCTGTGTCCCAATACATGCCACCATTCCCCAACTATTCAGGTAAATATGTCCTGTCTACCTATAGTGAATCCAAACCTACCAATTTAGTTCATTTTTGGATCCTTGATACAGGAGCTTCTGACCATATCTCCTGTTCCTTAGCATTGTTTGTTGAGCACAAGTCAGTTCAAAACACTTATGTTCATCTTCCTAATAGTGCTAAGGTTCATGTTACACATGTAGGGACAGTCAAATTACCTTCTGGCCTTTACCTATATAATGTTCTCCTTGTCCCCAGTTTTTCTTTTAACCTTGTGTCAGTTAGCAAACTTACCAAAGATTTTCCCCTAGCCTTACACTTTCACTCTGATTTATGCCAAATCCAGGACCTACTCAGCAGGAGGATGATTGGTTTGGCAAGAGAGTCTAGAGGCATTTACCAACTCACCTTTCAATCATCACCAGCACCAGCCAACCTCCCAACACCACCACAAGCAGCTGCAACCCTCAACTTTAGTACCCAGCAATTTGATCTTTGGCACTGGAGATTAGGCCATCCCAGTAGTGATAGGATTTCCTTGTTACAGCAAACTGATTCCACTGTAACTAGTACTAAAGTTTCTCATTGTGATGTTTGCCATTATTCCAAACACAAACGTTTACCCTTTCCTGTCAGCACTAGTCATGCACATGATTTGTTCCAATTGATCCATGTAGACATTTGGGGGCCACTTTCTGTTCATTCCTATGATGGATTTGCTTACTTTCTTACTGTGGTTGATGACTATTCTCGAGCAGTATGGGTGTTTTTAATGAAACACAAAAGTGAAACCAGGGAACTCTTAAAAGGCTTCTGTCATTTGGTACATAATCAGTTTGGCAAATCAGTGAAAACAGTTCGTAGTGATCAAGGGAAAGAGTTCAACATGTGTGATTTTTACTTGGAACATGGCATTGAACATCAAATGTCCTGTGTTGAGAACCCTGAGCAGAATGCTAGGGTAGAAAGGAAGCATCAACACATTCTAAATGTGGCTCGTTCCTTAAGGTTCCAGTCTGGTCTACCTCTACAATACAGGAGTGATTGTGTTCTTCACTCAGTCTATCTTATTAACAGACTCCCTACTCCTGTTTTACACAACAAATCTCCCTATGAAATGTTATACAACAAACCTCCTTTCCTTGGCCACTTAAGAGTTTTTGGGAGCCTCTGCTATGCAAGCACTCTTACTCATGGCAGAACTAAATTTGCAGCTAGGGACAAGCAATGTGTGTTGCTAGGCTTTCCTCAGGGCATTAAAGGTTATAAACTATTATCTCTGGATGACCATCATGTTTTTGTTTCCAGAGATGTAGTATTCCATGAGTCCATTTTGCCTTTCAGAAACATAATTCCTGCCTCTCAGCCCTCACTTGTTGTACCCTCTTCTTCACCTCCTTCTTCTTCTGCTCCACCTATCCAAATCCCTCTTTCCCATCCTTTACCTCACTCACCTTCTGCTGATGGGGGGGTAACCTCACCTCAGTCTGCTTCCCACATTCAACCTTCTTCTTCTTCTACAGAGACAGAAATTCCTTTTGATCAGGATCCTGGATCACCAGTTTATGTTGAACATGACCCTGAATTGGAACCTCAAGCTGATTTTGATCCACCTGTTAGACCTTCTCGCACTCACAAACTTCCTGCCAAGTTTCAAGACTGTGAATTAGACACAAGGCTGAAGTTTGGTGCGTTTGGCACAGCTGCAGCAGCCACCAAGTACCCTATATGCTTGGAAGTAGACCATCTTAGCATAGAAGATAGAAATTATGCTTTGAGTGTGATCACATAGATGGAACCAATCAGCTATGAAGAAGCAGTAAAGCATGTTGAATGGAAAAGAGCAATTGATGAGGAATTGGCAGCACTGGAAGAAAACTAGACATGGGATGTTGTTTCATTGCCACAGAATAAAAGAGCAATTGGGTATAAGTGGGTGTTCAAAGTAAAATTGAGACCTGATGGAACCATAGAGAGATATAAAGCCAGGTTAGTGGCAAAAGGCTTTACACAGGTCTATGGCATAGACTTCTTGGACACCTACTCCCCTGTGGCAAAGATAAACACCGTTAAAGCTTTGTTGGCAGTGGCAGCAGTTAAGAACTGTAGTCTTGAACAGATGGATGTTTCAAATGCCTTCTTGCAAGGTGATTTGACTGAAGAAGTGTACATGAAAGTACCATTGGGAGTTGAATTGCCACCATCTTGTTCAGGACAGGTAGCTTGTCGTTTGAAAAAGTCCTTGTATGGCTTGAAGCAAGCTTCTAGGCGATGGTTTGCTAAGTTAACCAACTTCCTACTCAGGAGTGGTTTTTCACAGTCAAGTTCAGACTACTCTACTCAGGAGTGCTGGTGTATGTAGATGACATAATAGTGGCTGGAGATGCACCTAAGGATATTGAGCAGGTCAAAAAGGCTTTAAGTAAGGAGTTTAAGATCAAGCTCTTAGGTCCTTTGAAGTATTTCTTGGGATTGGAAGTGACAAGGAATGATGAAGGGTTGTCTGTTTGTCAGAGGAAATACTGCTTGGATCTATTGGAAGAAACAGAATATCTGGAAGCTAAGGGAACTGTAATACCAGCAGATACCAAGACCAAATTGACAGCAGAACAAGGAACAAGAATGAATGACCCTGAATCATATAGAAGGTTGATTGGGAGGTTTCATTATATAACCATCACCAGGCCTGATCTAACCTATGCAGTCCAGCAATTGTGCCAATTCCAGAAAGATCCCCACACAGAACATCTACAAGCAGCCTACAAAGTTCTAAGGTATCTAAAGAATTCACCTGGACAGGGAATACATTTCAGCAGTCATGCAGAACTTAAGCTGACAGGCTACTGTGATTCGGATTGGGCAAGTTATCCTGATACCAGGAGATCAACTACAGGTTACTACACCTTCCTAGGAAGTTCATTACTGACTTGGAAGACAAAGAAGCAGACAACTGTTCCGAGATCATCATCAGAAGCTGAATATAGAGCTTTGGCTCTATTGGCATGTGAGGTGCAAGCCGTTATATAAAAACAGAGAACAGCAGCCCTTCTTCCTTAAGGGTCTGCCTTCACAAAACCTACTATCTCTCTACTTTTATAAAGTTCTTACGGGGTCAGAGATTGCCTTTTCATCAAATCAAGTCAGAGATTGCCCTCTCTGAAAAGGAAGAGTCAAAGAAAATCAAGCCGAAATCAAGGGGGAGCTGATCAATGGAATCAGGGGGAGTCCTAAACCTTCCCTGTCTGAAACGATTCAAACGACAGAACTACAACGACTATCTTGAAGAACTATTTAAAGGAAGGTCGGAGACCATTTTATGTACTGATTCTGGTATTCTTTGTGGAATAGGGCAAAGGGTTGGGGAATTGACAGTGGCTTTGATCACAACTGAGGAATAGGTTCAGTTGGTCAAAGGTGTAGCGAATTCCTGTGCGAATTCGAGTCATGTTACCATCTCTTTGATTTTCACATTTGTGTGTGTATTTGAGTCTTTCTGTTCTTCTTTATAGAGTCAAGAAAATCAAAGTGTCTCTCGAAATAGTGTCTACTATTCTGGGACGAGGAGTAACCCTGTGGTGAACCTCGTTAAAAATTCCGCCGTGTTCTTTACTTTCTGCACTCTCCTTTGATCGTTTCCAACTTCCCTTGTTATGTTCCTCTCTGTTCTGGTTCGCTTGGCTCAGCGAAGAAGAAGAACCTGTTCTCTCTTTCTTCTCTGAGTAAAGATTCGGGCCTATATGGAAGTTAAGCCCGGTGACTTTCCATTCTGATCAGTGGGCGTATCTTTAAATTTCCCAACCGAAACAAGCTCTTATGAGATGGGCTAAAACTATAGGTGTCAATCGGGCGGGTTCGGGCTGGGTTCAAACGGGTTGCGGGTTAGTCGGGTTGCGGGTTCATCGGGTTCGGGTTCGGGTTCAAACGGGTTGTGGGTTAGTCGGGTTGCGGGTTCATCGGGTTCGGGTTCAATCGGGTTGCGGGCAAATCGGGTTGCGGGTTCATCGCGTTTTGGGTCGGGCGGGTTGCGGGCGGGTCGGGCTTCGGGTTGTTCGGGCCAGTGCATCAAGTAACTTAACTCATTACTCATTACCAACTTACACATTTTATTACACTAATTTAAAATATTTTCTCAACTTTTTAACCAATTTATTTCTACCTCGTATATATATACTTTATTTTTTTGAAAAAAACTAGTCAAAATTTTAAATCAATTTGTATGACTTGCAAACTTGTTATGTAATTAATCATAATTGGTAAAGTATTATAGCTAATAGTAATGGTGATATCAATATTTGCAACCAAAAGACACCGTTAATTGTTTATTTGATATTTTAGTATTAATTCAGTAGTAATTGAATTAAAGTATCTCGTTTAGTATAACCATGCAAATCTGGTATTTGCCATGTGGTAATTGGCAAAAGCATAGTGATAAAAGGAGTTATTTCAAAATAACTCATTGCCCAAATAACTTCAGTAAACTGTTGCCAAACGAGTTATTTGTAAAATTGTTCGAATTATCCTAAAAATTAAACCATTAAAGATTAGCTATCAAATTTAGTAAAATTATTGTGACTTCAATCATAACTTACTCAATAGCATATATCCTATACACTTAGCCTTATCCTCAATCAACAATATTAAGTTAGTATATGTTGTTGATTGTATACCCTAAACCATCAATACATTATACACTAACCACATAACCTATACCCTAATCATATGTCCTTGAGTTGTGATTTTGCTAGTATAGTTAATTTAAAAGTGAAATTCATACTTTGATTTTCAAAACATAGATAAAAAGTGATATTTGCTAATTGTTATACCCTAACCATATATCCTATACTTTACACCACATACCTTGTACCCTAACCACGTACCATAAACATATATTAAAAAGGGATCTCCTGCCGTTAAAGACTTCAAATGACTTCAAGTGAACATATGTTAATAAAAAACTTAGAACCGTCAAAACCATCAATATCTTATACCCTAACCATATACACCCTAAACCATATGTACCTTATACCTTATACGCTAACCATATACTTTATATCCTAAACAACGAACCGTCAAACATTACTTATCAAGTTAAGTATAAATTGTTGTAACTAATGGTTAATTCATTTATTAGCCCATAAACAATTACATACATATATACATATTAGCCTTCAAAGCATATAAGAATAATTTTAACTAGTCATGCCCTCCATATAAAAGTTAAAGATTCATATTTCAAAAGCTAAAATTATGAAAAACCAAAAATTTAAAACACCAAATTTGTTTCCTTCTTTCTTTTCAAAAAATACTAAAATTTCCCTCCTTCTTTCTCCTTCTATACATTAGAAAAACTCAATTTTCCCTCCTCTTTCTCTTCCATAAAATTGAAAGAAACAAATTACCCTCTTCTTTCTTTCTACAAAAAGTTGAAAAGTCAAAAGTTTTCCTCCTTATTTCTCTTTCATAATAAAGAAAATCAAACTTTCCCACTTCTTTCTCTTCCCACATATCAAAACCACAAAAATTCCCACTTGTTTTTTTTCTAAAAAAATTCAAAGGACCAAATTTCCCTCTTCTTTCTCTTCCCCAAAACTTGAATACACCAAAATTTCCCTCTTCTTTTAAAAGTATCAAATTACCAAATACATTACTTTACTTTATTTATATTTAATTGATAATTTTATTGAATAGTTAAATTAACCAAAATTTTAATTTATATATTATATTAATATTGTCATTATCTCAAGTGACCTTCATGTTTCAATTTTGGTAATTTTCTTAACATACGTAATATCAAGTGAGTTTCATATTTTTTAAATTTCTTATACGAAATGAAAAAATAATTTTACTTAAGTTTAGAATGAAAAACTTTATTTTGAAAAACTATGTATTGTATATTTTTATAATTATTCAAGTGGATTAGATGAAATTCGGGTTGAGTCGATCGGGTTACGGGTTAGTCAGGTTCGGGTCAATCGGGTTCGGGTTAATCGGGTTGCGGGTCAGTTGGGTTGCGGGTCAATCGGGTTCGGGTTAATCGGGTTGCGGGTTAGTCGGGTTGCAGGTTAGTTGGGTTGCGGGTCGGGCGGGTTACGGGTTGTTGACTTTTAGTCAATTCGGGTTGCGGTCGGGTTGCGGGTCGGGTTGATCGGGCGGGTTAATCGGGTCGGGCTATGTTTTGACACCTATAGTTAAAACCATTTCGGTCTAATTAGGGTCGATTCAATTGCTGACTATTTCAGTCAAAATCCCTAATTGTTCTCGTTCCATATCTGTTTCACGAATTCTTCTCTTTTGCAAGTGGTATCAGAGCGAGCCTGGTTCTTGAAGGAGCTAATTGCTGCCAAGAACAGATCCAGAAGCAATGGGATCAACCAACTTCGGGAAAGCATCATACATACAATCATCCTCCTGTGTTCACCAGGTCAAATTATACAGCATGGAAGAAGAGAATGAAAACCTTTCTGTGGGGAGTCGACGAGGATCTCTGGACGGTGGTGCGTGATGGTCCAGTCGCCATGGTAGATGAAGAACAAAGCACTTGGTCGGCCGCCCAAAAGAAGAGTGCTCAACTCAATCTGTGGGCCATGCATATCCTTCAATCAACAATGGCACCTGACGAAGCCGACAAAGTGGAACATTGCGAATCGGCTCGGGAAATCTGGAACTCGCTCGAAAGCACGTACGAAGGAACCTCATATATCAAGGAAACTAGGATTGATCTTCTGGTCCATGAGTATGAATGCTTCGAAATGGCTCCAGGTGAGGGAATTCATTAAATGTACTCTCGATTTACTATTCTTATAAATAAACTGAAAGGGCTAGGGAAGGTGTATCTCCTTAAGGATCTAAATAGAAAAATCTTGAGGTCTCTTCCTAAGAAATGGTTACCAAAAAGAACATCAATTGAAGAAGCTAGAAACCTAAATACCCTACCCATAGATGAATTAATGGGGTCCCTTTTAAGCCATGATCATGTCCTTAAGCAAGTTAATAAGGATGAGGAGAAACGTAAGAAAAGTTTAGCTTTCAAATCTCATGTGGTTGAATATGATTCAGATACTGATCTAGGTGAGGAATTTAATAGAGAATTTGCTTTAATAAGCAACAAATTTCATAGAATGCTTAAGTATAAGCAAGAACAGAAGCAGAAATCATATGATCGTAATGCTTATAATCGTGCTAACCCTTTTGACAAAGTCAAAAACTCTTTTCAAGATAGGCTGCGTACTCCGCAGACCAAGCGTGTTGAACCAGGGATACTTGAAACACAAGACTGCTACAAATGTGGAAAGCCATGTCACATTCGTGCAAATTTCCCTCTGACATTAAAAACAAAAGAAAGAGCCATGAAGGCCACTTGGAGTGACTATGAGTCTGAAGAAGAAGAAGAAGAAGAAGAAGAAGAAGAAGAAGAAGAAGAAGAAGAAGAAGAAGAAGAAGAAGAAGAAAGAGCACTTATGGCTTCTACAGAACAAGTGCTGAAAGTTCAACAACCCTGCAAACCCTCTGAAGATTCACAATGGTACCTTGATAGCGGGTGTTCTCATCACATGTCTGGTGAGAGTTATCTGTTAAGCTCTCTTACTATGAAACGTGGAGGTAAAGTAACATTTGGAGATGATATTCGGGGGATTATAATTGGTTCCGGTAACATAGGCACCACACCTAGTCCAGTTATTAAAAATGTGTTGCTCGTAGATGGATTAAAGCATAACATGTTGTCCACAAGTCAACTTTGCAGTAATGGCAACCGGGTTATTTTTGAAAACAATAAGTGTTCTGTAGAACAGGTTAATGAAAACAAAACCCTTTTCATAGGTAAAAGAGTTAACAACATGTACATAGTAGATGTGTCTGACCTGAGTATGTTCAATGCTAAGTGTCTTCAAGCTACTCTCACTTCACCTGAGCTTCTTTGGCACAAACGTCTCGGGCATGTTAGTATACCTAAACTAGCTGTGTTGTCCAAACTAAGTCTAGCCAGAGGAATACCTAAGCTTAAAGATAAAGCTGAATTTTTCTGTAATGTTTGTGTTGCTGGTAAACATAAAAGAAAAAGTTTTAAGTCTAAATCTGACATTACAACCGTTAGGTCCTTCGAGTTAATGCATATGGATCTATTTGGACCTTGTAATGTTACTAGCCTAGGAGGTAAAAACTATGTCTTTGTGTTAGTGGATGATTTCTCCAAATTCACCTGGGTATATTTTTTAACCAATAAGGATGAAACCTTTGAGAAGTTTCTTTTGTCACTATGCATCATCAATCTATAGACACCATTCGTAGTGATAACGGGGGAGAGTTTATTTCAGATGTGTTTGCTGAATTTTGTGACAAAATAGGAATCAAACATACTTTTTCTGCTCCTCGCACTCCTCAACAAAACGGAGTCGTAGAACGTAAAAACATGACTCTTATTGAATGTGCTAGGACTATGTTATTAGACTATAACCTGGCTAAGTTCTTCTGGGCAGAATCTGTTAATACTGCTTGTTACATCATCAATCGAGTCATAGTTAGAAAACTGTTAAACAAGACTCATATGAGATTTTAAAAGGAAAAACCCCTAGAATTTCATATTTCCACCCCTTTAGATGTCCCTGCTACACCATAAATACTCGTTACTCACTTGGAAAATTCGATGCTAAGTCTGATCCAGCAACGTTTCTTGGGTATTCTTCTAAGGGTCAAGCTTACAGAGTTTTTAATAAAAGAACTAGGGAATTGGAGGAGTCAGTTCATGTAGTTTTTAATGAAACTGATCTGGTTACTCTGGATCCTGCTTTGATGGTTGACTTAAGTGAACTCACCACCTCTTGTCAAGTTTCTTCCAGTGAACCTATCACTACAATTAAAGAACCAAGTTCCCAAGAGACTCCAGGACAACCAGATGAAGAACTTGATGAGTCTGCTAAACTACCAAAGGCCCCACTACATATTCAAAAACGGCATCCTGAGAGTCAAATCATTGGAAAACTGAGCGATGGACTGCAAACTCGAGGTAAGTACACTCCTGGACAGTATGCTTTTGTGTCTCAACTTGAACCTAAAAACTTTAAGGAAGCATTAAATGATGAAGAATGGAGTCTTGCAATGATTGAGGAACTTACTCAATTTGAATACTTGCATGTCTGGGATCTTGTCCCTCGTCCTCCTAATGTTATTGTTATAGGAACTAAGTGGATATTTAGAAACAAATCTGATGAACTATGGTACATCATAAGGAACAAAGCTAGGTTAGTGGCTCAAGGGTATCTTCAAGAAGAAGGCATCAACTATGATGAAACCTTTGCCCCAGTAGCTAGGATCGAATCTATTAAATTGTTGTGTGCTTTTGCTAGTCACATGGGTTTTCCTTTATATCAAATGGATGTCAAAATCGTGTTTTTGAATGGTATCATTCAAGAAGAGGTGTATGTGTCTCAACCTCCTGGTTTTGTTGACTTTGAGCATCCTGATTATGTCTATAAACTCAACAAAGCCTTATATGGTCTCAAACAAGCGCCTAGAGCTTGGTTTGAACGTCTTACTGCATTCTTGATTGAGAATTCTTTTACTCAAGGGGGGATAGATAAAACTCAATTTATTAAACAAGTAGATGGTAAAATTCTTCTTGTGCAAATATATGTGGATGATATAGTCTTTGGATCTACTGATCCATCTCTTTGCACTGACTTCTGTGACACTATGCAATCTGTTTTCGATATGAGCATGATGGGAGAGCTTAAATTTTACCTTGGTCTTCAGGTTAAGCAAACTTCCTCAGGAATTTTCATTAATCAATCCAAGTATCTTCAGAACATGCTTAATAAGTTCGGTTTTAATAACCTTAAGTCTAGCAATACCCCAATGGCTGTTAACCTTAATCTAGATCGGGATGAATCAGGGGTTTCTGTCGATGAAAAAAAGTATAGAGGCATGATTGGATCACTGCTCTATCTCACTGCAAGCAGACCAGATATTCATTATAGTGTGTGCATATGTGCTCGATTCCAGTCAGCCCCTATAAGGAGAGTCATCTAACAGTAGTAAAAAGAATTTTTAGATACTTAAAAGGGACTCCTGAGGTTGGTTTATGGTACCCTAAACACAACAATTTTTCTCTAATAGGCTATAGTGATTCAGACTTTGGGGGTAGCCTAACTGATAGGAAAAGCACCACTGGTACGTGTCAGTTCGTAGGAACGTCTTTAGTGCCTTGGTCCTGTAAAAAGCAAGGTGTTGTTGCCCTCTCCACTGTTGAGGCAGAATATATTGTCGCGAGCAGTTGCTGTACCCAACTCATTTGGCTTAAAAATCAGCTTAGGGATTATAATGTGCTTGCTAAGTCCATACCTCTCCTATGTGATAATACCAGTGCCATTTGTATGGCAAAAAATCCGGTCCAGCATTCAAGAACTAAACATATTGAGGTTAAGTATCACTTCATTAGAGATTTAGTTCAGCAGAATACTATCACTATTAGTCACATTCCTACAAAATATCAATTAGCGGATCTGTTTACCAAAGCCTTGAATGCTGATCGATTTACCTTCATTTGTTACGAAATAGGGCTGAGATCTCCAGACAATCTGGAAGATCTTTCCTGATTTTTCGTCTGCTTTACTGCTCTGTTTTAATTTCCTTGTTTTGCTGCATTTTCTTTCCATGTTTTGTGACTTGCTTCTTTGAATTCTTCTTTTATTAGCTTCTAGTTCTCTATTTAAGTCTGTTGTGTCTTCCTTCTTCGTCATTACTTCAAAATCGTTAAGGTTCTTTCTAGTTAATAGCTATGGTGATCGGGTTCTCGAAAACTTTCACAGGTACTCTCTTTCACGACCCCATTCCTGCCAACTCTCATCGTCACTCCATCTCATTTGCTCATCGTCCTCTTGTTCCAACCTATCATGTCCCTTTTGCTGATCTCATTGAGTACGGTGTTGACGTTACTCAATATGTTCATAATCTGGGTTGGGACTGCTTGATTATTGACACCCCTGAGCATATCTGTGTTGAAGGTGTTCGTATGTTTTATTCAAACTTTCGGTCATTTGGGCTTCATACTCGCACATTCACTACTTTGATCCATGGTAACCTTGTCACTATACCTCTTGAGGATCTTAGGCGTCTCCTGAATATCCCTAGGTTTGGAAGATTCTGGCCAATGACTCTGAATTCCATCATTTTAACTTTGATATTGTTCATGAGTTTGTTATGCTCATTGCTCATGAGCCTATTGCATATCTTACTCTGCCTGTTGCATTCTTGCTCCCTGGCCTTTGCACGTTTCACTTTCTGTTGACTCGACGTTTTCTTCCTCGCACTATCATGCTTGATCGAGTTACCCCTCTGGATCTTTGGGTTCTTACTCATGCTGTTCACAATGTACCACTTGACTATTGTCACTTCCTGTTTGGACATCTATATCCTTTCCAACAGTTTGAGTATCTTGGTCACCTCCCTTTTGGTCCCCTTATTACTCGTCGTATTATTCGTCTTGAGATCTCTATAGACCCCTTTCGTGTTATCACTCCCAACATCTACCTCACTGCTGATGATATCCTGGACGAGATTGCGATTGTCGTTGAGGGGGAGGATGATACTGATGATGATACTGAAGATGATACTGAAAACTCTGACGACGAAGGACCGGTAGAGGACCTTGCTGACAATCCTGGAGATGAGGAGGAAAACCCTTCTGGCGAGCCTAAAGGAGACGAATCTGGCATTATAGTTCACTGGATCAGCAGTGATGATTCTGAAAACGATGATTCTGATGACCCGCCGTTGGCGACTGTCTTGGCTGATCTCAGGGATGCGTATAATTCTGATTGAATCTCTCTGTTATGCGAAATCGTTTAGCTTTGATCGGTTTTGTAGTTTTGTTTGACAGGCTGTTCTGTTAGGTTGCTAAACCTATTTGTTTTCCTTGCTGTGTTGAACTGAACTGGTTTGCTGGACGTGTTGTTTCACCAGCTGTTATTTAGACGCTTTTGAACCTTTCGACCGTGTGTACTTGGCTGCTCTATATTGCTATTTCTTGGAAAGAGTATAGTTGTTTTGCAGGGATCAATCGGAAAATCAGCAATCTCTAACTTAGGGGGAGATTGTTGGATTGAAAGATTCCAATCAAATCAAGTCAGAATTTCCCTCTCTGAAAAGGAAGAGTCAAATAAAATCAAGCCGAAATCAAGGGGGAGCTGATCAATGGAATCAAGGGGGAGTTGATCAATGGAATCCTAAACCTCCCCTGTCTGAAACGATTCAAAAGACAGAACTACAACGACTATATTGAACAACTATTTAAAGGAAAGTCGGAGACCATTTTATGTACTGATTCTGGTATTCTTTGTGGAATAGGGCAAAGGGTTGGGGAATTGCAGTGGCTTTGATCACAACTGAGGAATAGGTTCAGTTGGTCAAAGGTGTAGCGAATTCCTATGCGAATTCCAGTCTTGTTACCATCGCTTTGATTTTCACATTTGTGTCTGTATTTGAGTCTTTCTGTTCTTCTTTATAGAGTCAAGAAAATCAAAGTGTCTCTCAGAATAGTAGACGGGACGAGGAGTAACCCTATGGTGAACCTCGTTAAAAATTTCGTAGCGTTCTTTACTTTCTGCACTCTCCTTTGATCGTTTCCAACTTCCCATGTTTTGTGCGTCTCTGTTCTGGTTCGCTTGGCTCAGCGAAGAAGAACTTGTTCTCTCTTTCTTCTGAGTAAAGATTTGGGCCTATATGGAAGTTAAGCCCAATGTCTTTCCATTCTGATCAGTGGGCTTATCTTTAAACGGCCCAACCAAAACCAGCTCTTATGAGATGGGTTAAAACCATTTTGGTCTAATTAGGGTCGATTCAATTGCTGACTATTTCAGTCAAAATCCCTAATTGTTCTCGTTCCATATCCGTTTCACGAATTCTTCTCTTTTACATCTACTCCAGGTTCACCCGCGACCCAGGCCCCATCTCCATCGGCGACGTTTTCCTCTGCGTCTCAGTGGCCATCCCGAAGGTGAAACCCTCGTCGGTGAACTCTGTCAACCGTCAGGTGTGTACCGTTGATTGGTGATGTCGTCGAGGCTGACTCTCGGAGGACCGTTTTCACTCGGATCTGGAGCTCGAATCCGACGCCGTCTCTGTTTGTCCCCAGCCACTTGATTTCCCCCCATTTCTTCCACAATTCCGGTGGAGAGCGATTGCATCGTGAAGGAGGACCGTGGCTGCGGGTTGCTGTTGAATTTGGCAGTGGAGTAGTGGGGATTGGGTTGAATTAGCTGAAACCCCTATTCCCTTCCTCTTCCCGCGGTTCTCAAATTCGCTCCGAATAGCGAGGCGGAGGAAGAATAAGATGCGTTGGGTTCCGATTACCTAGTGGAGAATGGGAGGAAGTCGGCCGGTGCTGGAGCGGGATTGTGAGGCAGAGTCAACGGCGAGGAGGGTTTGAGTGGTTTGGAGCTTGGTGGAGAATCAAAGAGAGTAATATGCAACCCCCGATCTTCCTCTGCTTGGAATTTTTTTCAATTTTTTTAATTAATATAAATGATATGAAAGCCACGTCATTGTCACCTGGATGCTGAGTCCACATCATTTGTCCATTATTTTAAAAAGTTGGTCAAAATTATATTATTTGAAAATTTGAACAATTTTGACACTTACACCAAATTTCGGACCAAACTACAGCCAAATAACATCCCTTCCATTTTTCTCCCGTCTCAGATGCTCTCAAGGTCAAAAGCAGAGCAACCAACACTGTCCACTAGGTTCTTTAGCAATCAAATCAACAAAACTGAGCAACCAACACTGTTGGGAATAAGGTTAGTGACGTTCTCTTTTGACAATGTAGCGGTAATTGTAATTATGTTTGAGCAGTGGGGCTGGATTTTCAGTTATCTCGGTTATAATAGATAACCAAAATGTCGGCTACCGGTTATCCGATAACTGACCGGTCTGTTACCGGTTAGTTGCTCGGTTAACCGAGATAATCGCAACGACACAGTTGGCTCGGTCATAACTGAGTAACCGAACCGGACAGCCCCCTATACAAACAAGATCGCTAAAATTGCCTAAAATTAAACGTTCAACCCTACATTTCTACATCTAAATCACTTCACAAGTCAAGTTTCAATCATATTTGCATAGAAAATAGATTTATATCACCAAACTAATGTCTCGAATACTAGAACATAAAGTCATAAACTTCATAAAGTCACAAATTACAATAGATCCAATCCAAATAGCATAGCATCAACAAGTCACAACCAAATCATCACTTATCAACAGAAGAAGAACCAACATATACATAACCCTTTTCTTTCAATTGCGGCAAGAGGTCATGACCAACATTGTCATATCCATCTTTCTCATACTCTTCCTCCGACACATTTTCTTCACCCTCCTACTCATTCCCATCTGGAATGTTCGGACTTGCATCTGCATTGGCAACATTCATACATTGAATTAGGTTGAAAGAAATAGTATATGTTTACTTGAACAAACAATAATTAAAGAGTTTTAGAACTTACCGCTTTCCAAATCCATGATCTCTTCATCATCTTCCCTATCGTCCCTCTCCGGCCCCGGTAGGGACACCTCGTCCGCCACGTCCACCACGAGGAGCAAGATATCTCGCCCTACAAAAACAATTACACAAATTGAAACTCAATTCAAAAAAGTCATCTAAATAAGTGGCCATACTTCACACACACATAACACTAATTTCTCTAAGAAGTACAAGCCTGTCCTGTTGTCCACAAGTACAAGCCATTTCATTAACAATTTAACATGATATACTTTCGAATCTCGAAAAAGAATTAATACCAAAGAAATCTTAGTGCCAATCAAGCAACAAATCCAATTAGAATTTGAAAAGCAAACCAATAATCTATAGAAATTTTTCAAAGAGGAACAACGACGAAAAATCTTAGTCCCTAAATCTCTAGTCCAAAATCCAAATCAAGATGCCAATGGAGCTATTTGCGACCGCACAGTGCCATGCCTGCCCATAACTCACAAATTCATCACAAATTTATCCATCACAAATTCACATAAGATTGAAACTAAAGAAGTCACAACTCACATCAGATTGATTAGAGGGGAGGAACAGCGGCAGCGGCTGGCTGCTCGTGGACTGGTTGGCGGAGGAGGAAATGGCGGAGCAGCAGGGGCGCGGGTCGGGGAGGGATATAGCGGAGAGTGGCAGCGTCGGGGAGAGAGATGGCAGAGAGAGGCGGCGCGGGGAGGGAGATGGCGGAGAGAGGGGGAGTCTCTTCGCTGTCGGCTGCGTCGGGAAGGGAGATGGCGAAGAGCGGCGACGTCGGGGGAGGGAGATGGCGTCGTTCAGGGCAGGCGGCAGGGAGATTCAGGGCAGGCAGTAGGGGAGAGAGCTCGCGTCTTTCGCAATGCAGAGAAGAGAAGGGAAGGGGTTAGCGGTTAGGGGTGGATCGATTAGGGTTAGGTTAGGAAGTGGCCTGGCGTTGTTTTACGAGGGGGTTAGATGCGTCGGTTAACCGGCATATCCAATCCCGCTACCGAACACCGCCCGCACACTTTTTTTTGTTAGTCGATTAACCGGTAACTGCCGGTTATCGGTTTAACTGGCCGATTAACCGGCAACACATACCTGAACCTCCAGCCCTATTGAGCAGAATGTTAGACTTAATATATATATATATATATATATATATATATATATATAATGTCCGCTTGAACTGCACTGAAGTAGTTTGGAAAATTTGGTGAAAGCTTTGTATAGTAGGAAAATTTGGTATTAATGTATATTATCCTAATCTCAATATCAAAATATTTGGCAAAAAAAATCTCAATATCAAAATATAAAGTTTTTGAGAAAATTACTTTTCTCGCGTAACAAAATCCACCGGTAGTTTATGTTTCTTTCCTTTATTTTACTATGTTTTTTATTATTAAAATCATTATTATAACTTATAAAACCCGAACCGGATTAATGGCTGAGCCAGTAGAATCACTAAATCGATTACAATAGTGATTTGGTTTATTTTAATTGGATGGTTAGCGACCAACCCAACGGTTATTTACCGTTTGACATGAAACTAGATGAACTATTCTCATTACTGGTTCGTTGGATCGCATTTTTAACCACAAAAATAAAAAAAAATATTTTAACTTAATTGTTTTTACACTGAAACAACAGATTAGGTCGATCTAATCGTATATGAGGTCGGCCTAAAAGTGCATGTCACCGTGACATGTATGTCACTGTAGCAAAGTCCAAATTCTTATATATCACTCAATCAACATACCGTCAAATTAATGATATGTCAAGTGAAAAATGAAAATGAAATTATTTTTTGAATTTCCATGTTATCTCCATCTACCATCGTCTACTAAGTGTCTAAGTCTTCATCTACCATCCATCTACCATCGTCTACTAACTGGAACTGCCTTTTTAAAGTTCTCTCGACTTTGGATTTTCCGACGAAGTGGTTGAGATGGATGAAAGGTGTTATGTGCTCCCCCATGTACTCTATCATGATTAATGGTGAAGCCAAAGGCTTCTTCCCTGCTCAAAAAGGGTTAAGGCAAGGCGATCCTCTTCCGCCTGGTCTTTTTGTGCTTATCATGGATATTCTTTCTTTTATGATTGTTTGACTTCAGCAGGAAGGAAAGGTTAAAGGTTTTTGTATGGATGAAGATCATGGGCTGGGGGAAGTCTCTCATTCGTTGTTTGCAGACGACTCTCTTATCTTCTGCGATGCCTCTCAAGATCAGGATCTCAACATTTTGGCTACTCTGGTGTGTTTCCAGGCAGTCACGGGGCTGAAAATCAATCTTGATAAATCTGTTATGTACACTGTGGGAGATGTCCCGGAACCAAGTTTTTTTGCTTCCATTTTCGGATGTAAATGGAGTCGGGATCCATCTGTTTACCTCGGATTTCCCTTGGGAGCTAAGCCGAATGGGGTGAATATTTGGGAACCTCTCGAGGACAGTTATAGGAAGAAACTCCAAGGATGGAGGGGGAGGCATTTTTCCTTTGGGGCTCGGATGGTCCTGATTAAATCGATCCTATCTAGCAAACCGGTTCACCTCTTCTCTTTGCTTAAAGCTCCCAAACGCACCACAAATAGACTTGAGCAAATTCAGAGGCAATTCTTGTGGCAAGGGACTGGGGATGATCACAAGAATCCCTTGGTCAGATGGGATGTTTGTAAGGCTTCGAGGAGCAATGGTGGCGTCGGCATTATCGATCTGGCCAGCTTTAACAGTGCTTTGCTTGCTAAATGGGCCTGGAGGTTTGCCGCATAACAGGAGGGTTGGTGGAGGAGCCTTATCTCAATTAAATATCCCAACTCTTTATCCTCTTGGTAACCTGGTCACATCCATGGAGGCTACTCGAAATCAGTTTGGTCCAACATTAGCAGAGATTTTGATAAATTCTGGAAACTTGCATGCTTGGATCCTGGTTGCGGGTCAGACGTTTCCTTTTGGCATGACAACTGGTGTCCCGGTAGCACTCTTGCCTCTAGATACCCCCGTGTTGCTGCTGCCGCTTCACATCCTGCTGCCCGGATCTCAGATATGTACCATCGCTCAGGTGAGATAGTAAGGTGGGATTTGCCTTTAAATCTTTCTCTTAGGGGGGTGCTGAGCGAGAGCGTCTTGACCTTATGAGCTTTCTTAACTCTTCTGCTGCTGGTCGTGTTACTAATGGTCCCGGTAGGCTGGTTTGGCTTCCAAATCCAGACTCTGGTTTCTCTGTCTCTTCTATGTACAGGACTCTGGCGGATGATCTTTTTCCGGGGGTCGCTAATTATCCAGCCGCGTCTATTTGGAAGTCAATAATCCCCACCAAGGTGTGCTTTTTTCTATGGACTTTGTCGCATATGAAGCTGCGTACGATTGACAAGCTGAAGAGTTGGGGATTAGCTCTTGCGAACAGATGTGATCTCTGCAAATGTCAAGAAGAGACCGCTAACCATTTGTTCGTGGATTGCGTTTTTGTACGTGAAGTTTGGCTTGGAATCAAGAGAGCATGCCCACTCGTGGAGTCGCCGTCTGGTGACATTGTCACGGTTCTGCAGACTTGGCCATCGGGGGTTCCGGATAATGTGAACTCTTGGTTTTCGTATGCAGCGCTCCATTCAGTTTGTTGGCACGTCTGGCGGGAGAGGAATCGGCGCATCTTCAATGACTCCAGTAGCCCTGCCAGAATCGTTTCCAGGAATGCGTGTAAGGTGGCTATTGATTGGATTTCTGCGCATAACAAAGCGGACAGGAGTATTTGTTCACAGTGGCTCAAGGAGAGAATTCAGAGAATCTGATCCTTCTTGTTTGTGGTTGCTCTGCTCTTCGTTTTGGATTGTGGCTTCCTCTTGGACTTCTGTCTGTTTTTTGGTTGCCCGGCTTTTTCCTTTTCTTCTGTAACCACTTGTAGGGGTGGTCTCGTCCATCTAACCTTGCGGGCCTTTGGTTGGGTTTCCTTCTTTTCTGGGTGGCCTGAGATCATTTCTAGTGATCTCTTCTGCCCTTGTGAACTCTGTTCTGTTTTCTTTTTGTTTAATCTCAATCACCATTATAAAAAAAAAAAGTGTCTAAGTCTTCATAAAATAAATAAACAACTGTTCAATCCCCTTCTGCCATCCTCGCATGGTCATTATGTTTCATAAACCCCTTTCCGCACAAAAATAACGATCAAAACATTAATTAATTTGTCAACTGTAAAGTCAGATTATTGATTACAATACAAGTGAGTCAGCTGTGAATGATAAGACTCGTACATAAATATTTCGGTATGGATTCTCTTTCTCGATAAGTTTTATACTAAAATTCAGGCAAATACTTTATACATAATGAGAGATTTTGAACCGTCTATGTCTTATTGCCGATAAGATAGAATGCTAATAAATAACACTTACTAACATTAATTATAAGGGTATTTTAGTAACTATCACTAGTAAGTTATAATAGTTCATTCTCCATGAGTCTCATGAAAGTGGGTTACATCTGCAAATTACAATTTACTACGTACCTAAACTTTATTAATTTCAAAATTTAGAGTATAAAATTATTTTTTCATATAAGTCCTTAAAATATTGATGATATGGTTTATGAGATTTCTAGTTTGCTTCTGGGAACTTGCAGTATGCTTTATGAGGTTTCTGATATGCTTTAAGATGATTCTGGTATATTTCAGTAAAACTTGTAGTATATGCTTTATGAGGTTATTAATCGTTAGAGACTTAATCAGGCAATCACACAAGACAAAAAACCAAACATTATCTAACTAAAGCGACATATTAGATGCCTTCAAACAAGACCAAAGTGAGAGGCGAACAAATTGTTATAGGCATAGCTCCCTAAACATACATATTCTCTCTTAGTATTTTAGTGTTATTTACTTGTTTGTCCATGAAAACAAAAACAAGGACCATATTGTTAATTTGTACAAACAACAAGTACCCCAAAGTAATTACATCCCAAAATAAAAGAAAAAAAATAGGCCCATTCCTCCCACCTTCATCCCCCTTATTCCTTAATCCTTCCCCACCTTCTCATTTATAAATACCTCTGCCCCCAAACCCCATATTTCCAACCAACTCTACAAAGAAACTCTCTCCTTCCATCAATTCCTCTGCTCACTGCAAATTACCCAAAAAAACAAAAACCCAGTTCCTCTTGATACTCTTCACAAATCCAATCCAAAACACAGCAACAACAATGGGGATCCGGAGCTTGTTGCCCTCATCAATGGTGGTCGGAGCCAAGAAGATAATGAAGAGGAAACACCGCCATTATCAACAGCAGCAACACTACTCCCAACATAGCTTTCCATTACCAGCAAATGATCACCATTCGGCGGTGCCAAAAGGGCACATTGCAGTTTACTTAGCCGGCGATCATCATCACCATCACCAAATGAAGAGATTCGTGGTGCCGATTTCGTGCCTGAACCATCCCATGTTCGGGGAGTTGCTGGACATGGCGGAAGCAGAGTTTGGGTTCCAACACTCCATGGGAGCTCTCACTCTGCCCTGCGATGAAGACTCTTTCCTCCAACTCATCTCTTCCCCTGCATTTTGATCCCCATCGATTCTCTCCATCATTTGATTCATTCATGATGTAATGTAACCAAAAATTTATAGACAAACTAGCTATATGTATGTAGACCAAGAGATTTTGATTGGTTTCATATTCACGTAGAGATCAAAGTAAGGTTAGAGTAGAGCGCAACCGAGAGATTATTGTTATACATATGTAATACGGTGGTAATTAATTATATCAAATATACATTCATATTCAATCTCTATTTGTGCTAGTATCAACTTCAATTATTGGATCTGACATATCAGTCATAGGCATTTTTGGCTAATTATGTGAAATTAAAATTTTAACTTTAATCTTTTTAACGAATACGAGTTTAGACGGATTTGATCAATTCGAATACAACATTATTATTGGCATACATTTTTACTTTTTGTTTCATGAGGAATATAGATTTAGTTATCATTTTGGCCTTGCTGTGAGATCATTTGTTGGAGGGAGAACGTGAAGTAGAAGCCATTTCGTTTGTACTTAATAATAAATTACATTCATTCATCTAAGAGAAAATTATGAATATAATTTATCATATGGGAATAATGACAGGTTTCACTATAGCCAAAGCCCAAAGATGCTCTGTATTTTCACATAACTAGAGATCCTTTTGGGGAATCGGATTTGTTTTTTGTTTATAGGTTTGGCTATAAGACGAATTACTCCTCACTAAACTTCAATCATGACAATGACCATGTGATCATAGGAAATATGATTTATGAGTTAATAATATATTCATGACTTCAGTCATTTTTAGGATTTTCGATCAAGACGAATGAACAATTAAATACTTGATTTTTTTTATTTTGATGAGGAGAGATTATTATCAGAAAGTAAGATAAATTAATAAAATATATAATTATCATATTAATTATGGTGCCGGGCTAATAGGTGAGTCAAGATGACATACCAGATGAACCATTTATTTTAGAAATTTTTTAGTTCCAAATTTTTTTACAATCATCCAAAATAATTTTTATAGTTAAGATTTGGGATAATTTCTGTATAATTTTTTTTTTAATAGATAACACATAGTTCATGAATACATTTCAGGAAACCAGTACCCTCCTTCAATTTTTTCATTAATTTATGTGTTTTTCCCCATTTTGAACACCATTAATAATAACGCATTAGTTAAATAATATGTATATATATGTTATTGAAATAAAACCCATACATATATTTATGTATTCATGTGTCAGCTAGCTAAGCTAGCTGTATTCCTTGGAGAGCAATAATTGACATAAAGTTCGAGGAACGTACATATATAGTCAATAGGCCGGACGGCCGCGGCTATCTGAAATTTTCAATAAACTAATAGTGTTACCAAATTTAATCAATTAGTTGTAATCGAAAACCTAATCAACTAAGTAGATGACAATCTTGATGTAGACTGTAGACTTCATTTGGCTGTCAATATTTAACATTAACAGAAACAAAATAGGATTATCCTTCGTGATAGAATATTGCTTCGAAATTGGGCCCTATTATTAGGAACGAGTTAGAGTGCTAGCTCCATAATAAATTAACACCATACTAATTACCCTAATGATCATTCATTTTATATAAATTTAATGATGAGGACAAATGAGGGGCTTATTCGATATTTCAAAAAATTAAATTTAATAGAATGTATAAACCTTGATTATGCATTTGTGACTAAGACCCAAAATTACTCAAACCCACTTAACTAGCTTTTTCCTCCCTAACTCCCTCCCCTTGACAAAGAAGATATGGTTGATGCAGAAGAGGAAAGTGATGGCGCGTACATGTCGAAAGTTATCTGACATATTTTTTTTTATAATACTTAGTAGTGTGCGACATGTAAGTTATTGGAAATCGTACTTGCTAAATGTTGGTTAATCTATTTTTCGATAATCAATCTAACATTTGTCAAAAACAAGTTGATGTGTCAATAATTCGAGTTCTTGAGAGACCTCCTCAAACGAAACCTACATACTCATATTGGCCTAAAATCAAATTTGAACATACTCGAATACCCATGAGCTTAACAAATTAGGGTCATCGGAATTCAAACAGAAGACCTCTTGGTTACAAAATGATATAATATATAATATCAAAAATTAGTTGATCCCAATAACTTGAATTGTTGTGGAATTTTCCATAATGGATCTTACACCGCATATCAGTAAAGAAATTCGATAAGTATTAGGACTAAAAATCAATAAACGAACAACTTGTAATAACGAACTTGCATGTTGGTGAAAAGTCGTTGATACAAGCAAAGTAGGCAGACATGGTCCATTGATTTCTGGATGAGAAAGAGTGTACTGAAAGAACACAAAGAACTGCAGGAATAAAGGGGGGAAAAAATGCCAAGTGGATTTGATGATTGGCAGTGGCTGGCTTGAAAAGAGCACAGCACTGGATTAAAAAGAGGATCGATCGAACTGAGAAGAATACCAACCCATAAAAGTCAAAAGAACCTTCTTCCTTTCCTTTCCTTTCCTTTCCTTTCTTTTCTCTTCCCCAATACATAAAAGAATGAGACCGAACAGTAATGAAAAGTAATTAACAATTCACAGAACAGAGATATGGCGCTGGCTCTCTCTCTCTCTCTCTCTTGTTAGCATAGCCTTATAAACATTCCCTTCCGAAGATAGACGAAGGTTCCCTTGACCTTTTGCAGCTAGCTATCTACTTGGCTTGCATTCTGGCAGGTTTGTTTCAGTACTTATGATCATCAATACCAACTTGCACCGCGGAAGAAGAAAACGTGTTCTGTTCGCCCTCTCTCTCTCTCTCTCTCTCTCTCCGCCGACGCCAATAATAATATTCTGCTCCGCCGTGTTGTACGGTGGCGGTTGTTCCCTTTTTTTCAACTTTCCAGACTTGAGCAGCAGTACGACACACTCCCCTGCTTTCTTGGAACAAAATTGCAGCATTTAAAATAATGGTGATGATGATAATGGTAGCAATAATTAAATTATCGCGTTATTCCTTTCCTTTCCTTTCCATCGTGGATTGATGGGGCTAAATCATGCATGCACCAGTTGAATCTCCTTTGGGGAGTTGAAAAAGTCTCTGCTACTGAATTATATTACAAGTGTTCTTCCCATGAACCACTGCCCTTCCTTCCTCCAACCGCCATTCTCCTTACTTAGCTAGCTTTGACTCCAGAGTCTCCTGTCCCTATCTTTATATAAGTACTCTCCTTCTGCAGCTTTCCCACATCGCCATCTCTCATACCCAACTCAGAAACAAAACAAAAAAACCAAACCCCTCGCTTGGATTTCAAAAACACTCTTCTCCCTCCTAAACCCAGAAGGAAGAACTTCAATTGCTTTCTGCCACGCCGAAATCAACAGCACGAAACAAAGGAATGGGGATTCTCGACATTCTCAAGAGGCAGTCTTCTTCTTCTTCCTCCTCTTCTTCGACATCGTCCTCATCATCGTCATCTTCATCATCGCGATCTCTGTCGTCTTCTGCCAACGTGAGACGGGGTTCGAGGAGGAGCGTTCCCAAAGGTCACATTGCGGTGTACGTTGGACAAATGGAGAGGAAGAGGTTCATAGTTCCAATCTCATTTCTCAGCAACCCTATGTTCCTGGAATTGCTTCAGCTAGCTGAGGAAGAGTTCGGCTACAATCCGCCGCAGGGTGCCCTGACGATCCCCTGCCACGAACACGACTTCATCGCCGTCATCGCTTCTCATTTGACCTCCTAGATCACCAATAATCTCACAGAGACACAGTCCACAAGTATACTTAGAGAATGCATACATATATACTGAGCCTTCCTGGAATCGTAAGATAAATACAGGAGGGTCGTTTCAATTGTAACAAACACCATACATTTTTCCTCCCATTGTAGAGTTGCAGCTGATAGCGGATTTATTTTTCATCCAACAATGCTATCACAGCTTCTTCTTTCTTTTTTCTTTCTTCCAGCTACTCGAATCTCTTCAAAATCGACAACCTGTTTCAGTTGCCGGTATTTTACAGGGCGTATGCAGAACTATATATCATACAAATCGTGCAATTTATGCTCCATATTTTCTTTCTACTTCCCCCCACCTTAATCTAGGCTCTCAAAGCTAGAAGATACAGGAAATGAAGACAACTGAAACTAGCCTGATGATATTGCATTGCTTGCTGCCGCGGGAACTTGAACAACTCCACCATTCTTGTAGGAAGACAGATAAAAGAAACCATGTGGCCTGAAAATGGGCGACAAGACCAATCCCGGATGATTCTTGTAGAAGGTGGAGTAGCTAGCTCTTGTGTCAAAATGATGCTGCCAAATGAGAAATTGGAGCTGTTCTAGTTGGTCGTCCTGACTGTTTCAGTCCAACGACAAATTGCCAGTTCGTATATCACGCTGCTGATGGCTAATTCCCTTTCCTATTCGTGATTGGAACGAAAGTCCGGTAAGATTGGGTTCAAACTCGTTTGGTTTCCCAGTGAAAGCAGGAGAAGCAAGCTTTGGTTGAAACCATCGCCTCAAAGTGATCCCGTTTATTCTGATCTTTCCGTAAGATTCATTGCCTTGATAGCTTACTCCGAGCCTTCTCAGTAACGACGCAACTGACTGAGCAACCCTGTGTTAATAGCAAGCAAAGAACTCGAGAAATTCAGAATCTAGCTTGCAGTCCGGCAATTATAGAATTTAACTTATCTCCTCCTAGCTCCCACAGAAGAGCTAAAGCATCCTTCAAACTGGTACAGAAGAGCTAATCCTACCAACTTGCTCTTCAGAAAAATTTAGTCCATACCTTCCTGCAAGATTTATTGTTTTCTCCTGTTTAGGAATCGCGATTTTAGCCTGTTCTGTTGGCAGTAGAATGGTTACATTGGGCAACTTGGCACCTGGGAATGAACATTAGGAAGTAAAGGTAAATGAACTATAGATTCCATTGCCACCAGTTTGCACAAAGTGGTTAATGAAGGGTAGGATATCAAAACTATGTCATAACAGTCACGCATATGGAAAAATATAGATGGTGCTTTCCAGAAGCAGAAGCTCAAATAGCAAACACAAGTATTTCATCACCTTCATTCTTCATAGAAACTCTCATTTAGTTTTTTATCCAGACTTCGAGAGCTGATGGAATGCTACTTGAATACTTAAAAAGAAACAAAAACAAGCAAATAGTCACTTACCAGCTGCAAGCCGGTGCTTCAGACCTCTAAAAACTGTCATTATGTAGACCTGTAACCACAGATGTTGCACTGAGTTGTGAAAAGTGAACGTATAATAGTACACCCAAAAAGTGGATGTACCCTAACAAGATACAAGATGAAATATATCTCAAGTCTCATGACTCTATGATACTCTAAAACAGTGTTTTGATTCTATAAAACTTTGCCTGGCTACCGTCATTACCAGAGGTCACAGACTCACAGTTCATAATCAGTTTGCTAGTCTAGTTAACATTCTATCTACTGAATATGCCGAAATGCAAAACATAGCTCACCTCAGCAATACGAGTATCCATCCTTTTGGCGTCGACCATAACCGGACTTTGTTTGAAAGATAAACACGGAACAATTCCAAAAGAAGCAGCTTCCTGTACATGGCAATCAAGTCAAGACGTATAGATCCGAATACTGTAATTTATAGCGAAGTCTGTACTCAGAAAACCTCCTAAGCAGCTGCTTTCTGACCTCTATAATTGAAAAGGCACGGGGATCGTACTCTCCATATCCATCAACTAATGAACATAGGTTAGAAGAATGTCTAGTCGAGTCGTCGGCAGTTACGTCCAGATTTTCAACAAGTCTGTCCTTCACTGAAGGATCACTTGGGAGGCGCAAGCATCCCAGAATTTGTGAAACAATGTCCATCGTTGGTTGCTCACCAGCAATAATCATTTCACGGTATACCCTTAAGGCATGTGTCGTCCTGAATAAGAAATAGCAGGTGTTTGGAAATTTTAGGGAAATTCTTCATAGAGGAGAATATTCAAGAGGGTGATATGGTAACCAAATCTAATGTGTTGCGGGAAACTATAAATTCAAACCCCAACATAGGGTAGAAGTGTATATTAAACTGTTTGACTGAAGGAGAAGAGGATTAAATACCATTGATTTACTATTTGTGGTTGTCTTGTGTTGGACAGGATTGGCTCGCCGAGGATACAATCCTTTTCGTATCTACGTACACACAGGCCTTCAATGAAAGTAAAGATAATGAATCTCAGTACAGATATTCATAAATCATTCCAACTTAAGGTTTCAGTTGAAAGTATTGAAGACTAGTCCACCAGCAGAAAGCAAGAACATATGGTCATCAACATCTCTTCTATGTTACACCTAAAACAAACTCCACATGTCATCTCTCCCACGATTCACACATATGTTAGATCCTCATCTATACCTTCGGTTGGGCCCTAAAATATGTAAACTCTAGGATGGATGTCAAAGCATTGACAAGTATATCCACACTGAAATCATTTTTCAAGTCAGTCAAATGAAGGTAGCTTCGGAACAGTCAAATACGGGAGAGATGTCCTATATAGATCCAGCTTTAAAATGATCAAGAATGAGAGCAAATGTTCAGATCCAATGATGTACTGCTCCAGAAAGATGGAAAATGAAGACAGCAGTTCCCTCAAACTTACCAATTATGCATTTGTACATGAGGAGGGTGAGTGTAACATTATCTCTTTTTGCCTCAGAAAGAAGCATCAAACCAGCCTCGAGATCATTGTTTCTGTCAATCGAATAAACAATAATAAGAAGTCTCGACAAACCCTGAGAGTTACGAATTAGGAAAATATAAGATATGTATATAGAGCTCTATGTTGCACCTAGCAATATTACCTCTCACTTGCCACCAAGAGAACACAGTATGTAATGGTGTTTGGCTTCAGGCCAAAGCTCTTCATTTCTACCAGCACCTCTATAGCCTTTTGCAGTTCGCCTCCATCACCTGCAGGACAGCATAGTTAAAATTAGTATCCCACTCAACTTTCAATTTTATGAGTTTGTCTATGGCTTTTGAAAATCATTGATAAAAAAAAGTCTTATCAAACGAGGCCACACATTTCTCTTTGAAAATCATTTTACACAAGACTTACATAAGGCAGTGATCAAAGCATTCATGGTTGGAACTGTTGGCTTCAGTTTGAATGCCTTCATATCATCATATAGGAGCAGTGCCTTGTGCCAGTTTTTAGCCTGAAACAGAGAGTAGAACAGAAACCAACTGTATTAGTAAGTTCCAATTACTATTTGGAATTTTTGTTATCTAGGACAGCAGCCGCTGAACTTAACATAAATTGATTACTTTGTTATCTTTCCCATTTCTGTAGCTTCTTTCTCTGCATGCAAAACTAGTTTGTATGCGAAAAATAGGCATGAAATATATATCTACAAGTTTCTCTGACATCCCTGGGGGAAATCATATCCAAGTAACCATTAAATTCAGAAATGAATCATTAGAAACATACTCTTCCACAACAGAGGCAGGATTGTAACAAGATACATACATTGCTACAAGCTCCCATCAAAGAGCTATAAGGCAAAACTCCAAGTTTTGATCCTTGCTTTCTTGCCTCCTGCAGGATTTCAAATGCTACATCGACTTTTCCAGCATGCCCAGCGACATCAATCAATGCACTTAGAAACATCTGGAAGGAAAAAGTAGAGAACCATAAGAAAGAAACCCTATCGATGCAAACAAATGAATCCAATTTCACTGGAAATCACGTACAAAATTCAGCTTGCATGTGGAAATCTACATAGCTTTTTCATCTATCAAACGGGTAGCTTTAAACTAGCTCCAGAAAGGCATCATTGAATTATCACCCTTATCTATACTAAACCATTATTAATAACATCGTCCTGATTCTTCTGGCTCAACCGATCGCCAATATTGTCAACTTATGTAGTACCTCATCAGGGAGGACGCCTTTTCTTAACATGTCTTCACACACGCGATGAGCAAAGTCCCAATCGCCAGTCTCGCTACAGCAGTTAATGGCAATTGTATAAACTTCTGGAGTGCCCTTGATTTTATACTTATCAAGCATGTTGTAAACTTCCTTTGCCCTGTCAACCTGACCAGCATTTGCACATGCCTTTATCAATGCACCAACAGTAACATGATCAGGATCAATAGGCTGTATCTCAGCCTTCATTTCTGATAATACATCAAAGGCACGATCCACGGCTCCTGATTGACCACATGCAGTGATAAGTGCATTGAAGACAACTCGATCTGGCTTCAAATTCTACTGCATAAAACATCTTATCAGTGTGAAGATACATTTGAGACAGTAACAAGCAGATCCACAACCACAACCACAACCTCAGTCAAGGAAGGTACAGGAAAAAAAGAAACAAAGCAAGATTGAATTGAAAGAAGTAAGGACACGAACGTGAACCCTACATTATCTCTTATTCATAGCTATTTGAAGTTCGAAAAGAAAAAAAAATCACTAGTTTACCTTTGACCTCATTATGCCATACGCACCAAATGCCTTGGCCACTTGTCCAGCTCTAGCACACCCATCAATTAGAGCCCCATAGGTATGGAGGTTTGGTTCAACTCCAGCATTCACCATTTCATGAAAAACCTAGACAGTTTTAATCATAATCCTCAGTAAGATGTTCAGCAGGGCAGGTAAAACCCTGAATGGAAAATTTTCTGTTTTGGAAACAACGCACTTTCAAGAGTTCTTCACATAGCAAAAGAAAACGTGGCCTGTCCTTTGTCTTACAATAAGTTGAAGCCTAAAGATTCCTAAACTCTGGTTCCACCAACAAAAATCTAAACAAAAAGGTGGAGGTGAGAAAATGAGTATGCAGTTATCCAGGAGATGTCTGCAATCTTAATGAAGCGATCACAGAAAACAGGCATTGAGGGATCCTGAGAGAACAGTATTTCTAGTAAATAGAGAAGGGAAGGTAGCCACTAGCATAAAACTTAAGGGCATACCATGGGGAGGTCTTCAACCTTGACTTCTAAGAAAAGTGAATATCAAATACATAAACTCATGGTATAAGAAAGCTACCAAAGAAATTTCACCCGAAATTAAGGAATTGGAGGATAGGGTACAAGCACAAAACATAATACGTGCCGTGATGAATCAGATATACAGAAAATCAAAAGAAAAGAACAATGTTCTATTGGTTATATAGGCAAAGAAGTTACAGTACCTCAAACATTGCATCAACTTTTCCACATTTCGCACAGGTTGATATCAAAGTAGTATAAAGTTTGCAATCAGGTTGCAATCGAGCACCCTCCGCAAGTCTTAAAACTTGAAATGCCTCTAATGGAACAAACAATTTCCAAAAATTATAGCATGTTTAGAATACGGTATGGCAGACGACTGAAAACTAAGACAAGATGGTATAATTGGCTCACCATCAGAGTCTTGTGAGCTTGTACACACAGACATGAGCATGTTAAACGTACTTAATGTTGGATTTGGAATTAGCTTGCAGAAACGGAAAGCTTCCTTAACAGCCTTTTGACGTTTGCACATGTCAAAAAACTTAGCATGATAGACCTAAAACCAGAGATTTTAATAGGTTACTGAGACCAGAGCTCAAATTCTAAAATAATGTAAGTGAATAATGACCCAGGTAAGAAGCAACCTTGTTCATGTCTAGGAAGCCCTTACTGTCCATGTCTTCCAGAAAATCTACACACTCAACTAACCTGAAAGAGGACGTGAAAGTAACCTATGTTTGTTAGGATATCTCACTTGAAAGGAGGGGGGTAGCGAAAATAAAGAGCCTTGTGCATCACACAGTAACATTCACCTGCCCTCCTTCAGCAAATAATTGTACGCATTGAACTGTTCTGGAGGCTTGTTGTTCTCATTCGCATGAAATCCATTAGGAGTTGGGAGCTTTGATGGCTTTCCACGGTTCTCGTGCTTAAGACGCCCACTTCCCTTGTTGTTTGCTTTGATGCTTCCTGTTCTCGTACTTTTTTCAACAGAGACCCCTTCAACATTATCCTGATGTACTTTCCCGTTTAAGTTTTCTGTGGAATACAAATACAAGTTAAACTTCTGAATTCTTGGTGTCCACAGGAAGTTGAATCAGCTCAACCCAAGAAGAAACTACATGCTTTATATGGAAACCTGGAGTCTGGCGGGATGTCTGTGTGGATACTTCTGCCCCTTTCCGTGCAGAATTCACTTTCAAAGAAGAAAAAAGGGTCCTACTCTGCAATGAGGAACTAGAATACATTGCTTTAAACCCAACTGTTTTTGCAGCAGATTTTACTACTGATTCCTTTGACTGAAAAAATGTGTGAAGACCTTCCCTTATAGATTCTTCAATGGAGTCAGAATAGCTATTAATTTCAACCAATTCTCCTGATTCAACATCCCTAGTTAAGGAAATAGAGCTAGATTCTGCACTCGCCATTTCATCAGCTGAATCAGACTTCAGTTGTGGAATATGACCATTCTTTTCCAATGAAGAGTCAACAGTTTCTTCCACAAAGATAAATGAACGCACATCACCAGCTTCAGGCAGGCTCACCACAGAAGGTGGAGAAGATAAGTCAACAGCTTCAGAATCTTTGTGAGCCACATTGTTAAGAGCAGCAGGGGCCTGAAAATCAGCAGCACAAGATTCTTTTATTTCAGTGATCACAGAACCGTTATGTGTCCCCTGAACTTGTCCATTGGCACTTTTGTGCACAGATGCGTCGCCTTCTTCTCTTGGATTCCCTGGCACGAATCCAGACGTTTCTCTATCAAATACAAGAGGCAAAGCAGCAGTCACAGAAGGCGAAGAAGGAGACAGAAGAGCAGTTTCAGATTCTTTTGAATCCGCATAATCTAAAGCAGTAGAAGAAGCGAAAACCGCAGCAGGAGACTCCCCAGTTTCCGCCAGTCCTGAACCATAATGCATCTCCTTAATCTGTACATGCCTATCGGTGGTCACCGATATGGAGATTCTCTCATCTTCCTTCACCATGAGATCTTCACTTTGAGCTTGAGAAACCCCATTCTGAGCATCACCGAGTCGTAAATTTCGACTACCACTAACGTGGCTCATGATGCTCGAGCTCAGATGTGTCAATAATGAATTTAAGGATGCCAACTCCTACATTTGCAAATGGGATAAAAAAAATTCAGTTTCACATAGACCTAACTTAGATTCCTGCAAATTTCTACACTCTCCGTAACTTCAGACAGCAAAGCATCCATCTAGCGTTTCACTTTCCGTTCATCCATCGAATTAACAATTATGACAGCTTCCATAAGCTACAGGAAATTGATTCGCGGATCATACGCTCTAAAATTGCTCGCATTTTTCAGCCGGTGGCTATATCTGGACTTGCCAAATTCGACAGCAAAATCTCAAGTATGCAGAACCAGAACGGAATGGAAGGTACAAAGTTAGAGAAATTCAGCATTACCTCGTCGGAGCTCTCCTTCCCCTGCGTCTTCTTCGTCTTCAAGTACCGGTTCAGGTAGAAAACGGAAACAGCAGAGACGGTGGTGACGGCGACAACGAGCATCACCGAGTTCGTCGCCATCACAAATCGCCGAGGAGGCCGGCCTTTCCGAATCCTGACCTTCCGGCATTTTGCCTCCCGGGAGCGGAGCAGTCCGCCGGGAGGACGGAGGTTGTGGCCGCAGCCGAGGAACTCTCTCCGGATTGCGTTCGTCGACGAGAGCGCGGACGGCAATTGCGTGCAGGAGAGCAGAGTTAGGGATTGCGAGGCGGCGGAGACGCCGAGTTCCATGGCGGCAATTCGAAAGAGAGAGCGGGAGAGAGACTGGAGAAGAAGAAGGGTGACACAGTGAAGCGAGTGGAACGAGGCGCTTGCTCCGGTTTTAACTAACTCCACAGACTGGATATCGTTTTGCTTACGTGGCGTAATTACGGCACCACGAATCCCCAGCGTCGAATTTGGCACGGATCCCATGAATCTCAACCGTACATCCTGTCAGAGAAAAATACAAACGCTAGAAATTCTAGTGGTTTATTTACCATTCACGTCTCGTACTTTGTGTCAAATGACAGAAAAGCCTTTCAACTTTCTATTCTAACTAATCGCTCCCTCAGTTGTCAGTTGTACAAAATGAAGTTTAACAAGCATGTGGTGCAAAGCTTCACTTCTTGAACTTTCTTGCTAAATTTACAATCTACGTTAGGGTTGCTCGACATCACCACGAAACGTGTTAGATTTACGATCAAGGTAATATGGACAATTAAAATAATCAAGAGTTAAAATAAGTTTACGTCGTGGAGGGTATTAGAATTGTGTCAGTAAATAGTAATATAATAAAAAAGGGTAAATATTGTGCTAGGAATATAGTAATCTAATGATTAGTTGTCTCGTTTGAATTATTACTTGTCCTTCTTGAATCATAAAATTAATTATTTGGTTATTACTTATGAAAATAGAGCTTCTAATTATCGACCAAATGGTAAAAGACTCCTAAAATGAAATCACTCTTCCACGGTGAAAGTCATTCCCACACATTTGTTTTAACATGTAACGTATTTCTCAAATTAGTTCGTTGAAACCTTCAAACCATTTGATTAATCACAAACTAGTTTATCGGTACGAATGTATAAAACACGACTATAAATTTGACATGAAATCACGAATCTTTCCATCATCCCATAAACACCGTTGTATTAAATCCACTACACCCACGATCCCCCCTTTGTCTTGGTTACCAAAAGTTGTCCTATCAAAAACTTGAAGATGAACAATTCCCAGAGCGCGAGCTACCAAGCTGGCCAGGCCAAGGCCCAAACTCAGGTGATTGATTCGTTATAGATAAATCATAACGTCCTCGATTTGTTTTCACTTAAGCTAGTAGGATTTGATTTATGTTCATGGTTAGCATCAGTCATGTACATCGTTAAGACGAGAAAGCTGACGACAATAATTTGTGCTTGATGGACAAGCACAACTACTAAAGAAAAACGCCTCCACATTTTTTTGTATTTCAATTTCGCAGGAGAAAGCTAGCGGCTTGATGGATAAGGCTAGCAATGCTGCCCAGTCTGCCAAAGAATCAGTCCAAGAGGTAAAAATACGATGCTCTTCATCCAAATCTGAGTTTTACATATCTTCTTGACCTAAAAGGCTGTATATTTGAGATATTTAAACACAACCCTTTGTTTCAAAATATTATAATTAATTTGTACTTAATCAAACTTTTGTTGTTTTTGCTTATGTGTTGGTAGGCTGGTTCCCAAATGCAAGCCAAGGCACAGGGAGCTGCTGAGACCGCCAAGGAAAAGCTTGGAATGAACAATTAATTATATGACAATTTTCCATTCACATATTTTAGCAGCTCTATTGTTATTTACGTTTTTATTTTCTTGTTGGTCTTTTACAACCCAAAAATGGGTTGATGATCATCTAGCACTCATGGGGCGTGTAAACGAATTTTCCTTACAATAAGACATAATAATTTATGAAAGTATCGACCCTTGCATTGCGCGACCCTCTAAAAGTGTTTGTCGGTACATTAGAATTTTATTTTGCACTTATTTCATCACATAAAACATAAGCGTCCACGAGCACTTCTACTATGCTATATAGTATTGGTGCTTTAATGTACAACTTGAAGTTGTACCATAATATTAAATGTATAAGTTTAGGTTGTACCATAAAGAAATTTGTATCATTATGTTATGGTACAACTTTACAACTTAAAGTTGTACCATCACATAAGGTACAAGTTTAAGTTGTACCATAAAAGAATTTGTACAAAAAGTATAGGTACAATCTAAAGTTGTACCATAACGTTAAAGGTATAATTTCAAGTTGTACCATAAAAGCAAAAACCTATAGCACCAATACTATATAGCATTGTAAAATTCCTCAAGCGATCCACCACTATTCTCAATTCCTTCTGTTTACAATCTATAATTCTATACAATTTTGCTTGAGTTGTCTATGCTTTTACTTTAAATAGATCATTTTTAGTTAAAAAAAAAGTTCAATTACATGAAATATCCAAAATTTTATATGTTTTAACTTTATTTATCGTGACATAATCTCTATCTTATATAGTAGTGGTTGGTTCCCAAACTCATAATGAATCATATATTATGTAAATATTAATATGGATGACCACTACATTAGATGCACTATTGGGTGTTATGTGTAACCACCCAACTCATTCAAATTCCACATTCATTCTCACATTTCATGTATATTGATTGTAAGAATGTAGGGGTTATGTGATGTGTGTCTATAAATAGAGGATCTTTTTGTACTAAGAAACACATGAATAAGAAAGCTCTATCCCCCCTCTTTTCTTGTGTCTCTACTCTTACTCTTGTGTCCATTGCTCTTCCTTGCTATTTTATAACACGTTATCAGCACCAAACTCTGCCAAAGTCATGGTTGGTCATTGTCTCTCTACATAATCAAATATACTTGAGTAAGATCACAACACCATCACGGTATGCATTTTCATGTCGCTTCTTGTTAGTATGTTTATCTATCTCATTGTCTTTGAGAGATTATTTGATCTTGTTATTTGTTCTTATTATTTTATGAACTTATCTTATATATATATATCGATCTTGTAACATAGAGTTTATTATTGGACATTATCAGATAATGAAAATTGCTTTTGTAGTAGCAAAATCATTATGGGTTGACTTATCGATTGCTACATTGGACATATAAAGAAATGAAAGTCTAAAGATCTCATTTTCCCCCGAAGTGGAAAAACGATGAAAATGTGTCAAATGAAAGAAGTGGATCTGGTAACAAAAAATGTCAGGAATAGGAGTTACCATTGTAGTGAAAAAATCATTGATCTTGTACCCGATGTATAAAAAGAAGTTTTATTGGTCCAAGAAATCATTAGAAGGAAAATGAAAATCTATATGTGCTCCTGCAGTAGCAATATTATCGTAGAGGTTTTATAAAGTGTAAGCTAATTTCTTGTTTGTTAAAGATGAAAAGTGTATTGGACTTGTGATAAGAAATATTATACAATTTGATCCAAAGGGTGTTGTTTCATTCCTGTAAGTGAATGAAAACAAACCATTCTTAAAAGTTAAAAGTGAATGGATCGAGACACACCATTATATAAATAGAATTTGGTGTTTGGATAACAACAATCAGCAAATGTTTCTTTTTACCGGAAGTGAAAGATAAAATTATTATAAATGAGGATGACACAAGAATTCATGTAGCGAAAGTCATGATCATATACTATAACCTATGTATGTCGAAATGTGTAATGAAACACATATATGTTGATGTTATTATTATTATTGTCATTTTGTATGTTTTTGTATAGAGTGAATATTCGCAAAAGTCAATACTAGTATTATATCATATAGTATGAAAGTAAGCAAAAGCTCCGGAAGAGATTGTGGTTTGTTACTTGAAGTAACTAAACAATATATTGGCAATACCAATAGTATGAAAATATTCTTATCACTATGTATATGCGCTTACAATAATTCACTGAATCAGTATATGCCTAATTCGAATAAAGTGCATTAGAACATTTGCATTTGCAGTTGGCATGTGTGATTGTGTAATGACATATATGCTTATGTGCGTGATATTGTGGTTTTAGTTATGAGTTCCATTTATGAATATTGTTTGGTTAAGTGATGTTGTGTGTATGACGTGCCTTTTGCTTGTGACCTTTTGGTATGAAGTAATGGTTTACATAAGATTGCGTTAGCTAAGTTTTATAGTTATTTGGAAGAAAAGAGTCGAGACGTTATTTTATAATGATCTCATATGTTTTCATTGATATGAACTCCAAAAGAGCTTTATACAACAATGGATTGCTTAAAGAAAGAAATTGAGCATGAAGGATTTAAGAATATCCTTTTTGAATCCGTACGACAATGTTGGAAAAGTGAAAGAGCAATTTGTATGAAAAAATACTCACATTCAATAGCCTAATGATCATAAGGTCACTCGAAGTAACAAAGGATCCATTAGTCCTTGAGATAGAAATGAATGATTAGGTCCTGAAGTATCGTATATTTATGTCATTAGAGTGCTGATGTATCTTGCTAGTCACACGCCATCAAGCATTTCATTCAGTGTCTCTCTGTATATGACAATCAAACAGAGTTGAGCTTACACTTCGTTACCTTCAGGTAACGATGATGATCAAAGATGAGTTATTTGGTCGTACAACTATCTCATGGAAATTCTAAACAAATAAAAAAAATATTGTATCATAAGATCGTGCACAATAGTTAGCATTCATGAGACATGATATGTATTTTTTATGGTTAAGATTTGTGATTCAGCACGTCTAAATGACCTAAGGTTATGGACTATTTTCATAGAAAATGATCCTGAAGATCATGTGTGAAGAAAATGGTCATAATAGATCATGCATAAAGTGACAATCTAGAAGATTTGTTGTTCACTAAGAAACTTATCATGACTATATTTGAAAGTTATGTTCACAAAACTACACTTTGATGTTGTCATGAGGGGGAGCATATATGCGCTGCACTCTTTTTCCCTTAACCATGGTTTTTTCCCTATGGGTTTTCCTGGTAAGGTATTTAATGAGGCAGCATGAGATAGCGTAATGCAATCTAGTGGTCATCCAAGGGGGAGTATTATGTAAATATTTATTTGGATGACCACCACATTAGATGCACAATTGTGTGTTACATGTAACCCCCACCCCATTTCTATTTCATATTCATTCTCACATTCATGTATATTAACTGTACGAATGTAGAGGTTATGTGATGTGTGCATATAAATAGATTATATCCTTATACTAAGGAACACATGAATAAGAAAGCTCGATTCCCCTCTTTTCTGGTGTCTCTACTCTTACTCTTGTGTCTATTGATCTTCCTTGCTATTTTATAATAACGGAAGATTATTAAAATAAACAAAAATTACGGAAGAGTCTAATAAAACCATTGTAGAGGAGAGAAAAATGAGGAGAAAAAAAAACCGAAAAAAAATCCGCAAAGTGCGGAGAGGCCTTGGAGGCTGAGTGACATGGAAGGGATGGTTTTTACAAACCCCTTTATTATCTACAAGATATATGAAGCGAAAACAAGAGTTGGGTTTGCAGGGATTCAAAATTGCAGCTCCCAGAGGGTTTGTCGGAGGGGCACTATCGTCATTTCTCAATTAAATAAAGCTCTGCGTTTCATTATCTAGACCTTCCTCTGGTCGAACGCGCCAGGGCTTGATGTTAGCCGGCCCAAACTCTTGCCCCCTAAAGCAGATAAAATTGGCCCAATTCTCTCATACCAGCCTCGAAACCCATCTTCAGCTGTCGTGAAAATCTATGCCCTGTTTACTTCTTTCTCTGTCTCGCTTTCTCTGTAATTGAAAGGGACGCGTTGGATGAGAGAGCTGGTATTCCTCCAATTCAATTCCCGACCTATTCCCCAGCTGTAAGTGTCAAGACCGCGTGTCAAAAGGGAGCTCTCAGTTTGCTGTAAAGTAGGTATCTACCTTTTGTGGTCTTTGTAGATTAGAGATTCTTCACAATTAGAGATTTGAGACGCGTGGGAGGGGGGAGCAGACAGGTGGCTGAATTTGTGGGTTATCAAATTTTTGCTAAATAAGTGTATACTGACTTTCGTGGTGTACTAATTAAACCTTCATTTATTGTAGATTAGAGCTTTCTTTTTGGTTCATGCTTAGGTGTGATTGCAATTAAGATTATGTCCGGAAATCAACAATCTGGTGGACCTTCTTCATTACAGACCAGTGGTCGCCATCGTCGTACTTCAAGGGGCATATGTAATTTGATCCCTTTGGTTTTTTTCATTTTCCATTGTTAAACATGGTCACAAAATCTAACTTCTTTTTAAATCCCGTGTTATTTTGCAGGGTTCATGCGAGCTATCTTCAACCCTCCAAAACCTCCTTCCAGTCAACAAATCGCTGCTGAAAGGGATCGTCTTAATCAAGTAGTCTTGCGAATTATTTTTAGTACATTAAATTAAATTCAAATGTGTTACAACATCATAATATTTTGATCTGTATATTTCAATTGCAGAAATACTCATCCTTCAAGCACAAGTTCACCATATTGATCGATTGATTTCTCAATTCTATCGAAGACGACGACGGGAGATTCTGAACACGCGGTTGCGACGTATTGTTCAACATATTCCACATGGTAATTTGAGCATCTTTTAAACGTTGTTATTTATTTTGTTAGTTGTATTAATGCATATTGTGCATATTCATAACATGTTCAATATGTGCATTGCGTTATATATGTCACGGAGAAGGATTCTACGTCGTACTAATGGATTGAGTTCATGAATTATCAACTTTGGTATCACAGATTATAGTTCATGTATCTCCCGCTTGAGGACAAAACGGACACGTTTAATGCGATCAATTCATTTGTACAAAAGGCGGATGGTTAATGCTGTACCAAGGGGTTTTTCCCGTTCCCATGGTTTGTGACATCAAAATTTATCTTATTTCATTGTAAATAATTCTTCACATGTGTTAGTTATCTTATGTAACTACTTTGATTGTAGGATATCCTGTTGTGGAACTTTATAGTCTTGGTGAGCCTACAAGCATTTGTCAATTTTGTGCAGCAATCATGTGGTTGCAAGAAAGTACGGTTCCTACTAGGAGTCGGGTCAATCCCGATTTCTCATTGTGTTGCAAAGCAGGAAAAGTCAAACTACCCCCTAGGCGTGCTCCTCCAGATTATTTGAATCAATTGTTACACTCTTCGACACCTATCAGCCGTCATTTTCGGGAAGCCATCCGTAAATACAATGTTGTGTTTTGCTTCATCTCCCTGGGTGGGAAAGTGGATTGTGGGATAAATGATGGTCGAGGGGTGTATGTCTACTCTATAGGTGGCCAAATTTATCACTCTATAGGCAGCTTATTACCTGCAGAAGGTCAGGCACCGAGGTTTGCTCAATTATACATTCATGACTCAAGTTCTGAACTACAGAGTCGGTTGCAGTTATTTCCAATTGATGATCAATCCAGTTCATTGCGGCCAGAGGTTGTTGAAAGATTACAAGAAATGTTTGATAGAAACAACATTTTGGTCCAAACCTTCCGGATGGCTAGGCAAAAGTTGCAGGAAGCCAATGTGAAAGAGGTGAAGATTAAATTAATTGCCAAACGTAGTCATGATGGGAGGGAATATGATTTACCGACGGGGAATGAAATAGCAGCATTGATTGTTGATGAAACAGGTCAAGATACATTCGAGCCAGATATTATTGTTCAGTATAAGAGTTCTCAATTGGAGAGAATTAATTATCATCATCCATCATTAATGGCGTTACAATACCCAATTTTATTTCCTTATGGAGAGGATGGATGGCATCCGGACATAAGCTGTGATGATGATGATGATGATAATCTTTGGAATGACAATACATTGTCCCAGTGTGATTATTATGCATATCGTCTACAGAGTAGATTTCAGGAGTCTAATTCGGTTTTATTATCTGGGAAATTATTCCAACAGTATGTGGTGAATGCTTATGCATTAGTAGAAGCACAACGGCTTGATTGGATCCGCAATAACCAATCTAAACTTCGTTCCCATTATTTGAGTGGCTTGGTGGATGCATTTCTACGTGGCGACACTGATTTAGAAATGACTGGAAAACATGTGATTTTGGCTGCTTCCCACACAGGAAGTCCACGGTACAAGTATGAAAATTTCCAGGATGCTATGGCTATTTGTAGATGGTTGGGGTACCCAGATTTATTTATTACATTCACCTGTAATGCAAATTGGTCCGAAATACAGTTCATGGTGGATTTGGTAACAT